AGAACTGATTAATAAGTAAACCTGGTGATGACAAGTGACGCACTTCTACACTTAACGTAAAATACAGAAATCGAGTCAAAACAAAATTGACAGCATACAAGAAGAAAGTGGGAGGTGGGTGGTAGGGAGTAAATCGTGGCCCATATTTCAAAGCGCGAAGTGTCAAGTGTCAAGAACTGAATTATGAGCTGGATTAAATGTCGATTGCAGCAGCCTTCGCTTGTCAAAGCTATCAATGTGAATACGAATGTGGATTATTTATTTATGATGTGCGGTGCAGCAAATCACGCATTGCTTTGTATAAATAAGCGGCTGTCCGTTGGCTTAAAATTATTAATTGGGTTATGCAAATGGATGGTGTGTAAGCAACAACAAAGCTGGCCAAAATCATATTGCAAAAATTAATCAAATAAACAGTTGCATATGGAAACTGTTAAATGGAAATTAAAAGTGAAAATTCTATTTTAATGAAGAGCTTTTGTTATATGTTCATTTAAAACTACTGCACCCCATTCCGAGTATAGAACTCATTCTTCTGTACCCAGAAGCTTATTTTTTCAATTTGTCTCTTCATTTAATTTGTCCATTTAAGGCTTTAGTGAACTTATTATGTGCTCGGCTTAAGATACTTTGATCTGCCTTCAGCAATTTAAATCTATTATTCAAATTTATTCAGCTTCACCTAAACACCCAACAGCTTATATTAAATTACCAAAAGCTTAAAAAAAAAGTAGTTAGCTTGTTTTATTTGTTATATATTAACTATTTTACAAAATAACAAATGCATTCTTATATAAAATTTAAATAATCTACTTTTGTTTTTAAGAACTTTATTATTATTTTTACTTTAAAATTTTGTAAAAATAAGAGTTATTTTAATTGATGAGCTGAAGCTAATCTTTTCTAAGGGCAGTGTATCTGGCAGTCAGTAAAAAGGTGTAGTTAACAAATCAGACAAGTTCTTGGCTTGGTCGTTCATTAATTTGGACCAACTTCAATGTTTTCCATGCAGATATTGTCTATGTCCGTTAGCATTTGGCCTCAACCAGTTCTAGAGTACTGTAAGCAGTCTCTCCTGCTTTTGGTCGAGCTATTTAATTGCGTCTGAATCCATTTGCATTTGGCCATTTGCCGTTGTCAGACATATATTCAACAGACAACTGGCACAGCTGGCAGGCCAGGCATTTGCCTACAATGCGTTGAATTCACTCAATTTGCAAATTTCCTCATTGATTTGCCAACAGACAACAACGGTGACGAGGGCAGTCAGAAGATGGAAGATAGAGGATTGCAAGGCCCAGGCTTTCTATGTGTGTGTATCAGTGAGGTTGGGGGAAATCCGTTTAGAACAGAGCCGTGGACATTGATAGATAGCTAAGGCGGCAGCGGGTGCTGAGGTGGATTTGCAAAACTACGCAAAACATTTTATAAATTGAATTTATATTTTGTGTTTTCGGGCAGGGAGCTCAGAAAACGTAATTGAAATAAGTAAATATCAATTGAATATCCGCCAGCGGGCGGCGGAAGTCTTTGGCAGGCAATGAAATTATTTGTTTGTTATGCCTAGTGGATAAAGAATTGTTGTTATTGTTGTTGTTATTCTTATTACAGGCAAAGTAAACTCTTTGTCGAGGCTAGTGGGCAAAGTTTCCGTTGCGGCAGGTCAAAATCAAAAGCATTGCAAAGCTTGTTGCTGTTGTATTTGTAGCACTAAGAAAACAAAAAAAAAAAAAAAAAAGTAATAATAATAATAAATCCGTATGCTGCAAGCAACTTATGAAAAGTGCCTGTAAATTACAAGAGATATGTTACTCGTAAAACTGATTTATGCCAAGTACAATACCAACAAACAATGCTCACGTTCGTGGCATATCGTGCAAAAATTGTGCTCCTCAAAAGTTAAACAGCGGCCGAATGCCAAAATAAATGGCACGTTTATCATACGCCCAGTGAGCCCAGTGCGTTTAACAATTTGGCAGCCGTATTTATATACCACAAACACGCACACACATACGTGTGTATATATACTTGTATATACATATATATATATATATATATAGATGTGTATGTATACGTGGTGATGTGGGCCATCGCTCGAGCATATGAGCTTTATGTATATGCCACGCCTTCTGTCCGCTGCGCCCCCACCCTGACAAACTGGCATACTTAGACTATGGCTATGTTTTGCTTGATGTTTTCGCGTTTGCTTTTCAATTATATAAACATATTTAGATTATATTCAGTTAACACTCATATACACATGCACACACACACACACACATAGCGTCGCATATGTTGTGCGTGTGTGCATTAAAATTATAAATTGTTTGCTCAGCAAAAAGCAACCAAATAAATAAATTCAGAAGAACCAACGCCATTAAGCGAAACGAAAAACAAACGCTAAGCGCATAAATAGCTGACCAAAATCAACTAGAACCGAGAACCGACTAGCATTTGGAGCTGGCTGGGCCAACGCGTCGTATGCGCAACGGGAGGCAATGGCAGACAGTGGGTGGCAGCTGCCTTGAGAGAGACAGAGATAGAGAAAGAGAGACCTGCAACATATGAATGAAAAGCAAGTGGCCGAAGCATGACATTGAATTGTTTTTGACTTGTTTTGTCACACCTAAATGCCATATAACCATGCAATAAATACAAATGAATATAAATACAACTAAATACAAAAATAGGCGTACATCATATGTAATTATGTATGTATGTGTGATGACGCGTGTGAATTATTTGCTGATTCTTTTTAGGAGGCGCCAGCATGTTGACAGCTGTCAGTGCGACTGACGCACAGGGCTGCCGCCCATGAATAGCTAGGTAAAGGCAATGGGCCACGGCCAGTCCAAACCAGAGAGAGAGAGAGAGAGAGAGAGAGCGAGCGAGTGAGTGAAAGAGAGTGTGTGATAATAATGATGCATAGACTCCAACCTACTGAAACCCTAGTCAAGTCAAGCAATGCACAGTTGACCACGCGTTTGCCACATTTCTTTGCGTTGGTTAAGCTTTGTGCCACCGAAATGCCATTAATATGTTTGCCCGCATATCCCGCCATGTCTATTCGTATCTATTACAGCTTTGTGCAATTATCTGTGTTTATGTGTGTGTGTGTGTGTGTGGATGGTGTGAAAGATCGTTTACGCCCTGTTGCACTAATTGGTATGCCTCATTGGGCGCCCACCTCCCCTTCCGAATCACAAATAGGCATCGAAAATTTGCTAATCTATTTTCGTAACTGCATAAATACATTAGCAAATTAGCAATATAAACCGCAATTTGGTTAGCCAACTACAGTTAAATCAGCTGTAAAATTTATGGCATGTGTGAAATCACGAATATGTATGTAGTATGTATATATGTAGGTATGTACATATGTAGCTCATTAAAGCGATTTTGCATTCTCATTTTGAACTTTGGCCAAAGTCACGTATCCCTGTGGCAGGGCTGCCAACAGCAGCGTATAAAAATGACAAAAATGTTACGTGCCTCATTAAGGGGCAACTACGAAGCATGGCTGCAACGAACACACGTAACACAATTAGTTGACCTATGGCTTGGTCAACACCCGGTCACACACACAATGACACTGACTGAAAAGCTAACAATGAAACAGCATTAAAGTCAGTTGAGACTGAGACTGTTTGTAAACCATCAAAATTGACAAAGAATTTCATTTTTTGTCGCATAATTTAGTATAGTATATTTTTTTTTTATAAAGAATAGTAGTGATTCTTGAAATGATGAACAAACAAAGTGTTTATGAAATGCATCTCAGTTGAAGACTTAAGCAACAGAAAATATAGCAGCTGTTATTCAGTTTGAGTAACAATTTATAATTTGATAAGTCAACGTAATTGTATCGAGCTAATGCATCCGATTATACTAAGACCAAAACTAAATGCTTTTAGTAGGTACTAGCTACAATATAATATATAATGTAATTCTCTGCTCTATTCTGAAAGTGCAATTTTCTACTCACTTGTCACTTTCAGCTCGAGTCATTGTGAAATTCGAGTTGAGTAAATCTCCAAGCATGTGCGTCACGCAAACATTTTCCTTTTGTTTAACATTTCAGTCAGATAAAATAAAAATGAAAAAAAAAAGAAGAAAACAAGGACAGCGCATAAAATGGCAACTCAGCCCCCACAAGCAATTGCAATGCAAATTTAATTTGGGAACCATTAAATTCAACCAAAGAAGCGCCCAGACAATCATAAAAAAATAGCAGATGCAGGAGTTGGGCAGCAACCAATACCAAAGTGGGCCGGATCTGTATAGAGTCGAGAAGATACCGTTACGATGGCCGCACGCGTTTTTTTTTTTGCCATGCCAAGCCGGAAATGCAATTTGTAATTTGTGCAACAAAATGTGTGGCAATTAATTGCAATACGCCTGCCAAACGCCTCCGCCTCCTGTTGCTTGTGCGCCAGACCACAAGACACCGAAACCTCAATTTTTTTGCGACTTTCCTAGGCAACGCAGAAATTATTGCATTCAAATTGAGTTTTTTTTTCCTGTTTTTCTTTTTCTTTTTTTTGCAATTTGTTTTCAATTTTTATTATCATTAATTTTTTTAATGTGATTTTCTCGTTGCTTTTGGCAGCTTTCACAGCGCATTAAGTGATTTGTGCTTAACAAAAATTTTGGGTTGTTTGTGTTTTTTGATATTCGTAATTTGCGCCGAAATCAAACAGCTGCAAAATATGTGATTTTGTGCCAGGCGTCGCTAATATTAAGTGTGTCCGAACCAGAAATCTTATATAGCTACATAGATCTGTGCATACATAACGTATTTGTCTATATAATACTTGTATAATATATGCCGTGAATTATGGCTTTTCTACGACTATATAAACAATTTGTATATGTATATGTACGTATTAATAATTTTGACATGTTTTGGTCACGCCTAACAAAACATATATATACGTATATATATAACGAATTTGTATAAAGTAATGGCCAATTATTGCGTAGTTGTCCCATTCACTCACCTCAGTTATTTTCATGGTACGCTTAACCGTTTTACGGGTAACTTCGGTTGTCTCCTCGACAACGTCACCATCCTCATCGATGGTCTCGGTGACCATTTTCTCGCTCTCCCCGGGTATCACCTCCTCGGTGCGCTCCGTGACAACGCTGCTTTTGCTCTCCGCATCGGCATCTGGCACCGATGCGGGACTGGCTTCCGCCTGCTCTTCGGTGGCACTCATAATATCCTCATTGTCCGACATTTTTGCTAATTAACGGTAAACTGTTTCCTTAAGGATTTCACTTCTATTTGTATTTTGGCTTGTTTTTTTTGTTTTGTTTTGTTTTGTTGGTTGTTATTGTTTCGTTTATTGATCACTTTCACTTGGTTCGGCGCTTGCTCACTAAATTCTGAACTGTAGCGACTATAGCGGCCCACCGACTCGCACACAGGGGCAAGGCACAGGCACACACACTCGAAAGAGAATTTCTCAACTTGTTTCGCCTGAAAAGAACCAACCAGATATGAAAATTTCTATGTACACGCTCCGGGTTATTATATAAACAACAGAAATTTTTCCTGAAAATCTTCACTGCTAACGTTCACAATCACGATCGCGACACGGACACCAAAAAGGGCGTAACTTGATTGCGCCTGACTATATTCAAATGTGACTTTTATATTGAGTTGTTTAGTGCTCCTGGTGATGATCACTGGCGCTGGCTGTGCTTGACACTGCGAGAGTGAACGCTCAGTCAGCGACAACGAAAGACGCGACAACAACGAACAACGAACAACGTACAACGAACAACGGACAACGGATAAGGAAGAGCGACAACGAAACAACGGAGCCAGTGGCAGAGGCAGAGGCAGAGATGGAGACAGAGAGGTGCTGACAACAAATAACAGACGACAGACGACAAACGACAAACGGACGCACGACAACTTGCAAAAATGAAACAAAATGAAAATCATATATATTTATGTGTACAATTAAAAACGCATAATTCGAGATTTTTCAGTTTGTTTCAGTTGTGCAGCAATAAATTGAAAATAATCAGCGAGCAGCGCCCAGCGACAACGCACGAGGCAAATTACACGATTCTGAGGCTTCTGTCCCGATCGATGGCACTGTTCGCCGTCTGGCCTGCCACCGGAACCGTTGCCGTCGTCGTCGCCGGAGAGCGACCAAAATACCAAATACAATACATACAACTAGTTGGACATGAATCGTCTATGTGTGTCGGTGTGTGTATCTGGTGTGTGAGTGTGTGTGTGTATCTCTGGGCTTGCGTGTGTGTGTCTGTTTGCTTTTGGTTTTCCCGGCGAGCGAGATGCACAACTGGTTGGGATCAACAAAATAGTCGCAGCCAGACACAAGTGCGAGCAGGTCGGCCATAGTCAATGTCCGCTCTTTGCCATCCGCTGACGTTTGCTGCCTTTGCTTTTACTGGTGCTGCTGCTGCTGCTGCTGCTGTTGCTTGTTGCTCTGAATTTTGATTTGAATGTTGACGTTCAATTCAATATTTTGGGGCGAGCAGCTGCTAATGCTGTTCGGCCGTTTGCTAATTGTTCGTTTTGCTGCTGCTGCAAGTGCTAGTTTCAATTCTTAAACGAAATTCGAAAAAAATACTGAATGCTCAACGGACTGCAATTAGTGCTGCCGCTTGAGGCGTGAGCCGTGACGCATGTCAAATCTGTAACTGGCCCCCCATTCCACGTGCAGCGTTGGCGCTATTTTAGTACGCACCCCGCCCCCCGCTACTAAACAATACACAGCAGTCCCAAGACAAAAAAAAAGGAGAACAATTGCGGGAATGTCGCCATCTAAATACCCTTGTTCATAATATACATGAATCCCAATTGTTCCAGTTTACTGGTTCTAGACTCTACAATAATAATAAATGTGTTTTAAATACCATAAATATGGAAATGATTGCAAATCAATTTCTTAAAAATAGATATGTATATATAAATGAAAAGTTTTCAAAAGTTTTTTATTTACATTTGAAGACATGGGATAGGAAAACAGTTGTCCTTAACAATTTCAATAAAATTGGTTCGTGAAACAAAATAAGTATTTGTTGCTCAACTTTTTCAAACAAATTCCGTGAGGGCGCATAGAATATTATCTGTGTACTAAATAATTTCACACAATGCGAATATAAATAAGAAATGAATTTAGTTATTGAAACAACAGCAAAGTTTTCCCAAAACACACACTTAAGTTATAATACCCTAGGCAAGGGCATTAAAAAACTGAAACTACATATTCGAAAAAGCTTGCTGGGGGAATGGACTGAGACTGGGACTGGGCCACTGCTCGTATATATTGCTGCCTCAGCATCCCCTTCTTTCTCTCCCCCCTCTCTCTCTCTCTCGCTCTCTCTGGTTCTTTCTCTCTCGTTGTCTTTTGCGTCGTCTGCCAGTCTCTGGTTGGTCTCTGGTTGTCTGGCCGTTTGGCCTGGCGACATTTGCTTTGCATAGCGCGTTCGACAGCTGAGCTGAATTGCATTTGGTTTATAAGCGTATACAGGGTGTCCAATAGTCTAGCAGCGCTGGGATTAGCAGAATTGTGTGCATTTCATTCATGGTGATGACCGCTGCTGCTGATCGTTGCATAGTTGCAACGTCGCATTGGTGGGGCAGTGGAAACTTCCTGTATAATCGACTGCAAGATATATGAAAGATAAGTGCTTGTATTTTGCAAACAAAGCGTCAAATGAACGCAAGACATGAAATATTCTAAAATTAATGCTCGACAAATGTCTTTTTGGCTGCTCAACCACGCAATATAAGACGACACAAATATCTGCATACATACATGTCGTCTACGAGTGTGTATGAAAAGATACAGATACAGATACAGCTGCAGATACAGATACAGATACAGATACAGATGCAGATACTGTAGATATATGGCTGATTATACTGCTTGTCTATGATGAACACAGTTGTAATTGGGTCTACATTGTGCGGAAATCTTTCAAAGCTAACAGCAAAAGCTACTTAACAAATAACAGAGCAACAGGCAAAGGATAATAATCACACACACTCCCCCCCACACACACACGCACACATTTTGGTTTGTAAGGTGACGCAAAATCAACGCTCAAATTTGATTAGCAAGTAATTCATTTGTCAGTAGCGAGTTGTAAAATGTCGTCAGCCCAAGTAATGAAAAATGCTGTGGCAAATCATTAATAATACAGCCCTTGCATAAATAAGGTATAGAGCAGCCAAGGGAAGCACATAATGGGTAATAAAACAAAGCGATGGCAGTCGCTAAAAAATAATGTGGACAGCATAAAGAAAAACTCGTTCATGTGTAGGAAGGATGCAAGAGACACGAAACTACCCCACGCCCCACCAAGTCAGCTTCTGTCTCCTTGGCCCTGGCTTATTCGGTTTATCGCACGCAGTTACACAGTTGTAAATTGCATAAAGCAATTGAAGTACTTTTTATTATAAACCAACAAGCTGTCGTTTCTTTCTCCCTGCCATTTTCGCTGTGTGGCAAGTGTCGTTGACACGCTTTGACCTAGGAAACCTTGCACCAGAGCCAGATGCTGAGCAGATAAAGACCAGAGATACAGTCACTCAAGCACTGAGCATCTTAATGCGTTTTGCTATAAAGGCAATCTTCGGAATCGGAAACTGCTGCCAGTTAACGCTGTGATGCAAAACAGAAAGCGATTCATTTTCTTTGTGCACATATGGAAAATGGATTGCAATGACATCGGTCCTTCAAAGACATGGCTACTGAATATATTGAACCAATATTCAACTATTGTTGCGATTGAAAGTTGACTCAATCTTGACTAGAGATGGCAAGCGATAGTTTTTGTATCCCAGTTAAAAAAACTGGAATTAAAAGAATATTTTATTATATTTTATTTATTTCTTGAATGTATCTTATAATAATCAAATCAAAAATCAAATATTAAAGTACGAAAAATGAAGGATATAATAAAATAAATGTGGGTGTATTCAAATGCAAACGGTCTAATAGTTATTGAGAAGATTGGGGAAACCCAGAATGGGGCTAAAAATTGTTAAGCGTTAGCAGCTTAGCAATAAGAAAAGTAAAAATCCTTTAAAAATGAGAAAGATGAAGATAAAGATTAAGCAGAATTTTATTAAAGGAATAGAGAGTTCCATTTAAAATACGGTATATCAAAATTTAAATATTTGTATGATAAACATTTAATGAATTGACTTTAACTATTCCAATAAATTTTGACTGCATCAAAATTGTGACAATTTATATCTGTTCCAGCATCGCCGGTGATCTCTATTTGTTACTAAAAACACATTCAGACTACAGGCGAATATCCTGCACAAATTGAGAACTGTGCGGCCAAATAAATTGTTTGATTGGCGATTTTGCTTTAAACGGATACGCAATGCAGTTAGCAGTAGCAAGCTGTATCAATTTGTAGCAAGTTGTAGCAGTACAAATGCCCACACGCATGGCTGCACCCCCTGCAAGATATATACATATGTGTCTGTGTGTGTGTGTGTGTCCTGGCTATTGCTTGCAGTCTTTGCTTGCAGGCTTTTTGCTCGACATCTGTGTGTATCTTTGGCTTGCTACGGGCTCTGGTCCTAACTGGGCAAACAGAAATGGAAATAAATAGTTGCTTAGCTCTTTTGTCTAATTAAAACGATTTCTACTTTCTACCATATCAATTGCTTGAGTGTGTCTCTGAGTGTGTGCGAGTTGAGCCATTCAATTTGTAGATGACACACACACACACACACACACAAGCATACACACAGAAAATAAACTGTGACCATTCTGGCTATGTTGGCTGTCAAACTGTTTCATCTTCATTTCGTTTGCATGCCCACCTCCGACTGGGAGCTTTGGAAAACCATTATGATGATTTATGGGCGGAAATTATTTTTTGGGTTGCCTAGTTTGAGCTTCCCCTCAAGAGCCAAATCTACTTTGGCAGGTCTATAAAAACATTATTTTTTTCTTGTTGTTGGCCTTTTGCTAGCTGCCTAAAGGCATGCAACAGTTTTCATTTTCAATTCCGTTTGCCGCAAAGTTTGCTCGCATTTTTCACACTTGGCCGCATCTTTTAATTCGAAAAGCAATTTTCGGTCATTCGATTTAGGAACACGCCCATTCTCTATTTCGCCCAGTAGGCTCTGAGATGACCGCAGATTGATGAGTTTTATACAACACTGGTGTTGCTGAAAATATGGCATTTCCTGTTCTCGGATTGGTGTTTGACAATTTGCAAAATACCAATTTGATTACTTTACATGATTTGCAAATTGAAACAAAAACCAAGCAACAAGTGGCAATCAATGATGCCATAAAACCACACATTTATGGCAAGAGCCACAGCCGAAAGCTTCGCCGAGTGCTTTTATGGCAACGAAAAGCACACAGCATGCATAGAGTTATGCGAAAGCTGTTTTACCGGAATTTCACAAACTTAAAAGCTGTCCGACAACAGAGTTGGGGACTTTACCCATTGCGCTGAGTAAGCTCTAACTAGGGTTTAACCCAGAGCCAATGGTTTACCAGTTAGTAAGTTAGTAATCAGCCAATACCTTACTCTCCAAGTCTCATTTAAAAAAAGAAACCCAAAACTGAGCGCGCTTATCAGCCCCCCAAAAAGTCAAAGGTGCTTTTAAGTTCCCCTGCGTGGCTATGGCTTTTTGGGAGCGCAAGCTGTAAGTGCCTCTCAGCAGCAGTAGTAGCAGCAGTAGCAGAGACAGATGCAAGCTCTTCCAGTGCGTAGGCCAAGCCAGGCTAAATAAAGCCCCAGCAGCTTGCGAGTCGACGACTCGCCGCCATTGGCAGTTTGTATTTTGACGCGTTGCCAGCCACATCGTAAGCGCTTCCAAATGTAATAAACGCAACAATTGCCACTAAATAATATACAACTTTTGATCAAACGAAAGAGCAAAACACATAAGGAGAGATATATATATAGAGAGAGAGAGAGCGATACCGAGAGAGAGAGAGAGCGAGAGAGAGTGACAGAGTGGTGCGAGTGTGCCAGAGAGAGCAAGAGTGCGAGTGAGAGCTTTATGTGTAGTGACAATCAAAATTTTAGCCAACGACTTTTGTCTACAGCGTCATTTGGTGCTCTTCTGTGGAATTGTTTTGATTGTGTGAGCGAGCGCGAAAGCAACAAACAAAAGTTGGTCCGCGGCATATTGTTGTCTTTTCGTGTGGTGTCAGCCAAGTGTTAACCAGGTCTTAATGCCAAAGTGAAAGTGGTCTGAGACAATAACAATTTGTTTTCAAATTGCACCAGTTTTCTTTTATTACGCGCAATGTTTATTTACTTAAATTATTTTTAGTCGTTAATTGTTCTTAACTTTTTTGCTTCAGTTCGAAGGTCATCTCTTGTTGCTTTCATTTTTTTGTTTTTTTGTTAATCGGCTTAAGCTTTTGAGAGGCCTCTACCGAATTGAGCTTAAATCGGAATTCTCGTCAATTGTTATTGTTTTCTTAATAATAAATGAATCACAGCGAAACAAGAATGAAAACGTGTTCATTAAATATAAGTGAAAACATTTTGAATGTATAAGATAATAAGCAGAAAACTTATAACAAATTCAATTTCAAGTTCCTTGAAACTTGCTTAATATTCTGTGTGTTATAAATAAAGATTTACTTAATTATTTCATTAACTATCAGTTTAACTGCAACTTGCCTAAACAAGGAAAACACCTTCAAAAATGAGCGCTGTGGATGCCATCATTAACTATAAACGCAGTCCCAACGAGGACTTTTACGGTCTGCTTCACTGCGATGAGACCTCATCGGTAAGACCCAAAGTTGAATTACACTCAATAATCAATTAAGTTTATAATGAGCTGTGAGTTGCAGAGCCAAATATTTGGCACACAGCATTCGCATTAGCTGCTGCCAACGTTCAACTTTAGCCAACAATCTAATTAGGATTTAATTAAATTAAGTTTGAGAACTTTATCGCTGCAGAAAAATGGCAGCCACAGAGGCAACAAACTCAGCTAGATACAAATTGAAATACAAAATGAAATCAAATAAAAGTTGGTTTTGAGCGTCGGGTTATTTACTTTGAGAATTAGCTTCAATTACGTTTCGTATTCAGAGTCGATCTAGATTGAAAGAGTCAAAAGCATCAACGGCTCTCAGTAATAACCGCAAAAAGTAGTTGCCAACTGGCAATTAGAGAAAACGATTGTGGTTTTTTTTTTTTGTTGCATCAACTCTAAGCCCTTCAATTAACTCAAAACTTTTGGGTAAGCCTCTTTGCACCACACTTACCTGTATTTTTGTTATAGTGTGGCAGAAGTTAAGCCTAGCTATTATTTTGTATTTCAACTTGATGTGGCTTGTGGTGACCGACTGTCAACTGACAGACAAAACACTTAGCATTAGCCGTACTCAACATACAAATTAAGTTGGCCTTACTGTTGACACATAAAGCACTTTTAACCGCATTCCAAAATATTTTGTTGGTTTTATCTGTATTGTGCTAAAAATCTCTTGCTAGCTTAATAACATTTAGCTCCACATACACATACTCATAAAAATCGGGGTTTATCAAATTTTCTAGTTGAGAATATTTCAATAACAATATTATTATCACGTACACATTCTGAAAAACATAACCCGAAGGCAACTCTGTGGGAACCTTTGCCTGCCTGCCTGCCTGGCTGGCTTGTTGGTGTAATCGAGTTCAGTGGCATGAAAAATGTTTGACGTTGCCGCAATTTTCCACCTGTAAACAATTTAATGTTGGCAATTTTTCAAGCTGTCGATTGCATCATGTTGAGCCATCTATTAAATTATGCACGAGTTTTCTCAGAGCATCACTCTTGATGAGGGTGAAGACTGTGGGCGAAAATGCTCAATGTCCATGGGGAAATTGTCCTCATTCATATTAAAATTTATATTTACTGGAGCGAAGCCTCAAAATCTGTTTGATTTGTTTGGGTTCGTGGGAAAAGCAACACAACAGATAAATTTTTGTTTTACAAAGTGTGTAAAGCAATGTAAAATACATGTTAGATTCCATTAGACATAAAATTTGGATTTTGCATTTAAAATGGATGATCCCAACTGTCAGCAGACCATTTATAATAGGAATTTTCCCATAGAACCAAATTGAAGATATACTTTTACATACTTTGGGCAAACTAATACAAATCGTTTGCATTGTTTATTGAAGAAGATTCTTTGTTTTACTAGGCACAATATTCAGCAAATTTCAAGCAAAATATGATGAATGCTATCAAGTTGAATTAATTAAATAAAGTATTTGCGTTCAAGTACAAATATTCCAGAAAATGTTATAAAATTTGCGTTATGGAATTTACACTTTCCCAATTTAATATTCCGCAGCACTTTTTCATGTACTTGCCAAAAGTCCATTTCATGTTGCACGCCACTTTCAATTGTGTTGATTGCTTGCACTGTTTTTGGAATTCACAAATTAAACTGCAACAATTCAGACGCCTCGTGTTTATTGTTATCCATAAATTGTTTGTTCCGCAAATGAATTGAATTGTCTGCAGCTCAACTTAAGCAACTTTCGTGTCTATTCTCATACAGATAAACTGGCCATTGTGTCCAGATAAACTTATGTGAAGCTCTAATGGAAATTTGCATAAGTCAGGGCCACCATTTACTGATGTATATTTACACATACGTGAATGTTTATGCAAAAATCTCTGTAGAACAATTGGGATTCGGGCTTCAGACTCATTTGCATCCGGGCACAATCAAATGGAAATACGCTACACTTCATTTCATGGCGATCCATTCTAATTGATCAAGTGAATATAAAATGGTTCAATTTAATTGCATTACGCAATTCATATACTCAATTGCACCAGGGAAGTTTTACAATTCAATTCTGTTTAGTATATATAAAAATGACTCATTTGGCATGATGAAAATTATATTACGATTGGATAGGGAATTTAAGTTGCAGTTTCTCGTTTGTGCTACTTTCACTCGAACTGATGACGAACTGTTTTCAGAGGATTTGCCTGCTAGAATAACAAACTGTCAACACACAATTTAATACGACATCTTATATGTGTGTATTTGTGTGTGTGTCTAAGCATTCAATATCAAATTCCAATAATTGTGTAAATGTGAAGACTTCAACAAGCACACCCAAACACATACACACAGAGAGAGAGAGAGAGAGAAAGGAATGCAAACACAAGCGGTTGCCAATGTATACCAGAGATTCATTAAGTTAATTATAGGCGTGTGTGTGCTTGCTTGTATGTATGTATGTGTGTATGTGTGTGTGAGTGTGTGGAAAAACAGGTGTAGTGTCCTTGTCTTCTGTGCCAATAGCATTTGTTTCTGCCTCTTGTCATCCGCTGCAGTCTGTCGTATGAGTAATATTAATTGCGTCGAAATTAATTATACACCCCGTTGCCGTTGGCTGAACATAACAAAACTCAACATGCGCAAATAACACATTTTCATGGAAAATGTAGATGTCGAGCACACTATATAACATATATCTATATGCTATATGCTAGATATACGCAAAGATTTTGGCTGTCAATATTTTATGAGGACAAAAGGCAAAAGAAATAAATAACTGACTGATTGACTGACTGACTGACTGAGTGACTGCCAGAGTGAGTGCTGCAGTTGGTTGGGTATTTGTTTGCATGGCATTGACATTAATTGTGCTTGTGGATTTTTATTGTGCTAGAAAAGCCATTTCCATCAACAATTCCGAGAAAAACAAGCCGCTTTGTTTGTATATATTGCGAGTGGTGGCAGCTGCGACCGGCAGTCTTTCAAAGGATAATGCGCTTTTGTGGTTCGCGTTGTGATGACAACTGCCAAGTTGCTTGGCCGGACGCTTAACTTGGTCAACAGCAAACAGTTGGCTGCGATGTTTGCTCCCGGCTGCTCCGTTGTCTTCGACTGTCAGCAACTTGTTGCTGTCCCTGCGGACACATTGGCTTAATGAATTTCGCTTTCTTTGACTCTAATATCAGTTGTTAACGTAATCAGGACTACGCCAAGGACTACGTGCCATAAGTTTGTCATCCTCTTACATATATCACATTTTTGCAAGATTTACTTTTTCCAATTATGCCACAACTCGGCTCGTATTTCAAACAGTTCAATATAATTATATTGAGTGGTTTTCAGTTTCACACCAAATATTCGTGGATACCAATTCCCAGAATCTAAATTGTTTATATATATGTGTGTGTGTGTGTGTGTGTGAATGTGATTGCTGTTTATGGTTATCGCACACGCCCACAGTTGCCGATGCTTGAATTCTAATGCCATGTCATTCAAGGCTTTGTCTGGTCTTGACAGCTTTACCTGTCGTGTGGTTATCACTACGCTCCTCCTCCACATTTTGTCCCAGATGACGTGACTTGTTCACTTTGTCAGGACGTTGTGTGCGATGTATCGACATATCGCATTATCCATCTTCATCAACATCTTTATCAACGTCTCGGGGGGAGAGCGTAAAATCTGCATGACACACAACAGTTTGAAATATTGTATAATGTTTGAGTGTGTTACGCGAGAGACCTCTTTAAGATGTATGCCACAAAGTGCTTAGTTAATTTACGGCTAAAAGAGAATTTCTTATTGCAATTTACTTAATTTGCGCAATTTTGTTCCTTCCCCAGCCGGAGCAGATCCAAGCCGAATACAAGGCACTGGCCCTCCAGTATCATCCCGACAAGAACAACGGCGACAAGGATGCGGAGGCCAAGTTCCAGCAGCTAAAGGTAAGCAGCAAAAGAGACGACAAAATGAAAAGCCCAGCAGCGAAAAAAAAGGCACACGTTCAGCTGTTTGCATATTTAATAAAGTAGCAGGCGGGGTGCCTTAAGTAGGCAGCAATGGGAATGCTCAGCACCATTGGCCTGACCCCCCAAGGCAATCAGTTTAAGTTGAAAGCTTTGCCACGGAATTGTTTGGCAAGAAAAACATGTTTTCATTTTGGGTGCTAAGGACGATGCTGATCTCCTTGTGTACCGCATATAAGTTACAAGAGAAACACACGGTTACCGTAATAAGAAACTAAACAAAAAATAAATAAGCACTTTACATATACACTCAGCAAAAAGAAAATCGCGTAAAATTATTAAAAATCGCCACACTTTTCTCGGCAAACGTAACTCACCTTATAATTCAGAAAGTTTATTTTTAAACGGAAATATTGTGTAGTTTTTGAAAACCCTGGATTTTTATGTAATCATTTTAGAGTAGATTCTTCTAAAATTTTGAGAAAAGATATTTTATTTTCAGGGTGTTTTCATATGAGTACAAATAACTCTAACAATCACTTTTTTCTACTTATTTCATTAATAGACAGTAATATTATTATTACTAGTTATACATTCATAATTATAAATTGGAAAAATTTGGAAAACAGCTGAACTCTAACTAGCAGTCGAAAAAGCAAGTTTCAGTAATTTTCGAATTGTAGAAAAGATTTTTTTTAATAATCTCTAAGAAATATAAATAAATAAATATATGTATATAGTTTTATATTTATCAAATAAACAGAAAAGAGGTTTTAATTTTTTTATTTTCTTATATTTATAAATGAATTATTAATTATTAGTTTTTTCCAATTTTTCTTTAAGAACGATTTTCTAAATTTCAATACGAATTTTTGCTCAGTGAATGCGAAATACGCGTGAGATGAGCTAAATGTCTGCCTGTCAGGCATAAAAACTTTAGAGCCACATAGAACAAAGCACTTGCACATACACACACACACATACACACACACACGCACACACACCTACATACACACACACCTACATACACACACACAAGCAGAATTCAATAGTTAGTCTGACACACTCATTTACACTCAACCTCAAATTGAATTTTGCACACAACAAAAAGCTGGCGAGATCGCGAACACTTTATGAGAAGATAGCATAAATTACATATGCCTCACATAGATATACATATGTATGTATATATACCATTATTTGGATAAAGTATTATTGATTTTTCACTGTGTCAGAGCAACAAAAGAAAACAAACACTCTATCATAATATATGCCATATATATATATATATATATATATATATATATTTAAATAGGTATGCGTGGCTATTGTTAGTTTATGTCATAGAACGGGGAGAGGGATGGTGGAGGGGAAGGAAGAGAAGGGGGAAGGGGCCGTCAACTGTGCCAAACAGTTTGCCGTATCCACGTCCGTTTTTCGCTGCTGGTCATTAGAGTCCTGTCAGCTATAGCGACACTAAAACTTGTATTATGCGTTTCGGCAACGACAACAGGAACATGTCGAGTGGAAGTCTGCTTCTATGGTTGATAGTTGCGCCTCTGAATCCAGGACTCCATGTTGCCATAAAAACGCAAATAAAATTTGCAGATATTATGGTTGTCTGTATGACTGTCTGTATGGGTTTGGATATGTGTGCGTTGATGTATAATTGGGTGTGGAGAATCTTTTATGGTTACGGTCAACGTCAAAGCCATAAAATAAAGGCTGATGCCGCCCATAAAACAGTTTAAGTGAAAAACTGAGATTTCAATGAATCCGAAGTGATGAGAAAATGTCACAAAATGGTTTTCAGTACGATTTCTAAAACATATGCAAGAAGCGTAGCTGTAAAGGTGCTGAATGCAGCTTAAGATAAAAGCATTTAATAATTTACACTATTTCTTAATTTAAGCTGAAAGCTGTTTATTTTTTAAGAAACTAATATTACTGATATTAATATTTCAGTGTCAAGATTGTGCTTAAAATGCTTTTACAAATTTATACCAAAGAAGATTAAATATATATTTATAATGCAGTAGTTACAGACTTAAACCTTAATTGAGCACTTTAATACGGCTTTGGAAGACTAAATAAACTTAAAAAACAAGTTGCAACTGCATAAATATAATTTGTAATGCAGATAGAGAATATAGACATATATTCAAAAAAAGAAACACTATTTTTTAAAGTGGTACCTTACCATTCTTGACTTGTTAAAGTTCAAGGCAAACTAACAAACTAACTTTCTTGTTGTAAGAGTAAAGACCACATTGCTGAAGGCGAAAATTAATTGAAGAGAAGGAAACCAGCGAGCATCTAGCGGAAAATGACTAAGCTCTGAAACGTTGCTTGCTGACCCACATAGTCAATGAGTAGTAAAATAATTGATTATCATGTAAGAAGCGCAAACAACAGTGACGCTAGTAAAATCTCAGCATCACAGCGTTTGTGCGTCTGCCTGTGAGTGGGTGTGGTTGTGTGTGTGGTTGTGTGTGTGGGTGTGTGTGTGGGTGTGTGTGTGAGTCTACGGGCTTTGAATATCTGACAAACGTGCCCGCAGGCGGCTTTGGCACAAAAGTTGTAGACGCCTAGCGTAAAGGATGTGTGTTTGTGTATTCTCGAATCATTCCCAGATACGCTATCAAAGTCACTTGAGCGTAAAAACGTATTTTCCCATTTATGTGGCCTTCTGTGTGTGTGTGTGTGTGTCTGCATGTGTCTGTCTGTGTGCGTGTAAATCAGAGCCTTGCTAATAAGTGTGCTACGCAAATTGATTATAATGAAAGCAATGGCTAAACCATAGACAAAGATAGATAGAAGGCTTCTCTGCTATTTGTTTTGGGGCTCATCCAATTTGATTTCAATCGACCAATGTAAATAAACATCTGAGTGTTTTGGGACGTTTTTGCTTTATTTTTGTGTTTTTTTTTTTTTGTTCTCAGGAGGCCAAAGAGACGCTGTGTGATCCGGAGAAGCGGGCCGTGTACGACAAGTGGCGCAACAGTGGCATCTCAATGAGCTACAAACAGTGGCTGGGCATGAAGGAGCACGTCGGCCAGGTGAGAAGATACACAATTGCCGAGAAAGTGGATAAAGAGGTATGCGTATGCGCGAGGAATACAGCCAAACAGAGAAGTAAACTCCAATCCCCAAAACGATTGTAGTCAACTGGGGAACTGTTTTATTCGAGTGCCGTTTGTTCCCTTCTATTTTGATTTCCATTTATGGCCAATCGAGATTTATTAAAGTTACATATGCATTTCTAAACGGTACATGCCGAGGCAGGCATTTTCATCTTCTTCATAACAATACTGAGTGGCATCCACTATCGCGAAGATATGTTTGGATATGTTAATCAGTCTGTTTTTGGGCGCTAATGATGACTTGCGACACACTCGATAGTTTCGATTTCCAGTGAATTTTAGGGTTTTAAATACTTTGTACAAAATAATAATTCAGTTCAGAGTGTAAGTCGTAAACAAGCCATTACATCATACCAATTTACTTTGATATATATGTATATGAAATGCATCTTAATTTGTTTGTCCTCTCGCAAAATTGTGCAGCTAATGGAATTAGTAATCCGATACAGAAGCACTGGCGTAGTAGCAAACTTAATATGATTAATCATAGTGCTACAGTCCGAGCTCTGTGCTAATTTCCATAGCAAATTCACGAGCAATCAGCAGAGTTGATAGACGGGCGAGTCCTGTGCATATTTTGTTTGGTTGCGTGTTGGCCTGGTCATAAACTGGCATCAGTGAGGACTCAACAATTGGCAGAGGAACTTCCATTGGTTACAATTTGGCTCTGCGGTTGCAGTCAATTCGACCAATGCGGTTAGATTCCCATTTGCCTGCCATATTTGTAGAGTTAAGTTTTTGATCAAACGGTACATAGGATAAGCAGACCTCAAACTCAGCATAACTAGAAATATGTTTGAACTGAACTTGTAACAAACTTTCATTTAAACTCCCTTTCTAAAGCCTGATTCTGGTCGCCTGAGCACCTCCAATATTTACGTATTTATGATATTTTTGTGAATGTGCCTCTTCATCCAAAGTGTTCTTCTCAGTGTACGCCGTGCATGCCAATTAGGAGCTAATGCATCTGACCTTATATTTCGAGCACCAAAATCCAAGATCTAAACTAATGTAAATACACAAACAAACATATTTGTACATATCAAATGCATTAGCTCTGACAATAGTTGCGCCGCAGTTGCTGTGGTCAGTTTAATTAAAGTTTAATTATTTTCCAATCAATCAAAGTCAATGCATTGGGCCACACCAAAAACCAAGGATCGCATGCTACCAGAGACTGGACCCGGAGCCCCGCCAGGTGCTGGCTCCAGCAGCGGCGGCCTCTCAGCCGCATCTCCGAATCCAGCTCACCGACGGGCCTCGGAGGGTGGGGCTGCTTTATACTACGGCAACCGAAAGGCCGAGTGGGGCACAGAGAATACTGATGTGGCCAACAAATTCCGTAATTATGAAATCTAAGCGCCATTCTAGCAATACTGAAGGGAGTGGACAGTAGAATGGGGAGTGTTGCGAAAGACGTGAGGATTATCGATGTTTTGAGATGAAATCTGAAGAGGTCTTAAAGTAATTTTTATCCATATTTATAGCTCATCGAATGGCAATATATCTCGATGAGAGTTTCAAGAACACATATTCCAATTAAAAACACTTACAAGCAAAACATATAAGAACAAATCAAAGAGAACATATATCAAAAGAGCATTGAAAAGTGAAATACAAAATATATTAATCAACTCTACTTGCATAAGTATTTAAAAAAAAAAAACGTTCGTGTACAAGTACACTGATATATATACTTACATAATTATATTGATGTGAACGTAAAATGTTGCAAATTATATAAATGTTTATAGGTGTATAAAAATATGAAAAAATGGTAATTAATTATATATATAGAAGAAACTGTAATTTCAATAAACATAAGGCTTGAATGCGGCAAGAGTTTTAAGTTAAGTTTAATTGCTACATTTAGAAGTATTTAGTCAAATTTTAAATGTGAATTGTCAAACTGAAGCATATACAAGCACATCCTATATAATGAATATATATTTATCTACAACTATTTGTATATCGATGTATTTAACATGTGCCCCCAAAAGACAATCCCTTTGGAAGTGTTTACTAGTGCACTAAAAACAAAAACCAAATATATTCAAGCTGAAACTAGCAGCAAAATGCCCACCACAATAAATACTGCATATATTGCATATATGATAAAATGAAAGGTATGACAAAAATCCTACAACAAAAAAGCGAATTTAATAACTTTATACACGAGTAAAACTGCATAGTCAAAAAAACAAAAAAACCAAAAAAAAAAAAAAAAAAACTTTCACTTGGTGTCCTTTAAAGTGTGAAACTTATATTTGCACACAAAACTAAAAACCTAAACTTTTTTATTTATGAAAAAGCAACGCCACTCAAGGGCTCATAAAAAGTATAAAAAAAAAATATTTAAAACAAAAACCACTTAAAAAAAAAAGTAAATGTTTTGATGAATTGTTGTTTTAATATTGATGTGTGATGCAATTATTAAATGCTAAACAAATGAATATCAAAGCTATGAGCGAAAATATAAAATCGCTTCCATAAGGTACTAACTATATATGTTTGATTTAAATCATATTGAATTTACTCAAATACACACATATTATTGAACAGATACATACATATTGATAAAGTTAAATCAAAACACTAGCGAAGTATTGTCAGTTTTAACTGAAAGGAAGTCTTTAAGAACAGAAACTTGCAGCTGCAAGCCAAAGGCTAAATGGTTTTTTTCAGCCAACGTGGCGGATGAAATTAGTAAGACGAAGCAACTAACTAGCAACTATGCAAATACATATAAATATTGAATTTTATGAATGTATAAGTGGCAAAAAAAAAAAACAAAACAATAAAATCAACTATTTGAAGAAGTTTCTTCCGCTGGAGAGTCTTCAGGTATTAAAAAGAAGCATTTTATTTACTTGAAAACTAAAACTAAGATGTAAGTAACACAATATTTACTCATTTCAACTTTTATAAAGGTTTTTATTTAACTTGTATTGAAGACTGAGTCATCCCACAAGTCGCAAGGTCGAAGATCCGATTGATCGTATTCACGTATCCAGCGATTAAGCACTATATGAGAAGTGTGTTTGTTACAGCAATAAAATTCAACAATTTTTCAAATAGGTCGTTGCTTACCCCACTTGGAACCCACTATTATGGGGCAACCACCGTGCAGGTTCCTCCAGTCACCTTTACCTGAAGCATGCAGATTATACCAAAAGGCGGCTAAAAAAAATGGATATTATTAGGAGAGGTGAGCTGGTGAGCCTTCATTAGAAATGGTCGCGTGACGGCACATCAACGCGAACGTGACTTTAAAAAATTCAAGTCAATTGTATTATATAACATTGAATATATATTTGCATATCTTTTGCTAAAGTTATCATGCGGTTGCGTGTTATGCTAAGTTAAGTGCGCGATAAAGTCACAAAATCGAATTAATCTGAAACACATATTGGATTGCTAAAACATAACGTACCCGCATATTTCTTTGGCTTTAGTAGTTGCTTTAGAATGGGAAATGCGGTGCCCCCACCTTGTGCCACATCCGAGAGCTGTTTGGAGTAAGAAAATAAATATATATATGTGGCTGGAATTGGCGCCGTTACCTAAACTTGACTCACATAAAACAATACGGTGGCAATGCGATTTCCCATTTCATCACATTTGGAATTTGCGAGGTCACTCTGTAAATTAGCATAGAAAGATTTCGATTCAGCTTCCGCCAAATACTTCACCATCCTCTTACTTACATTACCGAACCAGTCAAAGTGCTGACTATAGTGTCCGCCAATGCCGTAGTCGGCCAACTGATGATCCTCCGCATACTCTGCACACTCGAGATTATATTTTATTTGTTGTGTGACAATTAAAAGTCAAGATGGTACTTACGCATATTCAGATTTGTCATATCTGCCACACGTTGATCGATGGTGCGCAACACTTTGTGACGCGTTGCAGCGATGAATATATGCTGGCTTGTGCGTTTTTTGGACACAGTGCTGGTGCTATTAATGACCACCCCGGCGCGTTCATATCTTTTTCGGTTCAGCTTATTTAGAACATCGATTTCACTCTGATAAATGACGTCGTGGTAGAGCACGAGCAGCGGATTGCGATTCAGCTCCTCGACCTTAAGCGGTGCCAGCAACAAAAAAGGATGCGTCTCAGACATATAGCCACAGCGCAGGTTCCGTTCCTCCGGTGGCGTTTTTTTTATATAGCCATTGCAGGTGTAGCGATATATTTCGTCATGACTTAGATTCGATAAGTCCTCGGGCACGGGCTACGATGGATATTATTGTGCATTGCATTATTGAAAAATAATATCAATTTGAATACTTACCTCGTGCTCTTTGAAAGGGTTTGCCAATGTCAGGTCATCAATTTGCGTTTGTGCTTGCAGGAAGACTTCGTAGTTATGATGATGCCCACTGCTTGGCTCCAGTTCTTTAAGTATCTCCAATGTGCTATTAACACCCCGAGAATCACTTAGTGTGGCCTTAACCTGTACAAGTTGCCCCAAAATGTGTGGCAATAGTTTACTACGATCACTACTGGATAGACGATTGTGCGCCTCCAACAGCCAGGCGTGGGCCAGTTCTGGGTACTTAGTCGTCAGCGCCTGCTGGCCAATCTCCAGGCATTGTTTGGCATTTAGCTGCATGCTTTGTTTTAATTGAAATGAGGTGAGGTTTGTAAGTGGCATTTCAACATTTGACTCACCCATAGGCAACACCATCCAGTATACCAGCAGCCAGATGTTTAGTCTGTAATCTGTATATGAATTGTATTCGAAGCAAGCCATCAATGGTACCAGTTAGATCCTCTGGTTTGGGCATGTTGTCTCGTTGACGCAATCGCTGCAGGCGTTTCAGTGGCTCTGTAAGTAGATTGCACGCAGGTCGCGTATTTAATGGAATTGGGATATAAGTTGATTTGGGGGCACCCACTCTCGCCGGTTGCGGCAGCCATGAGATTCTCAATGCGTTGCCAGTCCACCGTCAGGCGTTTGCTCAACAAATATTTGTTCAATGGACTCTCAAAGTATGCGATGCCCCATTGCTGCGCCTCGCTACGCTCACTCTCGTATTCGTCCAACCGTCTGTAATGTAATTTTCAGTTGCATAAAATTCAATTAACGACGACCCAGTTTCAACTCACGCTCGCAGAAAATCCAATTTTCTCTCATTATCGGCAATGAATTTTTGAATATGCTGCAGCATTTTCTGCTCGTAGATAAATACGTTAGACATCTCATGAATGGATGAGAAGTATTCCGCATTGGCACCACACCAGATCAGGACTGGCAACACGGCCAGGGCCGCACTTAGTTTACATTCTGCTCTCAAGAATATCATCTTTCGATCCGATATCCGCACTCAGTCACGACTCGCGGTTAACTAATTTTGCGAGTTGACCCCACGCGAATTGATCACGGTCATGGCTTCTATATATTACATAATTTTTAATAGGCATAGGGTGAGTTTCAGACACAAAATAAGCATAACCGGTTTACGCTTATGGTTAACGTAAAGAAAGCTAGGGTTCATTGCGCCTCCAAACTGGTTTAGAATCAGCTCCACAATCAAGAAATTACCTTTCCACCTTATCTCTCACAAGTGTATTACTCAACTTTACCATTTCATATCTTATTATTCAAGCAAGAAGGATATATGTATTCTATTTATTGTGATTAATGGACCACTTATCTAAAATACTGTACTCATTATAGTAAAAACAAATAAAACACAGCCGCTTAAAGCATACAAAATATGTATCTTAAGAACATCTGAATATTGTCTGCAGCCAAATTAAATGTCTATCCCAACTGAATTGTCCCAATTTTTTTTGTGGTATTGTTTCTTTCATACATAAGAAAAACCGTACAACATGCAACTGTGTAAATATTAGCTAAGCTGTTAAAGTACTCGGTGAAATAACCCCCACTGCCTTTAGTTATGGAAAACCAATCAGTCGTAATTTAAACCTACTGTGGTTAACATGTTTTGGTTGAATTCTATTCTGTTCAATTTTTGTTGTATTTGCGTAGGATTGCGCAGTGTTTGTGCCAAAAACGTCGCGTCCAATAATGAGATGCAAAGTTTTCTTGAAATGGAGGATATTTTCATAAGAAATTTTGACTCATATTTGAACAAGGCGGCCGAAGAACAGCAAAGTATTGTCAGGTGGGTGCGATTGCCAAAATGATAACCTCAAAGTCTTAATTATTTTCGAAATCGCAGATTTCTGAAGCGCGTTGCTACCGAGTATGAGAATATCAAAGATCCAGGGACATATTTTGGTAATCCGTTGAATACCGTCGTAATGATCAGCCGCTTCGCAAATAACTGGAAGCACGAGGTCTTCGATGTAATAGCTTCCAACCACACTTTCACTCAATACCAAACAAAGTTAAACAACGAGTTAGACGAGTACAATATTGAGAAACCAACGATGGATGATCTGCAGTTCGCCAGTTACGATATATTGAACATGCAGGAGATTCATAATCTGAATACATCAGAGTTGGCAAATGCAGTTCTGTCCATCGACGAAGAGACAGGCGAGAATTCGACACTAAGTGCCAGCGATTGCTACATGATTGGACGTTCTCTGTATGAACTGCAGAATTATAGCTTCGCCACCGAGTGGCTACAGCAGGCACGACAACATGCATCGAATGATGGCCCAGAGTTCCCCACTGTTAATCGCATTAAAATACTAGAAGACTTGGTACTGTCACTGAACCGGCAACGCAGCTACAAGCTGGCCAGCAAAGTGAACAAAGAAATATTAAAATCTGAGCCCACTCATGCGAGAGCGCTAATCAATAAAGTTGATCTGCAGAACAAACTAACTTTGGAGCGAATCAAAATCTCAAACCTCGATCTAGAAGAAGATCTATAAACAGAATTCCAACTAGCAAACAAATAAAGCATATATCTTAACCACAATAAAACAATTACAGCTTAACAAATTGGCTATTGGTAATGATTGCAATATGACACAAATACATTTTGCTTTATTATTTGAACGAGAATTGACATAAAGCAAGGGACTTCAGGCAACAACAGCAAAACTGAAAGCTGATATAGAAAACAATATCAAAACAGATATTCAACTTGTGCAACGTGTTGGCAAAATTGACAGGCAGTAATTTTTCAATGTTCCTAAGGGACTTGTGCGACACTGAGTTAGGGTGATAAAGAGGACTTGATGCATTCAGGAAAGCCACTTGCCATAAGGATGAAACTTGCTTGATATTCGAATAAGTTATTGATTGACAGAATGGTTGCCAGTAACAAAAACTGGTATTTCATATGTTGCATTGCTACTCGTGGCGTTCAAAATGTTTGAATGTGAATTTTGTACTTTTAAATTATGTTAAATTATATTATATCATTCTTGACTTAAATTATAATTGGATGGGTTAAATAATTTCACCACTAATAAAAAATAATAGTTGGACACTTCAGACTAGAACATTCCTGCTAGTTGTTGCTCGAATTTTTGTTGGATAAATAAAGAAGTAAACTGCTCAATGTTTACAAAGCTGCTCTGCGTACTGCTCGTCATATAATTCAGCTGCTGCCAGCAGGTTGCCCACTTTTCCAAGTAAACGCTCAAGTTCAAAGCAGAAACTGGTTTGAGGCTTGGAAGTTTCTGATAATTTAGCAAGTGAAAATTCTGAGTGGTTGCGGTAGGCTAAGTGGCTTAAGTGGCATTAAATAATAACCGAAGGACATCGGAAGACAGGGCCGAGCTGATTTAGGTAGCCAATTATGGCATTGGCAGACACTTGAAGTCGCACCTTTACTAATATTTATAATTAATAACTAATCAGTTTATGATTGAACTCTTAAATTGGCCTTTGACTTGGTAGCTTACCAATCACGAATTCTATGCAAATTGTTATATCAATTATGATTATTATTATTCCAAGCTCATCTTTTCTACTCTCGAAACTCAGCAACAAGACAACGTTTATGCGATTACTCTACTCGTATGTAAAGAACGCTTTATATAAATAAAGAAGAGAATACAAACTAAAGCTGACGATGAGTGGCTTCAAAAGACAAAATCTCAACTTCACCTTTTACATTAGCAAGCCAAGATTCATGGTTTCAGTTTAGCTACAGCAGCCAACCCGGTTGGTTATGGCATTCTACCATAATTTTATTGCCATCAATAAGTAGCCAATATGTTTTAACAAAAGAATATTAAGTATATATGAAAGCTCGCCGTGAACTTGAATTATAATCGAAACCAACATAGAACCAGCCATTGACCCGGTCCAAAACAGAAAAGAAAACAACAACAAACACAACCACTGGCAATTATGCAAATACATGAATCAGCGCGATTGTTGTGGCTACTTTGGCTAGCTTTGATGTGGCCAATAGCTGTAAGTGGCAGCACTGACGACCATTTGCGAGAGCTGCTGACCACAGAAACCGAACTCATCGATGCACTGCGTGATTATATTGATGCACTCGATGAGCAAATTGAAGTTATCAAAAGCGAGACGGCGACCATTGAGCAAATACATCGGCAGGTAGGCGACCAGGTGGTTGAGCATGTGGGCAATCCCCTTAATGTGCTCAACATACTGACGCGTTTCAATAGTGTTTGGCCATTGCTTGAACAGCAAGCGAATGCTACTCACAACCTGGCTAAAAATCTGCCCGACTACGAGACGGAACTGCAGTTACCCAGCGAGGAGGAATATGAGGTTGCGTTGCTCAATTTGCTGCGCCTACAATCTGTCTACGACCTCAAACCAGCCACCCTCTCACTGGGCATAGTCCATGGCATTAAGCTGGGGTAAGTGTCCATAAGACCAAATACAAACAATTCGAAATTGAAAATTCCTTTTCATCCCTACAGTTCGGTTATGTCTTGGAGCGATTGTCTCGAAATGGCACGTAACTCGGATGGAAATGGAGACTATGCCGTAGCAAAATATTGGCTGGACACGGCACTGGGAAAACTGCCAGATGGAAACAATGTGACTACCTCAGTCAGCGAACAGGAACTTGGCAAAGTACAGATACTTGAGACATCTCTCAATATGGATTACCGGGCAGGTGCGTATCAAATGAACAATTCATAAAACTTTATCTATTTGTACAAATTGCTTAACAACAGGTGAATATTTGAGCGCACTCATAACTGTTAAAGAATTGCTCCAACTGCGACCGACAAGCCAAAAATTTGAAAAGCTGAAGGCCCAGATTGAACGAGCATTAAACGGAAGTCAGGAGAAATTACCAAAACGCAAAACACAAGAGGCAAAGGTAAATACAAAATATGCAAATTTTATGCAACAGGCATAAAATAATTCGATTGAGTAACATTTGGAAATACTTAACTTGATTGTTATTGAATCGCAGTTATGTTAATTAAGCATAAGGTTAGTCTCTAAAATTATTTAAATGTAGTTGATTTGATGAAGGGTCGCTTAGTTCGATGAGTATTTATAGTAAACTCATATAAAGACTTTTTAAGAAAAAACATTTCATTAAAAATGGGTCACATTCTACAAATACTTAATTTCCATCAAATGCCTGATCTCTTTTAAATTGAAAGCTACCAAAATCCGCGGAGCAACAGTTTGTCGACGAGCTTTGTCGTTCGGGTACCCATCAACCCATAACAGGGAGTCGCTTTACGGAGTGTCGTCAAGATAACTCCAATCTGCGCATGCTACGCCTGGAGCAGCTAAGTGAAGATCCACACATAATGCTATATCATGATATACTCAACTCCCGGCAGACTGAGAAGCTAATTGGTATGCTGGATGAAGAGTCGCAAGTGCAGCACTCGAAAAGTGTTGCCTTTGCGCCCTTGAAATTGTCGAAGGTAGCGCAGAAAGGGATGCGTAGCATCCACTTTCAACTGGGACTTAGCAGTGCAGTGCCACAGCTGTGGCAGGCACGTCGTCATAGCCACGAGCACGTGACGCCACCAGAGGAGCCATCAGCTACATCGGGGCATGTGGCACGTGCGCTGCTTAATGTGCGTAATTTTAATGAAATGATTAGTTAATATGTCACTAATTTGCCAATTACCATGTCACCCGCAACTAATCCCTTTAGCTGCAAGAGGCCAGGCTGGGCGGCGCCGTTGTCTTTCCACAGTTGGAGCTCAGCGTGAATGTCCCACAAGGCTCACTGCTTCGCTGGAGCATCCGCAGCCTAAACGAGTTCTCAGCAACCTCCAGTCCGGACTATCGCAGTCGCCAGCTAATCTGCCCGGTGCTGCTGGGCACTCAGTTGTGTAAGTTGGGCAGTGAATATGCCATCTATTTTATATGAACTCAACGGTCTCTACTCTGTCCTCCCCTTGCAGCGGCTTGGACTATGCTCAGTTAAAACCCGGCAACTGTTTTGAATCCAAAATGAAACAAATTATGAAATACGCTTGAGTAACATTTTATTTTAGCCTTAATTGGCGCGAACGAAAAATAAAAGCTGAAATGTTGACGTTTTATTGAATTTCATTTGGACTTTTCTTTGACATTTATTGCTCATTCCATGGGCGTGGCCGGTCTACTAATTAAAGAGCAAACAGATTTAAATGCTCATGCATCACAGCCTGTCATAATTAACATTTGAACTGAGTATTGATCGTAATTTTAGTCAACGCCTTTTGGAAGTCGGCAGCAGGAAATAGTTAAAACAAATATTAAAAAGTCATAAAACCAATGCGAATATGTCAAGTCGAATTTTAAATCAAATATATATATATTTATGTATATATATGTGTAAATCAAATGTCAATTAAAAACAACAATAGCACTTCTAATTAATTTTACTTGCTCCCTAATTAGCATAGATAAATATTTAAAAGAAAACAACTCATTAAGATACCCTGTACTTTCTGCTAAAAGAAACATGAAGTGCTGAAATATACTTACTATCAATTTAAATTGAACTTAAATTTAAGTTTTAAAAATAAATGAGATATTTTATTCAATGACTATATATATATATATAAATAAGTATACATTATTAAAAGGAAATGTTTTAATGTTTATATGGTCTTAGTATGCCATTTTTCAACACTACCACTGCATTAGTGGATATTAAACAACACGTTCTTAATTAGCCTAGAATTAATAAGGCATCGCAAAAAGTCAACGAGTGGTGAAGCAAGAAAAGAGAGAGAGAGGTAGACAGATAGAGAGAGTGAGTGAGAGAGAGAGAGAGAGAGAGAAAGAACTAGAACTCACGGCAGGTTCACGCCGAAAACGAGATAATGATGAGACACACTAAATCAGCTTTGGCTAAGCCATAAAACATGCTTAATTAGATTGTTCCATAATACTAATACCGATTATTCAAACTCATCGACATAAACATAAACATAGACATCGACGTAAACGTAGTCGTAGACATCGGCATAGACTGAGGCATCGATCGGTTGGCTATGCAAATAGTTGTTGTAGTTTGGAGTTAGCACCTTGTCGCTGGTATCAAAACTCCAAATCGCTTGTGCCAAAATGTCTATCGTCACCGATTATATTTACTGACTGCGGTGGATATTTGATCTGAGATCTGGCAAAGCAATCAGTTCATTGTGAGACGTTACGCGTTGCAGACGCCTAAAATAGTTTTAGCTGATATTTCCATATACATATATTTGAATTGTATATTTCAAGTCAAAGTCAGCTAAGATGCGAATGAAGACCGAACTGTTGACATTTCTTGTATTAGCCAGCCTTGGCTATCGCTGCCAGGCAACGGATTATTTTTCATCCATCAGTGGACTCGAACAGCTCCTGCACACGGAGCACACTTTGATGAGCGAATTGAGTTCACAGTTGGATGCAACAAGAAACACATTAAAACAGTTGGAAAGGTGAGAAAGGTGAAAGTTGAAGTGAAAGTGAAAGGAATATTTTATGTTGATTTGGACAACAAGTATTCAAAACAAATTTAAAACTTAAAAACCTAATATGGAGTTAACTTATAGTTTGAATATTTTTCAATATAGACTTTAATTCAGCAGATGAAGTTTTATAGCAGAAAAATCCTTGTATTCAATAATCCGATGTTAAGTATAAATTTCGGAGAATTTTCCGTTCATCATAGGCTGAAACAACTATTGGCAAGTTCTTACTGTTTAACATTTAGCATTTCGCTATTATTCTCGTTTTATTGGTTTGATCGTTAAGAAAGAGTTTTGTGTTTAGAAACACACGTAGAAACACAAATAAATTAGAATTAATTAAGATAAGCTGTCTCGGCATATGGGGTGCTTATGTCTATGACGACAAAAGCCACAAAGCGCTAAAGAACTAGTTGCTACCGATTTATGATTAGAGACATACTCTTCTAAGCCGAAATCTAAAAAAAAAAACTTAATACGCAGTGAGGTGACCGCTATAAAGCTGGAGCATGCAATGGCGGCCAAAGGCTTGGAGAATTATTTAACCAATCCCATCAATATATATCGTCTAATGAAGCGCCTTCATACGGACTGGCAACAAATGGAGAGGCGCGTCCAACAAATGAGTACACAAATTCGTAGGTATCCAATATTTGAGTTAATGATGTAAGGCGAAACTTAATTGGATTTTGTAGGATTTAATATAACACAACACTACGGATTGAACTTCCCCAGCCAGGAGGATGTGGATGGTGCCGCATTGGCACTGGTTCGCCTGCAGAGCACCTATAAATTGGACGTGGCGCAAGTCGCTGCTGGTATACTGAATGGCATTAAATACGGGTAAGAAAGGGTGGCAAAAGGGAGGGAGTGTAGCCCAAATAAGCAATAACCAGTCAGGCTTGAAATACACGAGTAATAATACTTACACTATACGACTGCGGCCAGGAGCGGATTATCCTGGTCGGAGGAACGTTTTATCAAATACTTAATCTGTCAATCGGTAATCATGGATAAAACTAGTCTGCCATGCCACTAATCCAAAAATCGACTTTTTTCCTTTGTATAGATTTATACAGATTAAAAAAGCTTCATCCTTAAATGAACCGCTCCTGGCTTTAATCTACGGTAGTTGTGTGTTATGTCGTGTGCCATCATTGCCAACTCAAGCGCCAATCATATTCATTTCGATTTTTGTGTTACCTTTTATTTTTAGCACGGACATGAGCTGGCAAGATTGCTTCGTGCTGGGTCAACAACTCTTTGAAATGGAGGACTACAACAACACGAAAGTATGGCTGCGCGAGTCCATGGAACGATTGAGGCGCCACCAGCAGCCGCAGCACCAGGACCACAGCGCACCCGAGCCCACCATTCTCAACAGCATGGAGATGGTGGCAAAGAGTTTATTCCAAATGGGTGAGCAGCACAGCCAATCGGCAAATCGGGCCAACGCCACCCAGCAGTATATTCACCAAACGACTTTTAGGCGACTTCGATACGGCATATGAGCTAAGCCAGCGTGTGCTCGAACTGGATCCATCGCGCATACGAAATTGGCATCTAAGCGCCAAGGCCGCCAATGTGGTTCAGGGCGAAATTGGGGAAGTGGCACAGTCAAGGCATGCAGATGGCGGATACAGAGTAAGCGCTCCCATTTTATCTTTTCTAGTTTGTGTGACTAAATTTAGACTCTTCGTCCTCACACATGCACACACAAACACACACAGCTCACCCAGGAGTTCGCTCACTATGAGAAGGTGTGCCGCGGCGAAGTTAGCGCCTCTGCTGCCCAACAGCGGCCACTGCGCTGTCGCTATGCACGTGGACAGCACGCCTATCGAGTGCTGGCGCCGCTTAAGCTGGAGGAGCATAGTCTAGACCCACTTGTGGTCAGCTATCACGATATGCTGAGCCCGCAGCAAATCATAGAGTTGCGACAAATGGCTGTGCCGCATATGAAGCGCTCCACGGTGAATCCGCTGCCCGGCCGACAAAGCAAAAAGTCGGCATTTCGCGTGAGCAAAAACGCATGGCTGGAATACGACACGCATCCAATGATGGGCCGCATGTTGCGTGATCTGAGTGATGCCACCGGCCTGGATATGACCTACTGCGAGCAACTACAGGTGGCCAATTATGGTGTCGGTGGACACTACGAGCCACACTGGGACTTCTTCGTTGATTCGCAACACTACCCAGCCGAGGAGGGAAATCGCATCGCTACAGCCATATTTTATGTAAGTTGACATTACCATAATTCACATTGAACAACAAACCTGAATAACACGCTCATTACTCCATTACTCGGTGCTGTAGCTGTCGGATGTGGAGCAGGGCGGTGCCACCGCATTTCCCTTTCTCAACTTTGCCGTGCGGCCGCAGCTAGGCAACATTTTGTTTTGGTACAATCTGCATCGCTCCCTGGACATGGACTATCGCACCAAGCACGCGGGCTGTCCAGTTCTAAAGGGCAGCAAGTGGAGTGAGTATTTCCATTATAATAACATCAAAAACCCATAAATTTGTAGTATTTATTAAAGCCCTGTAAACCAAAATGCAAAACTATGGCTTCACAAGAGTCACTATGTTTCTTATTTTGATCATATATCAGATTTAAATAAGAAACTATAATGTTGTGAGCCCATAAATTTGTCATAAACATAGTTTTGTTCAGGATTTCTTTATTTGGCTTTTTAATGCAATTATACCCATATTTGTAAAGGATAATTACGCACATGTTTTGTTGTAATTCCGAATTCCATTCAAATATATCAGGCCTGAACAGCATTCGCAATTAATGTGGACTTAACTTTTTTAATGTTCCTCCAACCTGCCTCAAGTCAAAAAGTTTCAATTTCATTTGCTTCATCAAGATAGTATTTAGGTTGCTTTACTGGTAAAACTCTTATTTCTCTTTGCAGTTGCCAACATTTGGATACACGAGGCAACACAGACATTTGCTCGGCCCTGTGATGTTATTCGGGATAACGAAGTTTCTCTGGGTTATGATATTATTGAATAAATCTGTTATTGATTACTAACTGAGTGTTGTCATTTATCGATGCCAAAGACTTTAGAGGGTTAACAAAATAAAAAAAAGCTCATTTTGAGTGATTTTGTGCTGTGAAGTTCACTCAAAGCAAACTGCGAGTCGAAGATGCTTTTAAGTTGAGCCCAGACTTGCCGGTAATTTGCATAAGCAAGTTCACGGGCAAAGTTTAGGCGCGCTTCATTTGCATACTAGCGGCATCGAATGACAAAATGACGATGCTCATCCAACAGCCAAGTGAAAGTAATTAGCAAATAGAAAAGTTGTGAGAATCTGAGGCAGTCATATAGATTATCTGTTAGATTGCCACACATAATTAAAACAGCAATTGTATGTTGCCAAGGGCCCATGCAAAATGGTTGTTGACCACTTTTGGGTTTATTGAACCCATCATCTTGATTACCCGGTATAGCTCCATTCAAGCCTGACGTTGAGCCCTCGGGGGCACCTCTTCGATCTCAGCGAGAAGTGTTAGCTTGACCAACAGTCGCCGCTAAAGCTCAGCAACCGCCAACGCAGCGAGCTTTTTCTAGACTAACGATCCGTCAAGACTATTTGTTGGTTTGTCATCATCTCGATGCTGAACAGTTCTTAACGAAACGGCGCGAAGAGAACACATAACTTTGAAACTCAAGGCGATAAAAATCGTTGTTTTTAATCACACAGTCAGGATCAATTGTAATGAAGTTTCCTGCCGCGTTAACAATCTTTGTAATTGGATTGCAAATTATTATATGCAATGCTGAATATTTTAGTTCGACTACCGGCCTCGAACAGCTGCTGCGTACAGAGGTCATCCTACTGGCAGAACTCCAGAATTATGTTAACGAAATAACCGAGCATGCTGAAATGCTGCAGAGGTAAGTCTGATAAATGTTGTTCTTTTATTTTTAAATCGGTTTTTTTTTTATAAGAACAAAGCCCACCTAATGGAATATTAAGTAGTGGGCTGCGTTGCGATTCTGAGTTTTGTGACCAGCTTCATTCTGGTTTTATGACTCGACAATATTTCCAATTTTATTTGGCTAAAAGCTAATTTTGTTCTGTGGATAGCAGCACTTGAAATGCAAACTAGAATTTCTTCAGTGATGCGACCAGGTGTCGCGTTTTTTTTTAAATACAAATTTTTCTTGCTACTTACTTTGTCTTATGAATTCTTCATAATTAATAATCAAATTGTTGGGCGCCTACGTGCCTAAAAAAAAAAGCCTACGCAAATTGTTTGCTGAGTAGTTATATTCTTGTTTAGTAGGCAGTTGTCAAAACAATCGGTTGAGCATCTTGTGAACGGCTTGTTTTTTTTTATTTATTTATTTTTTTTCTTCTGTTTATTATCGTGGCAGAGTTTGAGCCTCAGCAGAATCTGAAAGTAACTTTGAGCTTTGGATTTGTCGCCTTTGGCTCTTTTATTTTTTTATTCTGCTTTTAATTACAATTCATTTTCGCATTCCCACTTAACCGGTTCACATTAAGGCGTCTAAAGTGTTTGTCCGGCCTAAGGGTACGATGTACACATACTTTATACCTATTATATGTATGTACATTTGTATTTAATATATTCTCGGGTGTCTATTCATTTTCTGCAATTTTATTCACACTTGTTAACACTTTTAGCGCTGCGAACATTAAAGATTTTTAATGTTTTTCATTCAGCTTATGAGCTGCTAAATATATACATTTCCAGCCGTTTACCTTACCTATTAAAAATTAAGTTGACTTTTTCGGCACTTATTTGATGTTTTAACTTTATTATCAACTGCCATCGATTGTCACTATAGTAAGGCACAGTTTCTGCTGCTGTGCAACGGCATGTCAGTTTTTTATGCATGTATCCGTATCGTAATAAAATGTATACTCAAATCGAAGCAATTCAATTTAACTCTTTTGTTTACTTGTCGTATTTGCAAACCGGCTACACCAACACAAATAAGAGTATTAAAAAGAACCGTTAAGAAATTTCTAACAATTTTTGTGTTAATAAATATAAATTATAATTATTAGAAAACATATTGTTTGAAGCGCAACGAAAACATGTTTTATTTATTCCATTTACATTATGAATGTGCTCATGCAATTTGTAGCTTACCTAATAAAATAGAGATTCTTATTTATGATTGGAGAGTGCTAAGAACAAATGAATAACTCGATAAAAATATCATTTAACTGACAAGTGTAGCGGCTTCTGCCGATTAAACTTATGATGACATTTGATTCCCGACAAGCAGCGGAGAAAAAGTGCAAGACAGACAAGCGTCGATTATGGATTATTTAGCTATATTTGAAGCAGGTTTTATAAATTGACCACAAAATAAACGACGCATAAGAGAAATTATAATTTTTATATATTATATATAATATTTAACACTGATTGGGCAACCAGCCGATGTCGACTGATCGACATATATACATTTCAGTTAATTATTTTCTATTTAAAATTCTTATAAATAATTATAAGCAGTTTTTTATAGGATACACAAAGCATACAAAAAATGATTTTAAGTTCGAGTATTTGGAGTGCTCAATTTCAATTTCATAAGAGTTTCATAAGAGCACAAATAGAAAGATAAAGATTGGTTTTTCCTTTTCGGCCAGCTGAGATGCGGCTAATTAACCTTAGGGTATTTGCTTTGCGGCGTTCCAAGTTCATAACGAAATGGATGTGTTTTCTAACTGTAATTTATTGCTTTATTTTTTAAGTGTTGATTAATTGTAGAATGACACGACATTAAAGTGTCACGCACAGCCATAACACTTATATATCACTGAGCATTACGGATGTATTCAATATGCAAATTTAGGATTATGCAGATGGAAAATATGAAACCATTTAAATACTGATTAATGTTAAAGCAAACAAACAATGCAAAACCCAAAAAGATGTTTCATCAATTTAATTCATGTTGTTGTTGCAGTGAAATTAATGCGATTCAAGCGGAGCATCTGAGCGCCGCTGATAGCATCGAGGGCTACCTCAACAATCCGGTGAATGCGTTTCGATTGATAAAGCGCCTACACAGCGACTGGGAGACCTTCGAGAGCAACGTGGAGCAAGATGCTAGCCGCAAAAGTTTGTATCTGATGTCGTCAGCTCTCACAGCAAGATTGTTATCGTTATCATTTTGTGTCTCTGTTTTCATGCTTGGGCTTGCTTCTGCCCGCACACAATAGACTATCTAGAAGCAATGGCCAGACACAAGGAGAACTTGAGCCACCCCACGCTGGAGGATTTTACGGGCACCGCTCTGGCAATGACGCGACTGCAGCAAACTTATCAGCTGGATGTGCGTGAGCTGGCGAGCGGCATGCTGAACGGTGTTAAATACGGGTGAGTGACGGACGTGGAAAGTGGCCATCACAAATCACACTCGACAGCTTGTTGTTGATTTGTTGATTTCTGTTGCAGTGCGGCGATGTCGTGGCAGGATTGCTTTGTCCTTGGCCAGCAATTGTACGTAATGCAGGACTTTAACAACACGGTGCCCTGGTTGCAACAATCGATGCAGCTGCTGGTGCAGCAGAGTTACGGCAAGGAGTCTGCCTCACTGGACTTTATGGAGACAGTTATGGGCTATCATGAATCGATGGGTGACTATCAGAATGCCATACATCTGATCAATCATGTGCTGGCTGTCCAGCCGGAGCAGCGACTCCATCTGCTCGAGACGCGCGCGCATCTCGAACAACTCATCTCGGATGGCGTCAAGCGCGGCCTAATGCATGAGGTGGCTCGCAGTCCGGATGACTATCACAGCAGCAATGAGTATCATATGTATCAGCAGGTCTGCCGGGAAGAACTAAAACCAGAGCCTGCAACACAGCGCAAACTTCGCTGTCGCCTCCACAGAGGCAATGGCCTGAGATCCAGCTATCAGCCGTACAGGCTGGAGGAGCTACACCTGGATCCCTACGTAATTCAAGTGCATGACATTATCAGCGCAGAGGAAACTATCGTGCTGCAGCAACTGGCTCGCCCTGAACTCCAGCGATCGATGGTTTATAGCCTCTCTAACAGCGAGCACATATCTACCAACTTTCGCATCAGTCAGGGGACCTTCTTTGAATATCATGAGCATCCAATCATGCAAAGGATGAGCCAGCATTTGGAGAATATATCCGGGCTAGATATGCGCTCTGCGGAGCAGCTGCAAGTAGCTAACTACGGCATTGGCGGCCACTATGAGCCACATATGGACAGCTTTTCCGAGAATCATAACTATGGGATCAATACTTATATGTCGACCAATCGAGTAGCCACAGGCATCTACTATGTGAGTGTGTTGAAAAAAATAACTGCAATGAGTTAACATTAACGTAACACATAATTTTCCCTTTAGTTATCGAATGTGGAGGCGGGTGGTGGGACCGCATTTCCTTTTCTGCCACTGCTGGTCGAGCCTGAACGGGGCAGTCTGCTCTTCTGGTACAATCTGCATCGATCCGGTGATCTGGACTATCGCACTAAGCATGCTGGCTGCCCAGTGCTGATGGGCAGCAAATGGAGTGAGTTAATATTAGAATTAACAATAGCTTTATTAAATTCTTATTGTTATTATTATTCTTATTCTTATTCTATATTCTTTTCATCCATACAGTTGCTAATGTGTGGATACGCTTGAGCAATCAGGACCATATTAGACCCTGTGATCTACAACGTGATCACGAGATCTCTTTGCCATACAAAGACTTCAAGTAACAAGTATTACCTCAGCAATCAACTTTAGTATACTGCCATTTGTGATAAATATCAATTAATAATTTGAAGCAAAACAATGTTTTTTTATTTATTTACTAGCTGAAAGTGCCATCTGAATATCCTGAATCGAAATTAATTAATTATATAAAAGAACGTAGTCAACTTAAACTCCAAAGCACACAAAACGTTCAAGCTAAATGCCAAATAAATTTAATTTTCTTTTGAACGTAGTAAAAAGAGCATTTAGAGTGAGCAAGATTTTGAAGAAATCATAAAGCATTTTTAAACACCAATAAGGAATATGTATTTTAAAAAAATATCAAATTGAATGCTAAAATTATAGTAAGCTAGGACTGTCATATTCTCTCTTCCTGTTTCTCTCTATATAGCTTATATATTCCAATGTTTAAGTGCCACATTCAAATAGTGTCATTGTGTAATTATTTACTCTTATCTCATGCTGAATTTATTCTTCAGAATTAAGCGTGCAAGGTCGTCGGAACTCCTGATAGCTCGAATGAATCCAAATGTTGCCAACTAGTACAAATATAATTTATATGTTTATTAGATCTGTAACTGTACTCTAATTAGACTTACTGCGCTTGATGCCCTCAATAACGGCGCATCCGGCATGAAGGGTCCGATGATCAGGATTAAGCGATCTAAGTTGATTATACCACAGTATCATGGAACCCTTGACGGGCTTTACAAATACATTTTGTGTGGGAAATACCGTATAGCCTCCCTGCTGCACATCCGAGAGCTGCACATTTTTTGGAAAATTAATGAACTTCTTTAAAAGTCGAAGTAGTTAAGACTCACATATATCATGCTTGTACTGATGCGATCGCCGCGCTTTGCATAGTAAGGGGGTAGAGGACTGCCCATATAATCGATATGGGGTTCGTAATGACCGCCAATACCATAATTGGCAAGCTGCATAATTTCGACATTAGTCATATTGAAACCGGAAATGGCGCCTACTAATTGACGATAAGTCCTCATTATGGGGCTGCTGTAATTTAGCCACACCTGTTGGCTAATCCGCATATCGCTGATCACATATTTTCTGTGCGTGGAGCGAAAACTATCAAGTTCATCAGATAACCTTAATATTGACTTTATCTGATTATCATTGAGCACGCCATAGTAGATGTTTATGTCGGGATCGAGGTTCACCTGCTCTACTTTCAATGGCGACAGCTTGAAATATGCATGTCGATTGGAGTCCAGATAACATCGTGGAGAACTTTGATTTGTTTTAATCTCTGGCAGTCGCTTGCCCTGACAAAGTCGCACGTAGTCGCTAAAATATTCAGAGTCTTCCTTCTTAATGGGACACTTGGGCATTCTGTGATCCAGGTGTGCTTGTATATTTTGCGTAGGACGTGCTGAGTTCCAGGTCAGCAGCTTTGTCAACGTTTCCTGTGCTGTGTCCTTTTCACCCAACTCTATATAGGTCAGTGCCAAATATTCATATACCTCTGTTGCCATTTTAAGTGTGTCATCCCCTTGTACTTCATCGAGCAATTTATCTGCCAGAACTAACCACTCCAGAGCTCTTTTGTACTCGGCCATTTCATATAGTTGTACACCAATCTCAAAGCAGTCGCGCCAATTTAGTGCGCTGTCCGTTTTTTTGCCATTAAGATTACCATCGGCCAAATCACTTGCTGTTAAATTATACACACTCTGCAGACGCACTAAGCCCTTTATTGCACCTTGTAGTTCCTCTAGATTTGGTAAAACTTCTACTTCTTTAGCCATCTCGTCCAACGTGTTGCGATAATCTGTGGTTGCGTACAGAAAAATATGCACTAGATGCGTAAAAAAACACAAACACTACATTTACACACTTGCTTTCAACTCATTCATAGCCAGTAAATGGTTAAGGTCTTTCCAGTCTAGAACTAGTCGTTTGATCAGTCTAAATGCCTGCAGGGGTTGTTCCAAGTACTCTTCATTCTGCTCATGCATCTCACTGGCTGAGGCATGTTCACGTCTTATATGATCCACGAAACTGTCAACGTAACCACATCAATCAACTAATTTTTGTCACAGTTCTGATTATATTTTCATACCTGCTTAACAATTGAAGCTGTTGCTGCTGCTGTACCAGATAGGAACGCGTGGCTTCGACCAGCGTTTCCTCCATTTCTCCCAGTATTTCCATTTTTTCGATTGATGAGTAAAACTCCCCGCTGACAAGGATGCCAAAGAAACCAGACAGCAACAGGCACAAATATATACAACTTTGACTCAACATTATTAAATGTGGCTTATTCAGAACTCGCTGGCCAACTATCTTTTTCCAAATGAACACACTTCAATTTGCAGCAGCTCAGCGTTTGTCACGTATACAGAAAAAACACCAACTATTTAAACAGTTGTGTTATGTGGCAAAACAAACAATATGCTGGATCTCCCTCAATAACGTAAATGTTCCATTCCTTATTTGAACATATATATTTTGCATATATATTTTGCATATATATTTAGCATATATTTATTTTTTTTTTTAACATTAAATCACTTGGACAACGCTGCAAATTTACGATTATACGATTATGAAAAATATGAAAAAGGCCTAAAACCCTTATTAGAAATTGTTCAATGTTCAATTCGAATACAAAACAAAAGGGCATTAAACGAAAGGTGTAGGAAAACCAAGGAAAATTTGATACTAAGGACGCCTTTGTGGTATTGATGGTGTTCGACTCACGCCTTCTGCACCCGATCCGACCATGTGTTGCAAGTGTAACTTTATTCATCATTTTATCATTTTTTATATATGATCCCATGACAAGGAGGAAGGGAACAAATTACTCGATTATTAATAAATATTCAAATCGTAATAATTTGTATACAAAAAGCAAGTTATTTATTTATCTAACATTACTAACCAATAATATAATTAGATACTCTTAACGTTTAATTAATTTTTTTATTTATTTTTATTATTTTCATTCATATTTTATTTATTTCTGGTTGCAACGAAATATTTTTTTGTTATTACGGTATTTTAGTATTTTGTTATAATAGTATTTTTGTAGAAATTTAATTTTAAGGTGCATTGATTTCCTAGATGTTATTTACTAACTCTTATTAAAAAAATTGTTTACACCTGAACTCAACTTCGATATACCCTGCACCCCGATATTGAATTTATTACGTGGAAGTTCTCTTATTTCTTATGGCAGGCACAACCACTAAAGAGATAAAAAACAAAGCAGCGCATGTTTTTATTTACAAGCCGAACTGAAATCCCTGTCTTGTGGCATATATATGCTTATTTGCTTAAAAATTATGATTATGTTCATTTTTTAATTTCCTTTTCCAAACATTTACCTTATGCCTTAGGACTTTTATGTATGCATGAAAATTGTTTCCTTTTTTACTGATAACTTTGAAAAGAAACTTTCAATTGTTATTGTTGTTTTTAGTAATCTTAATAATATATACTAGAGCCTTGAAAATTTTTATTAATATTTGTTTATTTAGGTATTAAGTTTTGTATTGCTCAATAAAAGGATCGAAAGATTTTTTTAAAGTAAATTGTTAATGGGACCATTCAATTTTTATACTTCAAATAGTGTCATTGTGCCACTATCAACTCTTATCTCAAGTGAAACTTATTCTTTAGAATTAAGCGTGCAAGGTCGTCGAAACTCCTGATAGCCCGAATGAATCCAAATGTTGCCAACTAGTACACAAATAAATTATATATTTATGAGGTATGTATCTTAACTCTACTTAAACTTACTGCGCTTGGTGCCCTCAATAACAGGACAACCGGCATGAAGGGTCCGACGATCGCCATCAAGCGATCTGAGTAGATTATGCCACATGACCATGGCGCCCTTGATGGGCTTTACAAATACATTTTGTGTGGGAAATACCGTATAGCCTCCCTGCTGCACATCCGAGAGCTGCAAGTTTGTTTGGAAAATTAATAAACTTCTTAAAAAGTTGCAGTAGTTAAAACTCACATAGATCATATTTGTACTGATGCGATCGCCGAAGTTGGCATAGCGTGCGGCTAGATTGGCGCCAGAGAAATCGTGATGGGGTTCGTATTGACCGCCAATACCATAATTGGCAACCTGCATAATTTCGGCATTAGTCATATTGAAACCGGAAATGGCGCCTACTAATTGACGATAAGTCCTCATTATGGGGCTGCTGTAGTTTAGCCACACCTGTTGGCTAACCCGTTTGTCGGTGACATTATATTTGTTGACACTGGAGCGAAAACTTTCAAATTCAGTAGATAACTCTAATATTGACTTTATCTGATTATCATTGAGCACGTCATAGTAGATGTTTATGTCCGGAGCGAGGTTCACCTGCTCTACTTTCAATGGCGACAGCTTGAAATATGCATGTTGATTAGAGTCCAGATAACATCGTGGAGAACTTTGATTTGTTTTAATCTCTGGCAGTCGCTTGCCCTGACAAAGTCGCACGTAGTCGCTAAAATATTCAGAGTCTTCCTTCTTAATGGGACACTTGGGCATTCTGTGATCCAGGTGTGCTTGTATATGTTGCGTAGGATGTGCTGAGTTCCAGGTCAGCAGCTTTGTCAACGTTTCCTGTGCTGTGTTCATTTCGCCCAACTCTATATAGGTCAGTGCCAAATATTCATATACCTCTGTTGCCATTTTAAGTGTGTTATCCCCATGTACTTCATCGAGCAATTTATCTGCCAGAACAAACCACTGCAGAGCTCTCTTGTACTCCGCCATTTCATATAGTTGTACACCAATCTCAAAGCAGTCGCGCCAATTTAGTGCGCTGTCCGTTTTTTTGCCATTAAGATTACCATCGGCCAAATCACTTGCTGTTAAATTATACACATCCTGCAGTCGCACTAAGCCCTTTATTGCACCTTGTAGTTCCTCTAGATTTGGTAAAACTTCTACTTCTTTATCCATCTCGTCCAATAAGTTGCGATAATCTTTGGTTGTATAAAGAAAGATATGCACTAGATGCGTAAAAAAACACAAACACTACATTTACACACTTGCTTTTAACTCATTCATAGCCAGTAAATGGTTAAGGTCTTTCCAGTCTATAACTAGTCGTTTGATCAGTCTAAATGCTTGCAGGGGTTGTTCCAAGTACTCTTCATTCTGCTCATGCATCTCACTGGCTGAGGCATGTTCACGTCTTATACGATCCACGAAACTGTCGACGTAACCACATCAATCAACTAATTTTTGTCACAGCTCTTATTATATTTGCATACCTGCTTAACAATTGAAACTGTTGCTGCTGCTGGACCAGATAGATATGCGTGGCTTCGACCAGCGTTTCCTCCATTTCTCCCAATATTTCCATTTTATCGATGGATGAATAAAACTCACCGGTGACAAGGATGCCAAAGAAACCAGACAGCAACAGGCACAAATATATACAACTGCTTTGACTTAACATTATGAAATGTGGCTTATTCAGAACCTGCTGGCCAACTATCTTTTTCCAAATGAACACACTTCAATTTGCAGCAGCTCAGCGTTTGTCACGTATACAGAAAAAACGCCAACTATTTAAACAGTTGTGTTATGTGGCAAAACAAACAATATGCTGGATCTCCCTCAGCAACTGTTCCATTCCTTATTTGAAAAGCATATTTTGGTTTTTTTTTACATTAAATCACTTGGACAACGCTGCAAATTTACGATTATACGATTATGAAAAATATGAAAAAGGCCTAAAACCCTTATTAGAAATTGTTCAATGTTCAATTCGAATACAAAACAAAAGGGCATTAAACGAAAGGTGTAGGAAAACCAAGGAAAATTTGATACTAAGGACGCCTTTGTGGTATTGATGGTGTTCGACTCACGCCTTCTGCACCCGATCCGACCATGTGTTGCAAGTGTAATTTTATTCATCATTTTATCATTTTTTATATATGATCCCATGACTAGGAGGAAGGGACCAAATTACTCGATTATTATTAAATATTCAAATCGTAATAATTTGTATACAAAAAGCAAGTTATTTATTTATCTAACATTACTAACCAATACTATAATTAGATACTCTTAACGTTTAATTAATTTTTTTATTTATTTTTATTATTTTCATTCATATTTTATTTATTTCTGGTTGCAACGAAATATTTTTTTGTTATTACGGTATTTTAGTATTTTGTTATAATAGTATTTTAGTAGAAATTTAATTTTAAGGTGCATTGATTTCCTAGATGTTATTTACAAACTTTTCGTAAATTTTGTTTTTAGTTTGACATCCTAACCTATATTTGTCATTTCAGTTCATTTCACATCGGGAACAAATGAACCTTATACACATACTCACTTTCCCATTTGTATATTTATAATTATTTATTTTTATTTTTTTCAGCGAACTGAAATCCCTGACTTGTGACAAATGAGTGCATATATGCTTAATAATTATGATTATGTTCATTTTTTAATTTCCTTTTCCAAACATTTACCTTATGCCTTAGGACTTTTATGTATGCATGAAAATTGTTTCCTTTTTTTACTGATAACTTTGAAAAGAAACTTTCAATTGTTATTGTTGTTTTTAGTAATTTTAATAATATATACTAAAGTCTTGAAAATTTTTATTAATATTTGTTTATTTAGGTATTAAGTTTTGTATTGCTCAATAAAAGGATCGAAAGATTTTTTTAAAGTAAATTGTTAATGGGACCATTCAATTTTTATACTTCAAATAGTGTCATTGTGCCACTATCAACTCTTATCTCAAGTGAAACTTATTCTTTAGAATTAAGCGTGCAAGGTCGTCGAAACTCCTGATAGCCCGAATGAATCCAAATGTTGCCAACTAGTACACAAATAAATGATATATTTATGAGGTCTGTATCTTAACTCTACTTAAACTTACTGCGCTTGGTGCCCTCAATAACAGGACAACCGGCATGAAGGGTCCGACGATCGCCATCAAGCGATCTGAGTAGATTATGCCACATGACCATGGCGCCCTTGATGGGCTTTACAAATACATTTTGTGTGGGAAATACCGTATAGCCTCCCTGCTGCACATCCGAGAGCTGCAAGTTTGTTTGGAAAATTAATAAACTTCTTAAAAAGTTGCAGTAGTTAAAACTCACATAGATCATATTTGTACTGATGCGATCGCCGCGCTTAACAGAGTTTGCGGGAAGATTGATGCCAAAGAAATCGTGATGGGGTTCGTATTGACCGCCAATACCATAATTGGCAACCTGCATAGTTTCGGCATTAGTCATATTGAAACCGGAAATGGCGCCTACTAATTGACGATAAGTCCTCATTATGGGGCTGCTGTAGTTTAGCCACACCTGTTGGCTAACCCGTTTGTCGGTGACATTATATTTGTTGACACTGGAGCGAAAACTATCAAATTCAGTAGATAACTCTAATATTGACTTTATCTGATTATCATTGAGCACGTCATAGTAGATGTTTATGTCCGGAGCGAGGTTCACCTGCTCTACTTTCAATGGCGACAGCTTGAAATATGCATGTTGATTAGAGTCCAGATAACATCGTGGAGAACTTTGATTTGTTTTAATCTCTGGCAGTCGCTTGCCCTGACAAAGTCGCACGTAGTCGCTAAAATATTCAGAGTCTTCCTTCTTAATGGGACACTTGGGCATTCTGTGATCCAGGTGTGCTTGTATATTTTGCGTAGGACGTGCTGAGTTCCAGGTCAGCAGCTTTGTCAACGTTTCCTGTGCTGTGTTCATTTCACCCAACTCTATATAGGTCAGTGCCAAATATTCATATACCTCTGTTGCCATTTTAAGTGTGTTATCCCCTTGTACTTCATCGAGCAATTTATCTGCCAGAACTAACCACTCCAGAGCTCTTTTGTACTCGGCCATTTCATATAGTTGTACACCAATCTCAAAGCAGTCGCGCCAATTTAGTGCGCTGTCCGTTTTTTTGCCATTAAGATTACCATCGGCCAAATCACTTGCTGTTAAATTATACACATCCTGCAGTCGCACTAAGCCCTTTATTGCACCTTGTAGTTCCTCTAGATTTGGTAAAACTTCTACTTCTTTATCCATCTCGTCCAATAAGTTGCGATAATCTTTGGTTGTATAAAGAAAGATATGCACTAGATGCGTAAAAAAACACAAACACTACATTTACACACTTGCTTTTAACTCATTCATAGCCAGTAAATGGTTAAGGTCTTTCCAGTCTATAACTAGTCGTTTGATCAGTCTAAATGCTTGCAGGGGTTGTTCCAAGTACTCTTCATTCTGCTCATGCATCTCACTGGCTGAGGCATGTTCACGTCTTATACGATCCACGAAACTGTCGACGTAACCACATCAATCAACTAATTTTTGTCACAGCTCTTATTATATTTGCATACCTGCTTAACAATTGAAACTGTTGCTGCTGCTGGACCAGATAGATATGCGTGGCTTCGACCAGCGTTTCCTCCATTTCTCCCAATATTTCCATTTTATCGATGGATGAATAAAACTCACCGGTGACAAGGATGCCAAAGAAACCAGACAGCAGCAGGCACAAATAAATGCAACTTTGACTCAACATTATTAAATGTGGCTTATTCAGAACTCGCTGGCCAACTATCTGTTGTCAAACGAATGCATTTAAATTTGAAGCAGCTCAGCGCTGGCAGTTTGTTTACCTGTCATTTCCAGATGTAACGCATACAGAGAAAAAGTCAAGAGTTAAACAGTTGTGTTGTGTCGCTCAGCAAACAATATGATGGATCTCCCAACAATATAAATGTTTCATTTTGTATTTTGTATTTCAAATTAAATGGTCAATGCTGTTCTAAGACTGTGCGGGAATTACAATGAATCAAATCTAACTGCGCAGCCGCAGAGTGTGATGTGGTTGTTATCACTTGCCACTACCACCCGACGGCACTTAGCTCCATTGGCAACATGCAATAGGCAGCGGACGGAGCAAAGTACGCATCATGCCACTTGCAATATGTCACATGCCTGCATCAGCAACCTCTTGCCACATATACACACATAAGCAATCAAACGTAGACTTGCAGAAAAGCAGTTTAACCAACTTATAAAAGTGCATTTTTTAAATATCACTTTTTACTGCTGCCGTACACTGCTTAAGCTCCCTTCTTTCCTTATATCCAGAACAAAGGGGTGGATTTTGTGAAAATGTATGTAATAATGTAATAGGTAGAAGGAGGCATCAACTGCAAAATAATCTACACCCAAATAAACAATCTTACTAATTTCCCTAGTGCTATCATTAAAAATGCAATTAATGCTTATGTAAAACGTTGAACGAATTCGTAGTCTCATTGAGCGCATCATTTGTTCATTTTAATATAGTTCATTTCTATAGTATATTGTACAAAAATTTATAAATTCAATAATAGCATGCCTAAAATAAAAGTAATGCCAAGTCATGGCATGCAGTTGAAAGTAAATGTGTGGTGTGCCAGCAGCCGCTACTCCATGTTTATTTTTTTTTTTGGTGCTGTGGTAGAGTATTTACAATAGGAACAGAATTGTGATTTCCGGCTCGCAAGCACTCAGAAGTAAGTAGAAGTTGTAGTAAGCACATTGGGCAGCTGACAAATGAGATTCCAGCCAGATTGGGCATTCTCCTAGATGGCAAAATCACCGTGATCCTCTTCCAAAGCGCAGGGCCTTCTGAACTCCTGACCGCGCTCGTGTATCCATTTGTTGGAAACTGGTAAAAAAGTTGAGATTTCATTTACACATTTAATACATTTTTTTACAAGTTTTTTTTTTAAACCTACCCCATTTGCTCCCTGTGAGCACTGGACACGCTGCATGCCGCGTTCGCGCATCTCCCTCCCCAGACCGATGCAGATTCATCCAAAATGCCGCCGTACCCTACAAATGTGAATCGGGACTTAATATAGACAAAAGCAACTACTAATTTATGGTAGACCAACCTTTTTGGGCCACAGAGCCGTACGCAACGAGGTGAAGACTGTGGCGCCACCTTGCTGCACGTCACTCATCTGCAAAGCGAAAATATCGATCATAACCAGTAGTTCGCATTTAACTCTTCATCTCTTAACTTACATAGAATAGCATGGTGGCGATGCGATTGCCAAGATTGAGACCCTCAAAGGCAAGTTTTTCCTCACGCTACAGCAAAATTAATTGGTGAAACTTAAGCAAAATTTGTCGAATAAGCTAAACTTCAATTTCAGTACGTACCCGTGCAAAGTCAAAGTGTGGCTCATAATGACCACCAATGCCATAGTTGACCACTTGCAGCTCTTCTGCGGAGTCCATGTCGAGACCAGTCATATCGGCGGTGCGCTGCACCACAGTGCCAATAATTTCATGCTCTGGTGTCTTCAGCCAGGCGGACTTGCTGATGCGATAGTTGGCCGTTTCCAAGGCTCCAGTCACGGAATTCTGAACGGTGGCGCGACGGAAACGGGGACGCGCCATGCGTTTGAGCACCTCAATCTCGCTGTCGTACATGGCGTCGTGATAGATCACAATGTACGGATCCATGAAAGCCTCCTCCAGCTTAAGCGGCGCAAGGCGCAAGAAGTCAACATTGTTGTTAACATAGCGACAACGCAGTGGACGGATCTCAGCCGGCGACGGTTTCAGCTCACCTCGACACAGCATTTCGTAGGCCGTGCGTTCGGTCAGGTCAAAGACGCCGGGATCGGTTTTGGTCACGTGCTAACCATGGATTACAAATTGAGTAGCGTTTCTAGCTGAAATGACTTGCAATAATAGTTTCTTACTTACCAGATCAGAAACGGGCATTTCGTCGGAGCCATCGTCACCCTTCATCTTACCCATCTCCATCTGATGGGCAATTTCCTTCTCGTAGAATTTCTTGTTGCCATTGGCCCGTTCGTGGTCCGGCAGCAATTGCAGCAGCTCATTTGTCATGGTCAGTGCGCTCTCCACGTTGCCTGTCCCATTCCATTCAATTTCGTTGATAAGGTGAAGGTGAAAAAAAAGACTCAATTAATTACTGCCTAAACGTATGCTACAGTTTTTGGCTTCCACACTTATATGCTGAAGAAGTTTGACCTACACTCTCAACTGGCACTTAATCAAAAGTTCCTATCCGTGAACAGCAGATCCAGCAATAAAGAGCCATTTTGATATCAGTCTACACACTTGTTGGGCGCGTGGCACACAAATGAATGATTTAATAGCAACTTTTATTTGCAGGGTTTGCGTTGACCAAAATTAAGTATTCATTTGTCTGTTGCTCCTCCCATGGATACTAAACAAATGTTAAATGCAACATAAATTATTTATATTGCCCCCACCTACTCCATATTTGTTGTTAACTTTTTGCAGTGAATTACTGCCCCCCAGAGCAGCAGAAGGAACGTTTTATGGTAAAATGGGAAACAAAATAGCAACAAGTTTTTTATTTACACTGACAGTATGAAACCCAAAAGACAAACTTTTTTTCACAGAACGGCAACTTGCCGTTTGTTCTTGTTCGTGTTGTTTGTGCTGGGTTTCTTATAAAACTTTTAGCATGGACATTGAATATACGCATTTATTTATATCTCAACCATAAATATTGCGACCTTGGCTTGGTAGTTTCGCAATAGCAAGTCCTTCGGTGCTTCCTTTGCCTTAATTAGTTTTCCAGACACTTCAAGCGACCACTTAATTTCATTGAGCTTGTAGGTATGCTTCGACCTCAGTCGAAGCCAACCCAACTAGGTATTTTAATTTTGCATTTTGCATGCTAGTGTCAGCACTTCTAGCCCATGTGTCCTTTGCCCAGGCAGTGATGTATTTTTTTTTTTTTTTTGTATGTCAAAATGTCCTTTTCACTGCCTACAGGGAGAGAGGGTAAGAGACGGGGGACGTGGAGGAGGTTGAGAGACGCACATGCTTTTCTCACTTTTTCAACAAAATGGCGGCAGTTCCGTTTCACCAAAGCCCGCCCATAAATTCTGCAGGGTCGCATTTTATACGCAGCGCCAAAGAACAAACGCCAAGGAAAAGTAAAAATGTTGCACCGACTGCGAGATACTTTGTGACAAAAGAGGTTGGAAAGACGTTGACGATCGGCAGGGCAAATACAATACGCAACTTATGATAAGCATTTCAAAGTGTCCAATTATTCAGTTTGTTGACTGAGCTAAGTATCGTTGGAAGAAAAGCTCGTGTACAACATGTTTTTGGTATTTATTTCATTATTTTCAATTCTTTTACTTGACAACTAGTTAATTTTACTTTAGCACACACGATATACTTCCTTTGCCATTTCCAAACAGAGCATTGCGGGAAACGGGGTCGCGTCGTTATAGATACTGTTGGTTACATAGATACTGATATAGATACAAGCACAGATACAGATACCGATAGAGATACAGATACATGTGCTGTGCAATTTTAGTGACTGTGACAATTTAGTCGAGCTGAGCATGAAAGAGGGATGGTTGTGGAGTTAGCGCCTAGGGGGTCGGATTGTGTCCTTGTATATCTATCGTTTAATCAGGCAATAATAAACCGCACTTTGGCTTCTGTAAATATATATGTGTATATGTGCACTTGCTGGTAGCTTGTAATGGCTACGTGATTCCGAGAATTTCCCGAGGCCAGCATGCACTAAGCCCGTCACAATATTGCCATTGCTCTCCAGACCAGACCATGGGCAAACAGTTTTTCGCACTTAACGACACGGTCGCTTAAGTGCAGCAGAGTTCAGCTCACCTGGGTATAAGAAGCTATCGCCCGACAATGCCCCGACCTGGCAAAGTGCAATTTCCTGCAGCCAAATGGACAGTGACAAGCAGCCAGGCAGAAAGTAGCAGGGGCTACACTGTCAGAGAGTGTCATGCAAACGAGGTCTTGGCAACAACACAACAAAGAACAGCAGTAAACACACACTCCCACACACACACACATACACATAATGGCTACAAAACAGCTGGTCACGTAGATTGAGAACTCACCCTCCTTGTAGGTGGAGAAGGCGAGGTACTCCAGCACATCGGCACGGGTAAAACTTTGAGTCTGATTGTGTTGCTCCTGCAACATGCGGGACATGGCCTCATTCATCCAGAGCACCGTGTGATAGTAGTCGCGATTAACATACGATTGCCGACCCAGCTCAAAGCAATCGTCCGATGACATTTCCGTGCTGCGTTACAAAAAAAAAAAAAAAAAACAAATAGGAGCGCAAGCCCCAAGCCGCAAGTTTAGTGGCAGCTTAGTTGGAGCTGAGCATTCTATGTGGTATGCTTACTTACCTGTACTGGATGCCATTGAGCTTGCCACGTGCCACACTGGACGTGTCCAGCTGGTAAGTGTCCTGCAGGCGCAATAGCGCCACCGCCGCCCCATTTAGATCCTCGTCCGAGGGAAACTTTAAGACATAGCGATATTGGGTTAGATTCTGCACAAAATCTGTTGAGTAAAACGGACCAAACGAAACACACAAAAAGTTCCAATCGCATTACAAATTTTCGGAGTTCTCCGATTGAGAGCAGGCTTCAACTTACCCGTTCCCACATCGTGCTGCATCAGATTCTCCACTTGCCGCCAATCGGTGGTCAAACGCTTGGTCAGCAGATAAGCATTTATGGGATTCGATACGTAGGCGGTTATATCGCTGGCAGCATCCGCATGCTCTCTTTGGTATTCGTCCATTTTGCTGCAAGTTACACACAAAGTTTGTTAACAAATTTACTTAATCATTTTCATATACATGTAGAACTAATACAAACTAAGTTACAAGTGGTTAAAGAGAGTAAGCTGTTTGACCAAAACAAATAACAAAGTTTAGCTCAAGCGTACATCGACCACAAACAAATTCCATGCCTCGAATCCGCAGTTCAGACTATTAAATAATTATTGGCGGGTTGTGGATGCTCCAAGAAAAGGAGCATCAAATTATACATTAATTCAATTCATTTAAACAGAAACATTCCTTTGCGAAGCGCATACTTGCAACTGCAAAGCAGCAGAAAGGTGCAGAATTTGAGAGGCCACTGCCAATAAGCCACCTATTTAAGGAGATTAATAAGGATTTTGGCAAAGAGCGTTAAAGAGATAAAGACAGATAGGAGAGGAAAGATATAAAGGTTGCACAACCAACTGGAAAGCAGCTAGAAGGTGTTAAGACGAAGAGGTCACTTCCAATAAACCACTTTTCCCACTTAAAATTGGCCCATTTAGTAGAAAAATATTATTATTTTAATCAATTTATGAATAAAAGTGTATTTGGCAAAGACCTCACAGGGCAATCAGATAGAGTTAAATACATAAAGATAGAGAGGAAAAGAGAGGGATAAGCGTTGCACAACCAACTGGAAAGCAGCGGGAATGTGTAAAATTTGAAAGGTCACTTCCAATAAACCAATTTTCACAATTAATTGACCAATTTTCCATTCGATATAATTTGTAGAAGAATGTTTTTATTACAGACTATTTAACTATAGTAATGAGGCCTTCGGCAAAGACCGCACAGAGAGCATATAAAGAGAAAGGGAAACAGAGAGAGAGAGGAAGAGAGGGACTAGGGTTGCAGGCCAATAAAAAGGTATTAGACCAATTTATAAGATTATAACAAAAATACATTTTCATCTATTAAATTATTCACACCTCACATTCAGAGAATTACAACAGAATAAAATGTTAGCAAGATTGATAAAAAATACTTTTAAAAAATGTCTTCTCCTGCTCGTTGTACGCTTTCGGCGCATTTCATTTGTACAGGGTATAAAACACATGAAACTTATCAATTTTAAGAGTACCCACAGAAAACAGCATTGTTTTGTATTTTGGCTTGTGTACTTTATTTCAGTGTGCAGTGTGCAATACTTAAACGTTACTGTTGAACAATAATTTATAAATGATTTATTTGACCACACAATAAAAGAGTGGTTGCCCTAAACTTAATTACAACCCATGTGTAACTCAGATACGATACAATAAGATATTTACAGTCTTGAAAACAAAATTCGCTGCTGGAATTTCGAGTGCGTCACTAATTACGAATACTTTTTTTTGGTCTCCTAGCCGTTCCGGTTGCCGCTCGCTGAAAAGAAAACTACAGTAAAAAAAACTACACTAAAAACTATACGAAAAACTAAAAACTAATTAAGAACTGTGCTAAAAACTGGCGCAAAGTGCACTTAGACCACATTGACACGGTTATCAGGTGGAGGACGATAGCACCAGAGGCTGCCGATAACGCCCAGCCCAATGAAGAACATGGTGAATGTGGACAGGCCCAAAATAACGCCAGTGGTGACATCATGCAGCGGCAGTCCTGGAAACGGATCCAACACCAGGATGAGCAATAAGCCACAGCACTTGAACAGACAGAAGATGGTGACCAGGATGTAGCCAGAGGTATAGCTCCGATTTGGCAACCATTCGCAGTGTCGCGAGCGAAAGCCAAGAAATCCAAGACCCATGCCGCAAAACGAGGCAACCAGTCCAAACTGCAGGTAGAACGACTTTCCAAACTAATGCACGAAATATATATAAATAAAAATTGAGTCACGGATCGAAAGATTTATAGGGAAATTAGGATTGCTCACATGGGCTATCATGTAGATGATGAGGCCGGCATTCATGGTGCTGCCCAGGACAAGCATCAAGGAGACAATTGCCAATGTGATGGTGGCATTGGCCAATTTCTGTGGATACACATTGCTATTCACCGTCGACTTGCAGCCAGGCAGCTGGTTGCTCAGATCCTGCTCCTGGCCCTGGACACGCGGACTAATCACCGCCATGGTGCGATCAACTATAGCCAACTGTTGGTGTTGTTGTGAAGCTACTACTGGCATCGGCGGCTTCACCGTCTCATAGTGCAATCGCTGGGGGGAGAGTCGCTGCTGACGCAGTGGCAACGCCGGCGAAGGGGCAACTGAGACGGTTGTCGTCTGCTGATTCATGTTGATGTACTGCTGGCTCTGGTAGAGCTGCAGGCGACGCTCGCGCTGCAGCTGCTCGTGGTGAGCGGCATTGCGGGGCGTGGAGTGTGCGAGACGCGGTGGTGGTTGCATTTTGCGCGGCGTCGACAGCAGCTCGTGCAATGCCCGTGTGGCAGCAGCAGCATTACGCTGCTGCTGCTGTTGTTGTTGCTGCTGTGGGGTCGATGTACGCTGCTGCATGCCAAACTGTTGACTGAGCTCCGTGTGACTAAGGCAGGTCTCCTGCTGGGCCAGCGATGAGTCCTCGGTCAGTTCATCGTCATCCGCCTCGGTGGGTATGACCGCATAGCGATGAGCGCGCCCATTGTGCATCTGAATGATCTCCTGATTGTCATCGACCAGTTCCTCATCCTCGGCAGTGGGCACCATCTGATAGCGCTGATTACTATTCTTGTCCACAATGAGAAACGTTTTGCTACCAAAGTCACTGGAGAAGGCGTGTTTGATCTTTGGTAACGGCTTTGCCGGCACTGCGTTTAACGTAGGCGGCAAGCTGGCAAATTGTGTCTCCTGCTGCTGCTGTGGCTCCTCGTGAAACGAGTGCGGCTCCTCATCCGACTGTAGGCCATGCCGTGAGCCATAACGATCTAGATTATCCTGTGAGCGGGCCAAACGCTGTGCAGCCTGGCCCGGCACAATTGCATAGCGACTGGCCACGCTGCCCAGCTCTTCCAGCGGCACCAAAGCATAGCGACCACTAGACGATTGTTGTTGTTGTTGTAGATGTTGCTGTTGCTGCTGTTGATATTGCAGCTGTTGCTGTTGCTGTTGCTGGTACTGTTTACGCGTCACCGATCGCGTCGACATGCTACGCTGCATGCGGAGCGGACCCTCGCGTGGATCGCGACAGGGCGACACCGGCACCGACACCGGACTAAAGTTCAGCTGCAGGCTGCGATTGTAAATCGACTCGACGCGACTCGAGCTCGGGCTCGAGTTGGAGGGCACCGGATAGAACTCGCTGTTTTGGCAAAACGCCGGATTCGTATAGTTGTGCTTGGACATGGCCGCACTGTACTTGGAAAAACTGCAACTTCTTTTGATTCGAAATATTCTTCACTGTCACGTTCACGATCACGTTCCTCTGATGGTCGACTGATCTGCTCGGCACGACAATTGGATCTCGACTGAATTGGTGGGTTTGCTCGCTGCTCGACTTGCAATTTCCTGCGCCGGCGCGCAGTCGAGTGGATCGGTGGCAGCGGCAGCGGCAGCGACGCGTGCGTTCTTGCTGTGACCCCTCCTTTTAACCATCATATATACTTGGCTTGTATATTTATATACATACACATTTATATGCACACAATAATTGAGCTGAAGACAGCAACAACAAGAACAACAACAACAGCAAGCGACAGGCGACGTTTGGCGCGTTCCGTTTGTGCTAGAAACATCTGCTCCTGTTCCGCCTGCTGCTGCTGCTGCCAATGCTGCTGCTGCCACTGCTGCCACTGCTGCTGCTGCCAATGCTGCCCCTGCTGCTGCTCATGAGGGTTGAAACGAATTTTTGGCTGTCGCAGCCGGCATTTACTTTATCAGCATTTTTGAATTTCTATATACATATTTAACAAACTCATAACAGCGAAATAGGTGACGGCAATGCCCTCACACTAAGAGTATATAGTAAATGCTTTCTACACTTCAAACAAACACCGTGTCTATTATGTGCTACATACACTCAGAGAATTAGTCACCCAGAAATATATGAAATCACTATACTTTTAGCAGTTCAGCTCACCTTATTTTTCAAAAAAAAAAAATGCATTACTAAATTATATATTTCGAAATTATCTCTGGCGATTTATTTTCCGAGTGTACCACACTCTATAAAACACATTCCCCTTTTAGCTCGCTGGCTCAGGCGACCGTTACATTTGTTCTGTGCGCTTATCAAGAGTCAATAGTGAGGCACACTCACGATTCCTCCCTCGCGAGCTCTCTGTTCGTTTATGAACTGAGTGTATTTTTCTGTGTGTGTGTGTGTTCGAGTTTGTTGGGTCTTTGTCTGCGCCTTGTCTATGTTGGCCAATTTAATTGGATTTTGCCGCAGCGTTCGGTGAGTGCCACAAGGCCAAAGGCAAAACAAACGCGACAAATCAACTTTGACACAGCCGGATGACAACTTCTGAGCCTATTCACCTCCCCGGCCCCCCTGTGAAATTTATGCATTGCCATGTGACTGGAGCCCGGATGGCCAAAGGATATATATACATATATATATATATGAAAAATTCAATACGATTGGTCTGAATCATTTTGGGTGGCACAGCTTTGGGGCAATAGTTGTGGGCAAAAGTTGGCCACGCTGCTAAAGTTTTAATTAGAGATGGCAGCGCGGACACAGCAGCTAATGGCACGCGCCACATTCGGCTGCAATGAGCGGCGTGACAAGCGAGAGATGCAAGGATGCGACCAGACAATGGAGACTGGAGTGGCAAATAGCAAACAGCTGTCAGCTGTTGTGAGGATCAGAGCACTGTCCTTCGATTATTGTGACACAGCAGACGCAAAGGGAGCGAGAGAGAAGGGAAAGAGAGAGAGAGAGAGACAGAGAGGGAAAGAGAGAGAGGGTAGGGTACAAGTAAATAAGATAGATCCTGCTTGGCTCCTTTTTGCTGGCTGTTGGCATATTTTATTAGGGGAGTTACCTTACCGCATCCGTTGCGTCTTTTATCCTGCATCTACGTCCTTCCGCTGCAAGCAGCTCAAGTATATACATATATACCACATACTAAATACATAAATATTGAGGTGTATATAGGGTGCTGTTTGCTAGGGGTAGCTTAAGATATGCCAGGTAAATAACGCTCAATGTGTGTTGCTTGGCGCCGCATAGATATAAGAGACAATGCATGTCTTTTCACGATTATCTTCGTGTATCTGCAGATGCAACAGCTGCCACACGCACGTGTCCAAAATATGCTGACAGCCACCATAATTATGAGCATGCCACCGAGTACATAACAGTCTCACCTGCCCCGTCCCCTTTCAAGTTTTATAAGCATATAGAAAAAGTTTCACAAAGTATCTTAGATAAATGCAAAGTTATCAGCATTAAACTAAGCTATTCATTGGACTTGCAACTTCACTGCAGATACCATTTGTATACAGGAAACTAGATAAACTTTAATAATTCAGAAGGGGAGAAATGGTCGTCTATATTAAATTTACTCTGTCATTTTGTGCTTAACTACAAACTTTTAACAAGAGTTTTTAAACCAAACTCAACTCAACACAATTTCTCATTGTTCATTTTAATAATAAACATTTACAATTTGTATATAAACAGAAATTGTATAAGTATATAACAGACAGAAGGAATCATCTCTGACTCCATAAAGTATATACATATATTATAGATCAGCAACTACAGCTGAGATTTCAGATACTGTAAGAGCTGAAGATCAAATGTGGGATAAAAGTTCTCGTATACCACACGCAGATCAAGTTTATTTCATTTTTTCGATTTCATAAAGATTTCTGATTGAGACCGAATGAGAAAGTTATTGATCTCAATTAAAACTCAATTTTATAGCTCAATTTTGAATTAAATGAGAGTCCTGCTCAATTTTAACATTTCGCCTCTTAAATTGATGAGAATAACTCAACACACAAAAAGAGATACTTAAATTTAAATCTTAGTGTTGCAATGAGATAATATTTATTTTTTGCAGTGTACTTACTTTTTGAGATAGGTAAGCTTATCCTCCTGCACGCGTAGGTAGCCCTCTAAATTGCTTATCAATACGGATTCAGTCTCAAGCAGTTCCTCCATCTCCGCCAGCGCTGTGTACAGCTCCCCGCTCACCTGAACACACGTCAGGCCGAGCACAAGGACGCCGAGCACAAGCGCCAAGTGCAGACGCATCAAGGACGACATGATTGACGCTGCAAAGAGAAATTAAACAAGGAACAGTTATAGTTAAATCACTCTCGATTCCACTCAATAAGAACCTGCGTTTGTAGGGCAGAAAATGTGTCCATTGAGCCACATGCATTGCTAATTGACTTCCCCTGAGAGTCACCTGCCCGTAACCCACTGTGTAAGTAATAATTTGTCTATATCGATTTCGCATTAAATCCCACAGCAAGAAGTTCAAACAAGCTGGTGTACATGTTTGTGTGTGCGTTGAGTGTAAATTCAGTGAACTCGAAATCGGCTTTCGTATTGATTAATATGCTTCTGTAATTTTAAAGTCTTAAAGCACATTGGGCTTGAAGTAAGCCACTCGAATCATATAATTCAGAGCTTGGACCTCCAATTTATTTTAATGAGCTTTTTTTAATTTGAGCAGCCATAGAACGTTTTTGTTTTATGACATTCCGTTTATTGCTCCTTATTGCTCAATAAGCAGCATAATAAAGGAAAAGGTAATAAAAGTGCTTGAAATATTAGAGTTGACAATGAAACACCCTATATACATATATATGCATATATTATTGGATAATGTATATATAATGAGCAAAGATTTTGAAACTAAAGATGATCACTTGATTTATGGATGGTAGCGAATAATGTCAAACAGATTTTAAGAATAAATTAAGTGAATAGTATAAGATTCTAAATACATTGACATTTATTTTAGATATAACATTTAATTGGTGCAAGTTTTATGGCATGGTCCCATTTCAAAATTGGTGATAATTAGTTGATTGGCCACAAACAGCTCGTAGTAGTTTTCTTGATTAGCAAGCCGCTGAGCTGGAATCGAGTATTAAAGTTAATTGTGTTTTCAAATCGCATATCGATTGACTTTGCCGGTGGCTTGCACTCCCTTGACAGGATCTTTCGCTTGCCTGCTCACAGGGACACATGATGCATTGCGAATGATGCTTAATTAATTAATTTTGGCACTCACACCACAGACCACACACACAGTACATACAGACCGCACACTACTCAACTTAGACTCCAACGGTAATTACTCGCATTAATCAACAACTAATTCACCAAAGCTGACAAATTTCAAGCTGCAGTGGCGACTTTACCTCTGTCTCCTCCACGGTGTAGTCCAAAAACCGGCCAACTGGTCGCAAATTTAAGTAGCAATCTATAAGCAGTTTAAGACGCAACTAGAATGATCTAGTCACGACTGCTCGACTGCCAGATACTCTGTTTTTATATACATAGAGGCTTGGAGTTATTAGTTTGTTGAATATGAAGAAAACAAGAACTGTGCTTCTCATAGGATATAGGCTCCTAGAGAATTTTATTGCTATCGGAAATCGATTTGTATCGATATTCGTAAAAGGGGAAAAGCTATCTATAAAAATTAAAAAATAAATAAATTATGGTATGCAAGAACTTATATGTGGACAGACATGTCTGCTGCTGCTGATCAAGAATATATACCTTATGCAGTCGGACATGCTTCATTCCGCATGTGACATACTCTTCAACTTGATTATACACTTTTTTCCAATATTTAATGGTTTCAGGTTATAATAAAGACAATATTGTTTTTATGGCTGCCGCGCCTGATTTGTAGATAATGCATATTCAAATTAATTGTGTGAAAGTGTAAGGTGTGCTGTGCTACCTGATTCAAATGTATTCATAAACACAAATCAAGTTCACTTTTTTTCAAAATTCCCCTCTGCGTACAGATCCAAACTTGACACAGTCATAATGTTGTCAAAACTTCATCGATTTTTACAAGCAATGCTTTAAATTGAAATGTGGCATGTTTTATTTTGTGGGTCAAACTTGAAAATCAACCCGAATTTCACAGTCGATATTTTCCATTTTTCTACATACATTTTAAATATTTTAATTTATACATTAATAAATCCCCGAAACGTGCTCAATTTTGAACCGGTTTAGCATAAGATTCGAGTTCTCGGTCGATTTGTGATGCTGATAAGAAAAACGGGGGCGCCAACAAAAACAATAAAAACTCAACGAGGAAATCAAACGGTCTTTTTTTGTGGACAATGACAAAGTCTTAATGATCGAACAATCGAATTTGATGTGTTTCAAGATAAGTTTCGATTGCAGCACGCCAGACGACATCTATGAAATTGAGTTCAAAGAACCTTTGGCTCAACGAATTTAGTCAAGCAGCAACGCGGCGGCATATGCAAATGTATCTGAGAGATACGCGTGGCTGATGTTGCACTGCCGCTGCGTGAACAAGAGTCGCATTGTTTCCACTTGAATCACTAACGGTAATCGGCCCGTGGCCAGATTGTGGTCAGAACGTTACACAATCAAATTTATTGAAATGCAAATTTAATTTTGTGTAAACATATGTGATGATGGGCTCTTTGGGTAGGGTCCCCATTTCGAATGTTTGCAGATGCTACAGAAATGTGAGTTTCTTTCGTCTTTTAATGAGTTCGCTGAACCGTTTTTTTATTTGTATATTTTCTTTATTATTTTTTTTTGTGATTTTCTTTTGGCCAGGTTTTTTATGTTGTCCCTTTTTTTATACAAACAAAAAAACAGACAAGAATTACATATTTTTACTAAGAAAACTTTTGCACAGCAAAATAAATGTGTGGAATGTAAAATTTATGTTTGAAGCAGCAAGAATTTTACTCGGCTCTACTTTCACATTTTTAGCTGCCTTTAAACCCGGAATATATATATATTATATATTTTTTCTATGTTGCATTAATGTTGTCATTCAGACGCAGAAAATATAAAATGAAACAAATTTATATTTAGATATCGCAAAACGCATAAATTCGATATTAAAAACAAATAAATTGCACAATCCAGGCTGAACTGAAATGTCAAACTGCTAATTAGCATAGACGCTTGTGAGATTGGTTTTAATTTAAAAAACAAACAAGTAAGTGAGAACGTTGCAACTGGGCGTAACCGATTGCGAAATACTCTGATGCCAAGATAATACCAGTTGAAAAAAAAAGTAGCAAAGAACACGAAAAGGAAACACAAATTTGTTGACTGTAGCTTTCAAATTATGATTTTGTAGATTTGCAATTATCGTTTTGGTCGATTTTCTAGTCAACGTAAAATTCCAATTTAAACATTTTGGTTAACCCAGTCACAGATAAGCATATGGACGGAGAGACAAACAGACTGACGGACGGACATGACCTCATGACGGACCTTGCACAAAACCAATAAAAAATAGGAACAACAAAATGATTCCATATTCAAACAGTGTGCAGTCGATGAAAGTTGTATATGCAAATAAAATACGCAAAACATTAAGATAAATATGTCAGAACACAAGAGCTATAAAGTATACACAAATGCGAGTTGTTCAAACTTTAATATTAAGAACAAAAGCATATTAGTTTTGATTTATGCATTGCTATTTGAATATTCTTTGCTATCATTCCCACTTTGTTAGTTGGCAACAAAACTTTATACAAGCCACTTAATATTTACTAAAATATACTACTCTGTTTTCATATTCATTCATTCTCTGACATTTCCTGATAATGATAATAATTTAATAATTTCAAAGCCAAACCTTCAAAAAGGCAGACACATTCTGTTTGCCACAAATTGTGTTTGACAACAAATATTGCATCAGGCGTATTATTTAAATGTAAAGTTACATTGAAAAAAATCGGATTGTCCTGAGGGAATATTTAATAATGGAATTAAGTTGCAACAACAATATCAAATTGCATTTGCCACGCCTCAAATTGCATTTATTTAGCCCTGCCTCAGCAAATACGCTTGCGTGTTGATATTGCAACTCACAGTGTTGTTGTTGTTGTTATTATCTGGTTGCCAATACATCGGCTTATGCAACACATTGAAATGCAACAACTTTGGTTGCTTCTTTCTTCGTTGCTTTTGCGTTTGCTGCAAATTCTCAATTTAATTGTGCTTTTTTTGGCTCTGTTTTTGACTGCGCTTTGTGGCAATTAAGTTATGAAATATTGCTAGTTTTTGTTTGTTTTTTATTTTTTCTCTGTGCAAAGTGCTGAGTAAGCTCATTAGCCAAATGAAGCGAGTGGCCAACATTTTTGTGCCTGTATCTGCCTAGTCAGCTCGAATTTGCAACAGTTTGCCATGCGAACTGCAGCTGCTGCAGTAAAGCTGCTGGGTTTAGTGTGTCAAAAGCACAGTAAGAGTAACCGTAACCGTAAGCGTAACCGTAACCGTAACCGTAAGTCTAAACCTAACCGTAACCTGTTAAGGGTTTAACTGGTACTATTTATGTGGCATGCTTTAGTCTACTTAAGTGGCACCCAGCACACATATGACTCTCTCACAACTCTTATCTTAAACAGACGACAGGCGTTTGCTGTCTGCTGTTTCCCTGCTGTTTCCTGGCCAGCCTGACAACCAACTTGAATGCAATTGTTTGAATGCAAGCATTAAACATTAGTCTTTATATATACAGTTGGCCAGCAGACGATTTCCATGTTGCTACACTCAGAAAAAAATGCCCTTAATTTTAGTAAATTGCCCTAAGAAAAGAAATAATATCTAAATAAATATTAATTGAAAGGAAATAGGAGAAAAAAGTAGAAATGCTAAACTTTTCTATTGATCAAATATATATTTCCTAATAATGCAAAATATTTCAAAATCAAAGTTATATTTTTAAACTTCAATTCAGAAAATGAAAAACTCAACCATCCGTTTTAGAAATATACTCTCGGCATAATAAAGTTACTTGCCATTGGAGCCAAAATTATGGTTATTTTCCAAATTCGCGGCAATTTCTATTTTCAGAGAGTAAGAAGCAGCATTATTCAGGTGCAAATGTTGGCATGTGGTAAAAGCTAAAGTCTGCCAAGTCATAAGTTAGCAAACAGTAGCTGCTGACATTTATGTGGCGTTCAATTTTGGGGCGCCACATGGCGACAACATTGTTTGTTTCATGACATTTGAAAGCAATGTCTTTTGTTTTTGTGAGTTAATGCCACACGATCTCGTCGGCTTTAAATGGCAGCCCCAAGCTCTCTAGGATGCTTCAAGTTGACCTTATACCGTTTGTAGCTGTTTCTTGGGTCTGTGCATAATTAAAATCGCAATTGACAGCAGTTTCGGTAATTTCGGAAATTCAATTTGACTCGCTTGTTAGATGCGCCTTGTTGTGGCACCAGCAACAATTTGGCTGTCATTTCGAGAAGTTGGGCAACACCGATTCCAATGCCAAAATTTGTTGCCAAGTTTTGCGAGCTGCAGACGGTTATTATGTTTGCCATTTGATCATCTTGGGATATTGTTCTAACTGACAAACTTTTCGATTTGTTTGCCGTACATTTAATTGCCATAACTTGTGAGCCTGTCGTCTTGAGCTTGAACCCAACTCAATGTGAAAAATCTTTCCAACATTGAGAATTTTTCAACCTTTCACAGTGAGACGCGATCCGGTGCAAACAAGTTTGCAAATTATGAATGACTGCGTTACACAGGCACTGTATATTTATATATATCTATATACAGATAAACAGAGATATGCGCATAAATTTTACATTGCTAAGCAATTCACCTTGAAAGCGGTAAAAATAAACAGCATCATCTGCCCGATTGACAATCGCATCTAAACCGGTTGAAAATAACTCTGCAAAAGCATAGAAAAAAAAGATGCGTCAAGTTAACTGCCAATAAATGCAGTTGCCAACTGGCGAGAGAAACATAGCAACAACAACAACAACAAAAAACTGCAACTAATTACACAACAAAATCGTGATTTCAGCATTGGGCATTGAAAATGGAAGTGGAAGTGGAATTGAAAATGAAAATGGAAGAGCAATTTTGAAGTGGAGAGCCACTTGCAAGGAAGTTGTATTTTTTTGTTGAAGGGGGCAGGCAGCAATCAGGGCAACACTTTCATTTAATTTGCTTTCATTTGATTTGATTTAGTTTTGGTTTCATTCAGAGTTGCTTTCCTTTCTGCTTTGAACAAAAACAAGAGCAGCTGTTGCCTCGGGTTATTTAAACATTGAATTGAAATGAGTGAAGAGAGAAAAAAATTGTCAAAGCTGAAGTGATTTTTGTAAATAAACAATTGAAGTTGCGCACATTTTGAGACCGGTTTCAAAAGATGACTTATTGGCCCAGCTGGCAGGGGGTGCGCATTTCTGATTAGCATCAACAATTGCGGATTTCACATTAAAAAAACACATCAAACAAGTGTAGATTATTAAAATGTATAAATTTAAACAAATCGCATTTTAATATACGACATTTATAGTCATGAAATTGGCAGAGTGTTTGTATATTAAATAATTATGGGTTGCTATCTTAACGATGTGATAAATATAGAAACACATTCGAAGCGCTCAATTTGAATATTGAATAGACGACGAGAGTACATTTTTTGTGGTAGTTGGCAACGCGATTTGTGCGTTCCAATTCCAGCCATGCATTCAATACAAACATATTTAGGGGTTGCTTTCCAATGAACACGGAACACGGAACATAAACAACAAACGAAGTGCGGGCCAAAAGCAGAAGCAGAAGCAAAAGCAACGAGAGGAAAGTGAACCAAAACAAACGCAGCAACAAAATTGACTACGTGACTGGAGGAGGCTGCCTACTTTACATCCCCCTCCCCCCTCCTTCTCCTTTCCCCTTTGGGGAACGTTTACTTATCGCGCAACCCGGCGGGAAACATTGATGATGATTTCAATTGAAACTACACACATGTGTGTGCGGTCAGCAACGAGAGCGACAAAATTGAAAAGAATGAAGAGAGAATAATAGAAGCGAACTAAGTTTAGACATTTCTAAGAAAATCATACATATTTCTTTTATGACGTCTCTCGAACTAGAAATTTCTTTGTTATCAAAACGAAATTCTATTTTGTGGTGTCCCACATTGAATCAAGGCAAGGCAAAGCGAGACTAGAAAGACTAAAATCAATTCTTATCAATACAGGACGGAAGCTGCACACATAATCGAGACCAAGACTAGCACTAACTATAAGGGTCGATGTCGATCGCATGAAACACGTCAGCTTTCTGATCGCTCACTTCCAGGCACTTACCTCGTCGCTCTTTCGATAGGAACTTGTTGCCCTCAAGCGTCCAGTGTGGGCGTCGCTTCTCTTTTTATTATTCTTCTTCTTGTTTTGTGCGTCTGTTATTGTTTGTCGTTTCACCTTTTGTTTACAGCTTATCGGGTTTCTTGCCCGCAGCTAAGTGGTGTTCTACAATTCTTCCGGTTCACTTCGGATTAAAATGTACATATGCAAGTTCGTTAAATGTAGCACAATAAATAAAGTATTTACGCACAGACACTAACAACATACAAACAACCACACAAACGATATTTAGGCAGTCCTGATTTTCGTTTGCCTTTTGTCTCGCTTATTCGTTGTGGCTGCTGATTTGCACCTCGTCCGTACTGCGTCCGCGCGCTCAGCACTACAGAATGGAACTGAAACTGATGTTATTGCCGCCTTAGCCGCCTTAGCTGCCAGCAGATACATTTACATATGAGAGACACAAATACAGACAGAGAGAGAGAGACAGAGAGAGAGTGAGAGAGCGAGCGAGAGGGAGAGCAAGAAAACATGTTCTCTCATTTTCATTGCGTGAGCTAGCGAGAGCTAAAACGATACACATGCAATCCACATTGAAAGCAAAACTAGTGGTAAATGGGCTGTGGATTGTATTGGAACAGCTGTTGCGTTTGGCGGGCAATTCAAATTGCACTGATAATTTGATTAATTTACACGTATGTGGAATATTGCACGCTATTTTATAGTATTTCCCAATAGTTTTATTTAAGTTCTAACAAATTTGGCATTCATTTTATTTGTGTTTTTAAAATAAAGCTTTTCCTCATCATTCCTGAATGGTAAATAAATACGCGGATTTGTTTCGGCTGCTCATGCAGCATGCTAATCCTCAGTGACAGTGAATGAGTGCGTCAGACCCTCGTACGGATATTTGCCACCGAGAATGTACTTGTATTCACCCGAATGACGAATGCGATAATCTCCGGGTAGAGTTTGCGGACTGATGTTCCAAACGATTTCCAGTTCGCTGAAGCCTAGAATTGTATTCGTTCGATGCCAGATCATTCTGCAAAAATATAAAATTTGACTCCATTGTTTATAGTTGGGATTGGCTATGGTGCTCACCTGGTGTCCCAGCTTGCATCCGTGTAGGTGATCTTCCAGCGATCCTCATTGATCTTACGCTCAACGGTAAAATAGGTCTTCTCTGTGAAGAGATTATTACGCGGATTGCCCGAAATAAAGGTGGCTCTGACGGTGTCATTGATGCCATATTGTTTTTTTGGCTGCGTCTTCACATAGCCAAAGTCCGTGCCAATTGGATGGCCATCGAAGAGCACTCCAGTGTTCAAGGACAACATCACATCGTTCATATAGGGTGGACTAGGACCAGCATCCACTGTCTCGTTGCGCATCATTGCCTTCGTCAAATGCTCGTAAATGTCCATGTAAATGGTGTGCGTGTGTGGGCCAAAGATGGTGGATGCAGCCTCATAGCGCTGCGCCTGATACTCCTCCGGGGTGACCGTGTAGCTGGAGTAGATGTTGGTCAGGCCGGCAATGATGACCTCCGTGTCGATGCCACCAGCTGCTGAGGCAGCAGCTCGAATTTGATTGCGCAAACGACGACCGGCCATTGTCGTGAATTCACATGGAATTGCAGCAATGATGACATCGCCGATCTTCAAGATTTGATTGGATACAATTTTTGGTTGCCATTCGTACGGGAAAGTTGCCTGAAAAGAAGATAATATTTTAAATAATGTATATAAAACATAAACTATTTGTAAAGTTTCCATATAATCGTAAATCTATTCAATAATTCTCAACATATTGAAAAAATTCAAATTCAATCAAAATCCCTCATTAAAAACTGAGATTGCTACAATATTACTTACTCGACCAGTGGCAAGGAGAATGGGCTTTGGCTCGTGGCACTTGATATCCTCTTGGGTGGGCGGTACTATAAAATCGCGTACAAAGTTCCACATGGGATTGTCGGTGGTGGTGCCCTGCTCGAAGCTAAAGGCGCCCGGGCCATCGGTGGTGCCAGCAGCGAAACTGTAACCCATCGCCGGCTGGCAGCCCCTGATCTTGTCCAGCTTGCGGGTGAGTGGATTGTAAGTGCTGCCATTATAATTGGGCATATCGACAAACTGATGAATGAAGCGTATATCGCCAGTCACCTCGCGAGCCGTCGACTCCTGGCTCTGCTCGTTGAGCAGACTGAGAGCGCCATCTGCCAAACGCTGCCCAATGATCTGGGTGCTCTCGAACATGTCACGACCAGGACCGGACGCAAAGCACTCACCCTCGCCGGCGGGACAGTGGGAGGTGAGTATATCGCAATCGTTGCCCGAAAGTGAACACTTGGGACCCATGATGTTCGGCGAAACATCACCCAAATTGGAGGAGCAAAATGAGCCCACAAATTTGCCCTTGCCGGGCATCTTGTTGGGATTGTACTCCTTCTCCAGCAGCAGTGCCGCATAGCCCATGTTATCGCTGGTGACCAGCTTGTTGGTGTTGTTCATCGAGGTCGCGTGCACCGCATACCAATTGAAGGCACCCAGCAGATTGTTCTCGTTGTCCACGAATCTCAGCTGGGCCAGTGTCTTGTCCGTATCATGTTCGTACTGGGCACGCTCCTCCTCCGGATTGCGCAGATACGATGATGGCGAGCGATTGATGTTCACGTTGAGCAGCACCGTCTTCGAGAAATAGATGCGACCATCTACCATATTATCCGTGGCACGTTTAATGCACTGCAAGATAAATAATATGGATATTAATAAATACTTACTCATGAACTAGCTTACAAAACTAAACCTCCAAATCTAAGACATTCCTTTAATTATTACTAAAAAAAAATCCACACAAAAAAATACCAAAAATATATATAAATTTTTTTTAAATAATAATAATTATCAATATTTTCTCTTAAGCTTTTTTGTTACATTTTTAGATTTTAGAAATTTGTCAAATGTCAAAAAATTGCATGTACTTTTTGCAAATTTAAAAGAAAAATGTTTTAAATTAAAAAATATATAATTAAATAAATATAGAAATTGTTTGATACATATTTATCAATTCAATAAAATTGATCGATTTCAGCCTCATCGTTTTATAGCTTACCAAATAGATTCCTTGGGCCATCACTTCAAAGGTCTGCGGCACAAAGCCCAGAATGGATATGTCGTAGAGCAAATGCATCAAGAAACCGCCCGGTGCACCATGGGTGTGGGTGCCACTGATGGCAACGTTTTCCGTGTTGTATATGTTGCCATATCGTGCCTGCAAACGCTTCACCACCTCCCGCTTCAAGCCATAGCCCATCATGCCACAGTCGGCGCTGACGAATGCCAACCGGTTGCCCTTCTCATCCTCCACGACAAAGGCACGTGCAAAGGTGCGCGTATGGAGACCACGTCCAACCTGCTTGATGTTCGCATAGCCCATCTATCAAATGACACACAATTTGACAATTGAGGCAATTGAGTTAAGTTCCACTTTAATGTTTCACTTACGAAATTAATTTCCACTGAAGGTCCCGTTATGTCCGCACGTCCCACGCCCACCTTATAGGCGCTGGCCAGGCTGCTCAGGGTGCCAAGTGCGAACAGCGTGACTAAGCAATATTTCCAATTAGCCATCCTTGTTGCTAAACACACTCAGGTATGACAAAACCAAGTTAACTACAAAGAGAATGGAAACCAGTTGATTACAAGAAATCAATTAAAAATATATATATACAGCGGGACTTCTCTAAAACAAACCACAATCTGTGACAAATCCAATTCGATAGAAGAAAAGTTTTTTGGACATATCATATTTTGTTACCTGTAACTTTGGCTACAACCAACTTTTTCTTGCAGATAGAAAATATATCAAACCAATAACAATTGAGATAATTCCATCTGATTTTCTGTATAACCAAAATATTAATTTTAAAAAATAAATTCGTCTTGTGGAAGCTTTGATTTAAAAGATATTTCTCATTATTACTGTGAGTGGTAATTGTACGTAAAGTTGTTTAAAGTTTGTAGATTAAAAGTTAAATGTTAATATCAATTAAGGATTTGTTTAATCTGAATCCATAATATAATAAATTTAACTTCATTAAATTTACATTTATTCACAATTTTACTTCTTTACTGAATTCTTTTGGTGATATAAGTAATTAACAACGTAATAATCAGTAAAGTGATTAATCTATTGTCGATTAGATTATTATTATTTAACCTTATCATTTTGAAGAAAGACTTGTCGCACAGATCATCAATTGGCCAACTCAAATCAATCAATCAATCGAACGCACTTAAGTAATTTGCACATATGGACAAATTATTGCACATCGTTAAACAATCAAATCAAACGCCAAGAAAGCCCCACAAAGCAGCAACAGGCATGTATAAATGCATATGTATCTATCTATCTGTGTATCTGTGTATCTGTGTATCTGTGTATTTATGGATACATTTATGGATAAAACGATTGTCGGCCAACGACAAATGCTAATTTATTGCGGCCTCCGGCAGTTGCATCAATGAATAAAGAGAAGTGCGTATTACAATGCAAAACAACAGTTGAGGACAACCACAACAATAAAAAACAAAAGCAAACAGCAACAACAACAAATCGCTGATCTTTGTTGTTGTTCTGTTATCAGCTGAAGAGCTCGTTGCTTGTTATTGGAACCGGTTTTTATCAGCTTGCGAAACACAGCTGAGGCAGGCTACTATAACATGCAGCTGCTTCTGTCCAGTGGCCAATGATTATTGGAACTGCACACGAAAATCAAAAGTAATTGGGTTTTTACGCCCCTCCCCTCCTTCCTCCGACAAGCCCAGATTTGTTGATATATTTGATATGAATTTATTTCCTTTCTCGCATGCGGGCCACGTCTCAGACAAAAGAACCTTTTTTTTTTGTGGCAAGACGCCAAATCGAGTCAGTGGATGAGTAATTGTTTAGTATGTTGAACTGAGTGCTGTGCGGCCAATCGACAGTTCAGATTGTCGTGCGCTTTGCATAATTCAGTTGGCAGGCTGACATTGAAAATACAAATTAAATAAATACACACAAAATACTTATATGCGAGGTTTGCTTGCTCACAGGCCCAGCAAACAGCTGAAGTCCAAATAAGCAATCCCAAAACAAAATTAAAAAACAAAAAACAAGTGAAAATTCGCTAGATTGTACAGCTCGACTGGAAGATACCCTCTTGCACAGCTTATAAATAAAAAAAAATTGGATACGTTGCAGATATAAAAACTGCGCTTTTTATTTAATCTTAAATTTGAAATTTGGGCACTTGATCAATAATATATATAAGAGTATATTATATATAAGTTGGAGACAGATCGTCTACGAGATATTCTGTTGCACAGCTTTTAAATACAAAGTAGTATAAATAAACTTGAGCTGCCTCTATTAATGAGAACTTATATTCCACATTTCAAGTCTATAGCTCTCTGAGAGCTGTTGTTGACCAAGAATGCATATAATTTATGATCGAAGATGCTTCCTTCCGCTTGTTACATGCACAACTTTATTATACCCTTTTCCCATAGTGTTTTTTAATGTGTTGAGGGCATAACAAGCGGAGAGACAACGATAACAGCTGCAGGGCCATCGCGCAGATACACAGATACAGATACAGATACATGGATACGAGTTCGGACTTGTAATTCACGAAATAACTATTCAGTTTTAGCTGGCATCAGCTTATAAGATATTACGTGTTTTTATTTATGTTTTGCTGTACATTTGTTTGCATTTCATTAAAGTGCTGCACTTTGGTTTGGCTTGGATTTTATATTGTTTAACAATATTTCAGTGCCGCCTTTATTCAAATTGTAATTGGGTTTTATCTGATTTTAATTCGGTCAATTTCTGTTTACGTTTTCATGTTTTTTTTTTATTTTTATTTGTATTGTGTATTGTGCTTAGCACTCGGCACCATTGTGTGCAGGCCACTTACAAAAGATTCAAATGTATCTCTTGGATACACGCTGCCCGGACTGGCTCTGGCTGGCTGCTGAATGCGGTGTCAGCGTCGCCGCTGTCATCCAATTGAGCAAATTACAGAAGATTTTGGTTCATATGGGCGCTTTTTATTTGCTGATGAGCCTTTTCATACACTTTTTACTTTTTACTTTTTACGATCCCCACGATTTCTGGCACTTTCGCGTTGCGTTTTCGAGGTTAAACTTATTTATTTATTTTTTTTTTTTTTATGGTTACGCAATGAACTCCTTTGCCTTGGCACTGATTGTAATGGATATGTTTCACCAACTTATTTCATATTATTTTATTAGCACCTTAAGTTGTTAATGTGACGAATAGTCGAGCAGCAATGAATTCATTTCGGATTTAATGGAATTGTTCATTGTTGCATTAGAAAAATTATCTCACGCACGCCATTCAAATTAATTGACCAAATTATGGCGGAAAATTATCGCGATTAACGTTAAAAACACGTCAAAAAGTTGTAATAATATTTTATTTATTTGTATATTTCCCTCAATCAGTCAACGCTCGCTTGCAAAATTGCTTGCGTTTCAAATGCGAAACTGAATTCAAAACAAGCCGCATCGATATAGATATTTATCTCTTACACACACACACACAGACACAATACAAGAAGAGACTTTGCCCCCCTCTGCAGCCTTGCTTCCCATACAAATGGCACAACAAATAATGCCAAAGAAAATCCACAAAAAAAAGCAACTCAAACGAAACTGAAACCGAATTCGAATCTCGGTTCGAAGTCGCGTCGCTGGTGATTTTGTAAATGACGCCCGCTATGCGCCCAAGTTGGCACTCAACTGCTCAGCGACGACGACTTTGGCTTTGGCCACTTGCCAGAGACTGACCACAAGACGGAAGAGCGCGCGCTCTCTCTCTCTCCCTCTCTCTCTAAGCTCAGCTCAGCTCATTTCGGCACACTTTTGCCTTTTTTGTATTTTGCTTTACATTGATTGCTGTACAGCGCACAGTTAGTCATTCATTCATGCCATCATGTGTTCAATGAGTGCTGCTGTGCATTATCATCCGTATTTTGAGTGTAACTCTGAATCTGAGTTCACTATGCGCATTAGCAGATCAGTTGACCTCTCTCTCTCTCTCTCTCTCTCTGTCGCTCTCTATTGCTTGCAATCTATCCAAAATTGGTTATAAATATTTTGTTATTTCAAATAACCCATTGATAACGTATCAAATAGTCTGTTAACGCTAAAGATTAACTAACTTAAGGCCAATCTGAGCACTTTGAACCATTAATCTTACATTCACAACACAGAAACATTTTAAGAAAAGGTTGTAAATTAGTTAAAATAGTTTTTACTTACTTTTGAAGTTGCCCAAAAACTGCTCAATTCCTAACACTTTTGGCCGCACCCAGTCTCGCTAACTGAATTGGAAGACTACGCAAGCAACAATCTTGCTCGAGTGGGGTCTTTAAAAATACGAACTGATAGCAAGATTTATGAAGATTATCGTAGCTATATTTTTGCAACGATAAGGATTAAACAGTCGCATATAAATAAATGTTGGTAGGCAATTTGAAATGCCAACAGACAGCTCAAAGTTGCGTTAACAGTTGCGGAACAACAGAGGCATCGATAATATCAAACTTATCGATGCTTTGTAAACGACTGTTAAAGCAGCTGTTAGACATAGCATTTACAATTAATGTAGAATGAACAGCTGTTGTGGCAGGCAGTGTTGAAGCGACGCCACCTCAACCACCACCTGCGTAATAAGTAGTTCGTTTACGATTGTTACCAAATAGCCACAAAAAAAAAAGGAAACAACAACAACGGTACTCCAAATCCTTGAGCAAGGCGACACAAGTAGTGACACAGATGAAAACACGCGTGAGAAGAGATTGAAGCGAGAACGGCAGGTGCGCAGAGAGAACGCAACAGATTCAGCTAGCAAAAGCAAAAGCAGCATAAAAAAAATAACAATAACAAAAAACTAACAAATAAAATGTCCAAGGCCGTGAACAATATGAATATGGGCATTGTGGAGCCGCTGGAACGCATGAAACAATTGTCCCACTACGGCAATCTCATCGATGTGGACAAGAACATGCCAGTGACACGGTAAGTTAAAAGTGAATCGAGGCGGCAAAGTGGAATCCCTGCTTCAATGTCATCCGCCCACTTTTTGGCCTTGCACGTCGTATTTGCCTTTTGAAGGATATTCGCCTTGGCAGCATGTTTTGTCAACACACACACACACACATGCATGTGTGCCTTGGCAGCTGCTTGGCTGTTTTTTGTTTTTGTGCCTGGCTTATTTATGGGAAAGAAATAAAAGATTGCACTTTTTTTGGCCGTAGCTATTATCGCTCCGGGACGGAGATGTTGCGCATGGCGAACGTGTATCTGAACGAGGGCAATCACGAGAATGCCTTCATCCTCTACATGCGCTACATGACGCTCTTCATCGAAAAGATACGCCAGCATCCCGACTATGGCAGCGTTAAGGCCGAGGTGAAGGCCATCAATAAGACGATTAAGGACGAGATTATGCCAACGACGGAGAAGCTGCGCACCAAGCTCCTCGCGCAATATCAGCGCGAATACGAACAGTTTCTTGCCAACAAGGAAGCGGAACGGATGCGCGAACAGGAACGAGAACGTCACCGGCAACGGGAGCTGGCGAACCGCAAGGCAGCCGGATCAGGCAATGTGCCGTCGCTGATACCCGCCAATCTGCATGTGCAAATGGATGCGAGCAATCAGCCAACGGCGCCTGATCTCGATCTGCTTGATCAGGTGGTGTATCCCAATGATTTTCCCACGGGCACCAATCGCAGCAATCTGCCCAATTCCGGTCTGTTGCTGCCCGCCGCCGATGCCAGCGCCGATAAAACAACCAAGTGAGTGTTTCTATTTTGTTGCTGCAGCCATGTGGCAGGTGACTCACTCATCACACTTGTCCCTTGCAGCTCATTGTCGAAGCCCGCTTTCGATCGCAACCAGAAGCCGCAATATAATCGCACGGACTCGCTGCTGGCGGGCTCGCTGCGCACCGTCAACGTACCTGGCGACACTATGGATGTGTTCCTGAAGCTCGCCCGCTCCAATACCTCCAATAACATTGAGACTTGTGGCGTACTCGCCGGCCATCTGGCCCGTAATGAGCTGTATATCACGCACATTATTACGCCGCAGCAGCACGGCACGCCGGACAGCTGCAACACGATGCACGAGGAGCAGATCTTTGATGTGCAGGACCAAATGCAGCTCATCACACTAGGCTGGATACATGTAGGTGGCATCTAAAACTTAGATCTTTAACTTGGCTAATTGTTGACTCTTCGACAGACGCATCCGACTCAGACGGCCTTCCTGTCCTCCGTTGATCTTCACACGCATTGCTCTTATCAGATGATGATGCCCGAAGCAATTGCCATCGTCTGTGCGCCCAAGTACAATACGTGAGTCATTCTATTTTTGCGGCTTCTCCCACTGAATCACCGAGTAATATGAACGTTTTATTTTTAGAACTGGTTTCTTTCTACTCACGCCTCATTATGGACTGGACTATATTGCACAGTGTCGGCAGAGCGGATTTCATCCGCATCCCAATGATCCGCCGTTGTTCATGGATGCCCAGCACATCCATATGGATGGCCAGGCCAAGATCAAAGTCATCGATTTGCGCAGATAGTTTGTGGAAATATTTGTGTTAAGCAACAGCCAAAAAACTACCAGCACATTGGTCAACCTACGGAATGCAACAGCAGCGAATTTAACAAAATGCTTAAAACAACAACAAACAAACAATAACAAACAACCAGAAGCAATCGCTTGAAGTTAACTAAATCTTTTGTTAGAGCATTCAGTTCAGAGTAATCCAAACAACAAACTCACTATAGTAATAATTTAAAACAAAACAAAAGCAGAAAGAAAATCAAAATGAATGGGAAGATTACAAAGGATCCACAAATTGGAGAAAATGTACTTGTATTTTTGCAAGCAATTCATCGATAAAGTTATTTATGTACATGTATTTATTAGAGCAGTTAAAACTATGGCATTTCATTCAGCTCTTAGTTAATTCGCATTTTAAGGTCTGCTTTATGCAATTCGTTAATGTGATTTCCAATTGTGGCTTATACTTTTGTTGAGGAACTAATACTTTTACTTATGCATGTATTTATTATGTCTGGCAAAGCAATCTCTACACTCTACACACACCGCTACTAATGCAGCTAAAGCAACACCTTTGAAATATATATATATATATATATATATATATATATATATATAGATATTTACATATTTACCTAATATTGCTAAAAAGAAAACTTAAAAAATGAAAACTATTGGATAACATGTTGTTTGAATTAAAACCTGATAATGGTAATCGTGTTATTTATGCTTACTAAATGCTAAATTGAATAAACCTATTATTTATTTTAAACGAACAATTGTTTCATTTTATTCTAAACAGCCATTCTCATTCAATAAATAATAAAAATTCCATTCAAAATTAACATTCATCTGTTACCAGTATGTTAAACACAAACTTTATTTTGCACATAAAGTTCTATTTATTTTTGTATTTATTGTAGTTTAAATATTTGGTTTGGTTTTAATATATGGTTTTAAAAACATTTGTTAAAAGCGAATTACTTTTACATTCTCGAGAAAAATTAGAACTATTAAATAATAACAATTGCCACACAAATTGTTGACCTGTTAAAATTTCCCCATTTATGTACATGAATAGCCCTTTTTGCGCTTAACATTTCCCGCCCACAGTTCTGCGTGTTTTCTCGACTCGTGCGGTTTGTCCAGTTTATCAAGTGGGATTCGTATTCCAACAACCGCTAAACACTGAAAATAGTTTAATTACAAATCGCTGAGTACTAAAAATACACGTTATATTGATGGTGTGAATAATAATCGATAAAAGAGCAGCAGTGCGTCAATCCAAAACCCAATAACATAACAGCCACAAGGCGTCGCATCTTGTTGTTGTTGCCGTGTGCCCTTTGCCCTTGATTCAAATTTGCAAAAGGAAACAAAAAGCAAGATAAAAAGATAAACAAATATTGCAAAGAGTGTGTTGCTGTTAAGTGTTAACAGTTGCTTGCATATTGTACCCACTCGCAACCCCTTCTCCTCTATAGAATGCCAATGCTCGATCTAAGACCAATTAACGGGATATCACAACTTAAAAGCGTTCAATGTCAAGAGGTAGGTGAAAATTAATCTATGCACATTTACCGTTCGACAAGAATAGCTTAAGCTTTGCAATAGACTAGCTGTATATAAATATATTATTTAAAAAAAAAAGCCTTTCAATATCATCAATAATCATCAATATGCATTCGTAACCTTTAACCCAGCCAGTGTTGCCACCTGTAAACACAAATTATTGCATTAACTTTAAGAGGAAAACGGAAATACTCTGTTCACAGCACAATTGTCCGACTGTCTGTCGGTCTGACTGCTGGCTGACGTCCTTGCGCGTACCTGGCGCTCAAAGCGGACACGGGCAAGACAGCCGTCAGCTGACGCAATCAGCTGGTGCTGGCGGTGCCACGCAGTGAAAGCATTTCACATTGACATTTTGCTCACCTTGATAAGGAGGCCCAACGACCCCAAGCAATGATGGTTATTTCGTGTCGTCTCTCAATTGTAATTGTTGTTCATTTCACTAAATGAATTGCATGCAACTTGCCACTGAAACATTCATACATATATATTCCTTGTCTGTATTGATGCCTCGTTAGCACATTCGAAATACAATGGTTGCTTTTAATATATCCTTTATTTTTTTTCATTTTAATTTTGTAGTTCAATTGCTAATCTTTTAATTTAATGTAATTTAATGGGCAACTTCAATTTGCAAACATTTTTAAAAATGTATTTAGCCCACATTAAATAAATAAATATTTAAAAAATAATAATTCAACTAAAATTGAAATGGTATTGCAATAGTACTCTTATTCTGAAATCAAAAAAAAAAAAAATCTTTATTTTGAAACAAATAATAATTATTATTTATTTATTTTTTGTTGAAAAATTTTTAAATTTTGAGAGACGTGCAAAAAATCAAAAAAAATTATTTAAAAATAAAAAGAATGCTGATCTATAATTAATAAAATTATAAAACATATAGTTTAATTTAAGAGCAATAATAATCGCGTCTTTCGTACTATCTTCGTAGTATTTACCTGTCAGGGCAACAACTTTTATTAACATAGATTAAACAAATAGCACTTCATTAAACTGGCAAAATTCGCCATCAAGATTTTGCTCTGGAACCAAAGCGTCCATTGTACTTATTTGCGTGCTTTCTTTTCTTTTCTTTTCTTTTTTTTTTGTTTGCGCCGTTTTCTTTTTGTATTATCCAAGTCTGATTTTGTCTGTCGCTGGCTATTTTTATAATAGCCATGCGCCATTCACGTGCGTCTGCCCGGCCGGTCAATGTGGCGTATACGCAATATGTTAATTTTTTTTATTTGTTGCAATGTTGCAACATTGCACGTGCTACTCATTTTTACACATATTCATGCAATTACAAAGTTTTCTCTGTGGCCTTCACTCGTTTTCATTGGCATTGCACGAAAATGTCGACCTTGTCCTTAAAATCGCGCCGTGCTCTTTTATATAGGTGTATACATAAATATATATAAATAAATATATATATATATTTTAATTTATCTATGTGTATTGCTTGTCTGTGTGTCTGGTAACCATTTGAGTTGCTTTAAAGCAATAAATACAAGTTCCAGTGTCGAGAAGTTTTGCATGCTGGCAAAGCTTTTTGTTTTGTTTGCTTTGCATGGAATAATCGCATAAGAAATGCACCCAGAAAAGCTTCGGCCTGTGGAAATAGGGGAGGGTCACAAGCTGCAACGATTTCCTGCTTAATCTATGCATGTTTTTCTAACTGCACTACAGGTGGTTGTTGTTCACACACACACACATACACACACACACACACACACACACGCAAGCGCACAATCATCAAAAATTTAGAGTGTTTAGAATTTTCGCACCCTATACGTAAACACATTGCACAGTAGTCGCATACATTGTATATGGTTTTATTGTAAATGCAGTTCTCAAATGACGCACACGAACTAACAAAACAAGATTACATACACTTACCGACCGGAGTCCACCTGTTAACACATTCGCAATGAATTTTAGAAATTCGAAATACTTTTGTCACCAAAAGCAATTCTCGGAAAAGCAAAATTTATATATTTTTTGAAATGTTTGCATTCCTAATTTTAAGAAAGTTTTCCTAGTTTTCAGAACGATTTTCATTTTAGGACAATTATTAAAATATGAGTGCCATTTTTTCCTAAGTTCACCTAAATTTCATTAAAAAAAAAAAAGGAGCACTATTAAGTTCTTTGTTGTTTGGTCCGGTTAACAAAAAACTAATGCTCACAAGAACTTATCTTCGGTCCAATCGTACCCATAGCGACTATATGATGATCAAGAATATATATAATGCTTAGGGGGTCGCATGCGTCTCCTTTAAGGGGCTTCACACTTGACGACAAAATTATAATACACCTCCGGAAAGGGTAGTAAAACAATACATATGAACACTCGAGTGGCGCTGTGTGCTAGTCTTTGCAGTCGCTGCCGCAGTCGACACTCGGCAGTTGGCATCGGCGTCGCCCTCGACGCTGGGGCTGAATATTACTGGGAAAAGCTTTTTGCCAGTGCCTCCGATTTTGATTCAGAACGGAAAAGTGACGCGTCGCAAACGCACGACTCGCTAGCTGAACAACAGAGAATCGCGATTTGCTCGTTCAAATAGATAAGTTCGAAAATTTTTCAGATATAGATGCGTACATACATGCATACATAAGTAATATCTATACATATGCGTATATATATGTCTGTGCATAAATAGAGAGCAATCGTCGGAAAATTCAGATTAATCGTTGGGCCTGGAAGTCGATTTGGCAATAAAAGCAGCAGTTTTGCACACTCGGCACTCGCGGCAACAGTTGGCCAGTTGATGAGCGGTGTAAACAAAGCTAGCCCATAAATTAGCTAAGCTACGCGATATCCAGCAAACTGAAAACAAATGTGCAAGATTACGAGTGTTTTAATTTAAATAATAATTCGCTGACTTCTGAAGTGCAACAAGTGTTTGAAAAGACTGTTTCAATTGTGTTCATTTAATTTACAAAACGAAAAGAAAAATGGAAGAGGTAAAGTTTATTGTCATATATAAAGTATTCGTCATGTTGTTGTATAATACAAATTTTGATTTGAGTTTTTTCGAACAAATCCTCAAAATTGTTCGCCAAGTTGTCATTGATATTGTATATGATATGGCTAATTTTGAAAATTTCAACAATATTAAATGTCTTACATAATTCTGTATACTATTTAAGTTATATAATTTTACTGCAAGTCCAGTTATTCAATAAATAAAAATCGATAAAAACGGTTTATTAATAAATAATGTGGTTTATTATTTAAATAAATACTCTTCTGAAAAGAGCTATGCTTTTTTGTTGGGATACAATTTGACAGATAACAAGAGTATAAAATTGAAGCTAGCTAATACGCCCAATTAATAAAAATGTGTAGACTAATTAGAATTAATTGAATGACAAAGTTCAGTTTAAAAGGAAGTAACAAATTGATTAGATAAATCCCATAAGAATGGGCATATCTTGATATTTGATTTTGGCAGCCTTAGTAATGAAATCTTTGTATTAAAATATCATATCTTGATAATTGTTTGAAATAATATTTATAAATATTGCAGTATATTGTGTAAAGCTTTCACAATCAAATGCGACTGTCGGACAATGTTTCAATACACATTGTGAAGAGAGAAAAAACAATTATAAATTATAAACCCACATAGAAGCAAAAAGCTCGACAACGCATCAAATGTTCTTTTTCGCGGTCGTCTCTCGGTCTCCATTCTAATGTCAAATACACAACAACAATAACGGAATCACCTTCATGCTAAAAGCAACATTATCTCAACGCTATCTCAGTTTTCACTGGAGACATTGTTACTGTTTTGTTTTTATCATTTATAATGCATTCATTTTTATTAAAGCTGTTATTTTTAATTTACTTTTTATTGCATTGTGCCAGGTATATTTATTTATTCATTCATTTGAACTGGCTTGTGGCAGTTGAATTATCTCTAAATTTCTCCCGCTCTCTGTTTCTCACTCTCTCTCTCTCGCTCTCTGTCTCTCTCTCTCTCTAAATTTTCTTTCACTCTCTGTGAGCTTATTTGCAGTCGGGTTTTCATTATATGTTTAGTGCTATCGTCAATTAGCTGACTGATCGACCTTGCGTATACGTAATCAGCAATATCTGTGTGCATTCAAAGTGGCGTTTGGTGCTTTTCCGACTCGCGCTAATCTGGCTTACTGAAATTGTCTATTTATTGTATTGATATTATGGCGTTTATAGCTGTCAAGCAAATTCTTTGTTATTAATGTGCCCAAACTTTGAACGAAAATGTTTAATTCGTTTTGCATTAACTTGATTTAATACATTTCTTTAGCTTTGCTGCCTGCTGCTTGCCTTCAAGTATGTATGTATGTATCAACTGCTGCACGAATAAATGTGGCACTGGCGATAATGAACAGCCCGATTGACCTTGACTGGGAATTGCGAAACTTTTGCAGTTATTCGTCAGGTGCTCAAATTTGCATGCAGACACGAATACAAACACAAACACAAACAGATAGATACATACATGCCTCACGTGCCACCAGCAGCAGCAGCAGGTGAGCTGCCCGGACAGCACGGGCAGCCCGGGCAAACCTCTGCCCCCGATCGACCTTTGACTGGGGCAAGCAAGCAGAAGAAGTAGTCAGCAGACAAACGACCTCATTATAATTTTTACTTGCAACAAAGCGCAACTGAATAGCAGTCCTACTGCAAATATTTACTTTTATGTGCAACATTCTCCGCCAGTTTGACGTTGCATGCAAATCTTTGTGTGTGTGTTTGACTGTGCTTGTGAGATTTTAAATTGAATGTGAAATTGTGTGAGGATTTTGTGCTTGCCACAACAGCTGGAGAAAAGTTGCCTTTTTGATTATCCATGCGCTGAGCTCTAGCTTTTGATTAAACATAATCAGCTTATCCCTTTACGGAAGTGAATTATTTAAAGTAAAAAGCAAATCTTGGTGTAAAACGACTATTATCTTGACGAGCAATATTCTAGCTAGTTAATTGTAAATATTTAACTTCGCTTAACTTATTATTCGTCTCCATTATTTTCGGTTGGTAAAAATATATATAAAAAAAATAAAAATAAATTGTATTTAAGTCAAGTTCCAGTTCTTGACTAACAAACAACAAAATATAAGAATATAATAATAAAAAATAAAACATTTGACATTTAGTTGGAACATTTGCAAATGTAGCTACTTTTCAATAAAAAAATATGTCATAATTATTATAGCTTCTGACAGCTGTCTACAAAATAAATGTATTATTTCTGCAATTTTCCAATAGTCCGAAAATGCTGATTTATTTTTTACTTAAAGTTACAGCGGCGAGAAAAATATTACAACAGCTGCGCCCTGTTCACAAACAATAAACAAACTGATAAGATTCGAATAATAAATACAGGACTTAATTAAATGTTTTTCTGTTGATCTCAAAGCAATCAATTGCTTTTGTTTTTCGTTTTGCTACCTGAAATAAATGCGAGTCTCTTTGATTGTTATTAATGTACATACATGCATACATACATACATACATACATACATACATACATAATAAATATAAGTTTGAATAAATATAAGTGGAGCGCTCTGTGAGTTCCCCAGCAGCTCGAATGAGTAATAAGAGAATTGCAATTTCAATTCATGATAATCGTATTACGTCAACACATTATTTGATTAATTTGATCGACTTTAAAGAAGAGTCGGACTTGTTGACCACAGGTCCATGTAAATAAAAGGCACCTTATATTAATTATACTGACATTTACTGTGACTTGCTAAATTGCCCTTGCCAAATTGTACATTTCAAGCGATTGCAAAAATTGTTTGCAAACAAAAATTGTTTTATTTATGATGACAACAAATGAGCGAATACTGCTAAGAGTAGCATAACAGAAAAGAGCGCAAATTTAAGAGCAAACGATCAACTTTGGCAGTAACCCCGTTCGCACAAGCTAAAGATAAAAAAAAAATAATAATAGCAATTTGTCTCTCTTCTTGCGCTCTTAATCTCTCTCTCTCTCTCAGTCGGAAATGTTTGCCGTGCAATAGAATAGAATTTTGGGCAGTCAGTTGGACTTGGGGTTCGATTCCGTTCAGTTTGGATCGGTTCAAGTTGATGAGCTATTTAATGCCAGCATACACTCGCCTGTCTAATTAAAAATAATAACAAAATGCCAATTGTCGCTGCTGTAAGTTTTTTAAGCCCAAACGAAATTGTTGGACACAGAGCGGGAGAGTGAGAGAGAGCACAGACACGCTGTGATTCTGCTTTTGACACGTGTTGCTTTTTGTTTGCTTCTCGAAAGAGAGCGTCTGCAATGCAAATACAAAGATATACATATATATATATATATATATATAATATATAAAAATATATAAGTGTGTGTATGTTCATGTGAGTAGTAATCACATCTGTTGTTTTTTTGTTATTTTTGTTTTGCAGACTCCGTCATTACTGAAGCGCGCCGGCACCGATAAACTGCGCGATGTCTTCCTGAAGTACGCCTCACTGCAAAAGGATGGCGATCATTTTATGACCAGTGAGGATTTTGTGCGCAAGTTTCTCGGCCTGTTCACAGATACAGCATTCAATGATGTAAGTAAAGCGAACGCATCATTGGGTCATTGCAAGGTGACATAAATGCACACACACATTATGCCTGCCTCTGCCACTCAACAGCTGTGATAAGCAATCAACAACAGCAACAACATCAACAACAACCCGATTGCTAGCCTCACTGTTATCAGCATAGAATTGATAGTGAAGAACAGCATAAAATCGTTGTGCATCTATTTATTTATTTTATCTGACTCACAATGCACTCAAATTGCCCGCCCGGCGTTAATCACTTGAGTGCCTCGTGCTAAAGTCTTCGACGTCACAGCATTTAAATTGGCGGCGGTCTTATCAACAATGGCTGGTCTAGTCGAAATAGTCGAAACTCATTTCCAGGTGGACCAGGGTTGAAGTCTGCGGATTATAGTTCAGTTTAAATCTTTTTATAGTTGCGCTAATCAACTAGCCAGCAGTGCTCTAACATTAGATACGTTCGCCGTTGCAGGAATCGGTGCGTCTGCTGGCCGGCATTGCGGACACTAGCAAAGATGGACTCATCTCATTCTCGGAGTTTCAAGCATTCGAGGGTTTGCTCTGCGCCCCCGATGCGCTCTATAGAACCGCTTTTCAGCTGTTCGATCGCCAGGGCAATGGCACCGTATCCTATGGTAAGTAGATAATAATAAAGATAATATATATTATCTTTAATAGTATAGAATATAACAATAGATAATAATATTTATTATCTTTACATTCACAGCTGATTTCGCTGATGTCGTACAAAAAACCGAACTGCACTCAAAGATACCTTTTAGCTTAGACGGCACATTTATCAAACGCTACTTTGGTGATGTAAGTAAAATCACTTTTTATATATATGCAACATATTTAATACCCTTCCTCTCTCTCTATGCAAACCCGCACAGAAGAAGCAACGGCTTATTAATTATGCTGAATTCACGCAATTGCTGCACGATTTTCACGAGGAGTACGCAATGGAGGCATTCCGTAGCAAAGATCCAGCTGGCACTGGATTCATATCCCCCCTAGATTTTCAGGATATAATTGTTAAGGTTAAGCGGCATTTACTCACGGCCGACGTCAAGGATAATTTGGTGGCGGTAAGTGTATAGAAAGTGGTATTAAGTGGTAACTAAGAGGAGTAGAAGATAAAAAGAGTTACTCTTTGAACTTATCGACTAACTAAGTTCCGATTTACCACTATAAATTCCATTATTATATATAATACATTATTGTATCGTTTAACTTTCATAGGTCACTGAGGGTCACAAAGTGAGCTTCCCGTATTTCATTGCATTTACCTCGCTGCTCAACAACATGGAGCTGATCAAGCAGGTATACCTCTATGCCACCAAGGGCAATCGCACCGAGACGGTCACCAAGGATCAGCTGCTCTACGCGGCACAGACAATGAGTCAGATCACCCCCCTGGAAATTGACATTCTGTTCCAATTGACGGGCGCCGTCAATCAACCGGGGTAAGTTCCCCAACTCCCTCTCTCTATTTCCCTCTCTTCAGCACTCCCTGTTTACAGCAATGAAAGTAGAATAATTTAATTTAAAGGCAGCATTCTCAACAACAAAAACAAAACAAACAAAAACAGTTCACATCCATGTGCTTGTCTCTCCGAGTATATTAACTTCTTAGAATTTTATTTCTTTTCTTTCTCTCTTTTTCTATTTCTCCCCAATTAAAAAAAAAAACCACATTGCATACAAAATTTTTGAAATAATTACACATTTAAATGTATATATTTATGTATATATCAAATAATTTAAAGCTGGTGGAAACGCAAAAAGATTGCTCCGATTAGGCAAGTGTTGTTGTCCTTATTTAGTCATGGCATTTCTCACCAACCCACCCCTTACAAGATCCAAAAGCAAATACCCTATCGCCATGCATCACCATTTCGGTGTGTTTTCGTTTTAGATATGCAGCAGTCTGTGAGAATCTTGGCAAGCAAAATCTGCAACTAATCACTGAAAATCAAACGTTTGTTTCAACAGCCGCATCGACTACGGCGATCTGAGTAACATTGCACCCGAGCATTACACGAAGCATATCACTCATCGTCTTGCCGAGATCAAGGCTGTTGACAGTCCCAACGATCGTTCAGCTGTTATTCAGGTGCTGGAAGCCGTATATCGCTTTACACTGGCCTCCTTTGCGGGCGGTAAGTGAAATACTCCATAGATTTTTCATTTGAAGACTTAATATATTTGATGCATCTCTTAGCCACTGGCGCCACGGTGGTCTATCCCATTGATCTGGTCAAGACACGCATGCAGAATCAACGCACTGGCTCCATGATTGGTGAGATTGCGTATAGAAACTCCTGGGACTGTTTTAAGAAGGTATATTAAATCTTTTATATATAAATAGTCAGTATATTTAATATCAGTTGTAATTTGTCGCATTGAAATTAATAATCAATAATAATCATTTAAATAATGGTTCCTCAAAGGGTTTTAGTAATTTTATAGGTAGGAATTCATCAAATTATAATTATCGTAAAGTAAAATAATCAATTATTTGTTTACAAATTTGAATTAAATCAAAATGTTCTAAGGTTATGAAAATTGAATTGCGATCGAATATAAATTTAATTTCACCTAATAAACATTCTAATCAAAATGTAATATTAAAAAAAACTCGTAACTTAAAAAATCTGATAAAAGTTATAGTTTTAGGGCGACAAACATTGCATAGTGTAATTTACATTTGCATTAATAATAAACCACTTACATTGTCAACCAGGTAATCCGGCACGAGGGCGTCTTGGGTCTCTATCGCGGCCTGCTGCCCCAGCTGATGGGCGTCGCACCGGAGAAGGCCATCAAGCTGACGGTGAATGATTTTGTGCGCGACAATTTTACCGACAAAAGGGGCAATATTCCTGTGTGGGGTGAGGTGGTTGCCGGCGCCTGTGGTGGTGCTGCCCAGGTGATATTTACCAATCCGCTGGAGATTGTCAAGATTCGTCTGCAGGTGGCCGGCGAGATAGCGGGCGGTTCCAAGATAAGTGCCCTCTCCGTTGTCCGCGAACTTGGCTTCCTGGGTCTATACAAGGGGGCCAAGGCGTGCCTGTTGCGCGACGTGAACTTCTCGGCGATCTATTTCCCAACGTATGCGCACACAAAAGCGGCGCTGGCCGACAAGGATGGCTACAATCATCCGCTATCTCTGCTCGCCGCTGGCGCCATTGCTGGCGTCCCCGCTGCCTCGCTGGTCACGCCCGCCGATGTGATCAAGACGCGACTCCAGGTCGCCGCACGCACGGGCCAAACCACCTACACGGGCGTCTGGGATGCCACCAAGAAGATCATGGCCGAGGAGGGGCCACGTGCCTTCTGGAAGGGCACTGCCGGTGAGTTTTGATATTTGAAATGATTGAAAATGTCTTGAGTCTATCGTAATCCTTAATTTTGTATTGCAGCTCGCGTCTGCCGCTCGTCGCCGCAGTTTGGTGTCACCTTGGTGACCTACGAGCTGCTGCAGCGTCTGTTCTACGTTGACTTTGGCGGCAATCAGCCGAAGGGATCACATGGCACCAATCTTGCAGTACCGCTGGATAGCACACTGAGTCGAATGCAGCCCAATGCGGATCACATTGGTGGCTACCATGCGGCTGTGCCACTACTGACGGGCATCGAGTCAAAGTTCGGATTGTACCTGCCTCGCTTTGGACGTGGTGCCGCCGCTTCTGCCACAGCTGGCACAGCGACCGGTTCATGATTGTATTGGCGCCATCGCCTGCATAGCGCGAGTTAGGTCTAAAGTTGTACAGTTGTAGCCATAGATAGATATATATATTTATATATAGCTATATAGGCAAACAGTCGAAATTGTTATAGATCAGCTATCTTGATCAGTTATAGATTATAGGTTTAGTTTTTGCTAGGATGAGCTAAAAACACTCACTAACAATCAATCGAGCTATACTGAAAACTGTTCAATGCATCTGGTCTATTCTAGATTAATCAAGAAATCATTTCTTACCAACAACTTATTGTAATAAACTTGTATACATAAATATATATACAAATATATATATAGTAATATTGCAGACATTTATGGCACACAATTGACAGCAACTGATCTACCTACACTAGAAACGAGATCCTGTATGAAATGATATGATGATGATACTATAATTGTTTTTTGTAAACTTTTTTAACTAGATGCCTAGCATAAAGTCAAAACAAAACAAAACAAATCAAAGAAATTCACTGAAAGTCTACTTTTGCACTCAATGATCTATTTAAGCGTAAAAACCTTTTAATCTTAGTCCGAATTTGTTCAACAGTTATAAAGGAAAAATGCAATGAATTACCTCTTAGCTAATAAATTCGAATGAATACAATTAAAATATATACAACAATTTAAAAAGCCACTTTATCTATATCGATTCAAATTTGTAACAACTGTTTCTACAGACTTTGATAAGATATTCTCACGATGAAAGTATACTTTAAAAACGAAAGGTTGTCTTCCTAAAAGCGATGGTTTTTCTATTCATAATTCCATGTAGAAAAATTATGTATAATTTCCAGAGTGTTTCATTTCTGAAAAATGGAAAGATGCCTTTCTAATTTTAAGACATTCTTTTCATGTGATTCGAAATCATTTCTTAAAATAAGACTAATGGAGTCAACATTATTGAAAAGCAATTTGAATATCTTAAACTTTTCTAAAAACAAATCGATTCTTTGTTTTTAAGATGCATAAGCCTAATAATTATCGCTATGCAACTAAAGTTCTCTAGACGATCTCCACCCGAAAAACAGACCAACTCAATTGATTTCATTTGTTTTAGTATATCAAAGCAAGACACATAAAGAAGATACGCATCTGCCTAAATTATAGACATAAAATTCATTCATCATGAGTAGTTCAACAATTTGTCACAACTTTTCTCGCAATGTTCGAATTGGAAAGTTTTGCGACTGCCTCTTGGCCAGTCTAATGGTGTGCCTTGAACATGGCTAACTGCAAACAGTTAACGATTGCAATCTAGATTAGAATATGCATGTGGCATTTGTGGCATTGTGCGTTGCAAGGGAAATTTCATGTCTAGGCTGGCTTGCAGCTGTCTTCCAGGTCACACACAAATTCAGTTTCGAATTCAACAGTTTTATGACAACAATGTGGCTTATTGGGCTACGAAGGCTTGGCCACGCCCACTCAACTGGCGCCCGCTGACCATGACCGCCAAACCATTGCTGACCGTTACACATTTAATTCCACTGTCTCTAATGATTGGTTTCCATGCCATTGGCCATTGGCTTGGGGCACATAAAAAGCTGCACATAAAAAGCTGCTCAGCGTTCAAACAGTTGCAGTTTCATTTCAAGCGTTGACGCGAACGTTGCACAGAATGCATGTAAAAATGATGAGAAGTGTTTGCCTGCCGGTGGCAGTCTGCTTGCTGCTGTTGCAACTTGTGGCAGGCAGTGTACCCAATGGGCACCCAACGCCAACTCGAACGGATACGCGAATTTCGTGGTCGACACAACTGAGGCAGCTGCGTCATCAGCTGCGCGATTGCTTCCGTTCCGGCCGGGGTTTGTGGTCTTGTTTCCGAGCGCGTAGTCTGCAAATCTTCGAGGACATCATGGCTGCGGATATGATACCACTATATGATGGCATTCACCTGGTTGTCGCACCAAATAACACGAATGGCGAGGCACGACAGGCTGGCGAGGATCGCAAGGATCTGCAGCATCTGACATGGTTCGATCGACTCTCCGTCAGCTTGGCCAAGGCGCTAACCACGCACACGCTACAAATCAATCTGGCCAAGCTAACCGATCGCTATCTGAGCAACTGTGGGTGATCCTCCTATATTGGCATACATGTCTTTCAATTGTTGTTTGTAAATCTTTAGATGCAGCAGAGAGCAGAGCGGATGCGGTGGGCAGTGCTCGAATGCGTCGGCATCGCTTCAACATGATTATCACAATGATGTTTGGTGTCACAGCTCTGGGTGCTGTTCTTGTGCCCATGGGCTTTCAAATGCTATCCATAGTCAGTGGCAAGGCATTGCTGTTGGCCAAAATGGCCTTGCTGCTGGCATCCATCAATGGACTCAAGCGGGTTGGTTAACGCAGCAGTTTGAGCCTCTTAAAAAGACTATAATTGACAATATTTTTCTCCGATGACAGGTGGCCAATACGGGTCTGCATTATGGACTGTATCATGTGCCCGGGGAGCATCTGGGTGGCTATTATGATCGCGGCGACTTGAATCAGCCACGCAATGTGCCCATTCCCCTGGGCTTAGCGCCCTCACTGGATATAGGCTTGAAGTAGTGTACACAAGAGAGATGGAGAAAGACAAGGAGAGGAAGAGCGAGTGAAAATGCAGTCAATAATTATAGTTTGACTTAGTTCAAATAAAAGTAGTTTTCTTCTTAAGCTGTTCATAATTTAAAATGGCGCCGCTGAAGCTTTAAGGCAGCAAGTTGGCAAGTCTAATTGTAAGCTTTATGCAACTTTACCACAAAGCTTTTAGTATGTTGAGTTTCAACAGAGTGGTTAACTTTTCAAATGCAAAACGCACAACGCAAAAGTGCGTTAAAAACAAATAAATATTGTCGATTCGAAATGTTTTAAATTAGTCCATAAGCAATACTAAATGAAGTATATTATTTAGTTAAAGCAGCAGCAGTTAAACCTTTGGGCATCAGAACTGCATTCCCACAACAAAAAGGAAACGACAACGAACCCGACCAAAAGCAGTACAAGGCTGATGTCGGGTAGGTGTCTGTATAGTCGTGGGAGGGGGTGGATGGCGACACGAGGCAGGACTATAAAAGGAAATGCGCCGCTGATAAGGACTCACATTCTGTCGTCGTGCGGCAGCTTTGACGTCTCGTGGGCCAGCGAACGGAAGTCGTACATTGCAATTCGTTGCTGGAGCGCTTCACTTGAAATATCCTTTTATCTTTAGCCTTATCCTCGTGTGTAACGGTTTCTGTGTCATTCAAAACGCGTTCAAGTTTCATTCAGATTCAGTTTTAGTTTCAGTGGCACTCCAAAGTGCAAAGAACTGCGTGACCGTCCTTCGTCCCGTTGTCGTCAATTATTGGTTTGCGTGACACCATCCGGTGGCCGCTAATCCTTTTAATCAGCTTAGGTCCTGGCCTTATTGAGAGCATCTTCAAAACACAATAACAATTCGGACACAGCACGTATCCTGCGATTTTAAAAATTGGCGCCCTCGTAAACAGAATTAGAAATTTGACCGTCGCTTAATTGTCATCGAAAACTCAATTTTACGGCTCACTTTAGTACAGCGAAATACGCAAATACCGCCGGAATGAAGCTTGTCGTTTATTTCTACTTGTCCATGATTGTGCTGGGAGTGCAGGTAAGTCTACAGGAGGAGGAGGAGCCAAAGAACACGCTTTTAATTTAATTTCAATCAACAAGTTGAAGTTGGGGTTAACTTTTGATACGAATTAATGCCACAAATTAATCTTTCAATCTTTTGATTTAATTTTGGGACGTTGTGACTTTGTCCGGAATTCGCCGCAGGACGATTGATAGGCCTCGACTCTGTCGCTTTTATGAGCAAACTTTTTGAAACCTTTGATATGTTTTTTTTTTTGTGTTTGTTAGTTGATTCATGGCAATCAGATTGCTTTCATTAGTCTCAAATTATACGTAAAAGTTTGGCCGTGTGCAAGATTAGAGGGCTCTGACTGTAATATCAGAAGCACTCTTTGCTTGGATATCAATTTATGTTTTATTACACATGCGTTGTCATTGTTATTAGATCCATATTTGGGTCAGGCAGCAGCTGCAAGTTATTAGTATTATTTTATTTTAGCCTTAGCTAATCTCCTCTGTTTCTCTTGTTGAGATGTTTTCATTGTGTTGTTAGTTAATCTTTTCATTGATGACAGGATAGTAAAGCGGAATTTTACATTATTTTTTTATTTGTGGATTGACCGATTTTCCAGCAAAAAAATGTAGCCTCTTACATACGCTCTAAGAGGCTGAATCTTTATCTGCTCTAAAACTGCGATTTTTAAATTTTTGTAGATTTTTTCACACAAAAAAAACATTTTTCAAATAGTGACTCTTCATTTGGTTTAAGGCTGTGATTTTAATTTGGGCAATTTTAAATGTTTTAACCCCCAGATTTATTAAATTACTTATTTATTTTTATTTTTCCACTTTAAATTTAAATACTCTCTTTTAATTGTATTTAATTACAATTGTAACTTGAATTTTAAATTCTTATTTCTTCAAAGCCGTTATTAAAAAATAGTGGACCGCATTTAGTCTACATTAAATAAATAAATATATATATAAAAAAAATCATTTAAAAATAATAATAATTTACTGGCAAATGAGCTCATTACAAAACAACGTGTTTCACTTTTAATTAAACTGTTTTAAAATTTTTGGTAATATAATTATGTATACATATACATATATCTCTGATTCATTCTGCAGCATATTTATACAATTTTGCAATAGCCAAATCAACAACTCGTCCTTGGGGAAGAATAAGTGTATAGAATTCCTCACACAATGCATTTCACATTTGATGATAGCAATTTTAATTTCCTCTTGATGCGTCTACATTCAACAAATCACAATTTCAGCAGTTAAATAAAGCTAACAATTTATTTCTTAAGAAACTCCATTTGAAATATTAAACTAAACTATTCAAACGAGTTCAATCTACAGGTAGTGAAACGCATTAAACATGCTTTCAACCCGTAACCAATGTTTATGTTGTCGCAAAGCCGATTGCCTGAAATAACAATATGTTCCTCGACTGAGTTGAGAATAGCTATAAATTAGCTCAGCTGTAAATTAGCTATGTTAATGCAAATCAAACTTGACTGCCTATTGTGACTGAGGGAGAAAATCAACAAGCAGGCAGCAAGGAACAGGAAAAGACCAGGCAGGGTGCGCTTGGTTGCACTGCAAAGACTGGTCTTTGATTGTAGTCCATGACCACCCATCCGACAAACTGCAATCGTCCACGTTGATTGCCATTGTAGTCACGCTGGTCAGTCATCGAGCCAGCCAGTCGGAAATTGCTTAGAGCTGCTGTCAGGCAGCCAGTTCTGGGTCCCTATGCTGTCTGGCCGCACTTGATGCTCGCTTAATGTCGCATGTTAACAGCATCAGAAACACTTTGGCTCTTAACAGCCAGTTAAGCAACATAAGGTTTGAGGGGGGATTTGGATATGCTTGGACTTCTATCAAGAACTCAAACAATGTTGCATCTGGCTGTGGCATTTGATGTGGCCCATATGAAGAACATGGCCAATTAAAATAAAGTGTTGGCAACTTGATGTGCAGTCGACGCCCTAATTGGTAAACAACATTTACAACACCTGGATGAATGTAGGTGCCCTTATAGAATAGATCGTATCACAGTCATTTATTTCAACAAACTTTGTTAATTACAGCTTATTTGTCATGGCATCCAGGCAAAGTGAATTAAAGCAATGTTTTTGGACAAGTTACTTGCAGGGCATAAAGTTTTAATCGACAGCAATTTGTCAGCTGTTGTGTCGGGGCCCAAAAAAAACAGAATTTGCCCTTTAAGCCAATAAATTCAACATCTTAGTCTCATATTGAAGCAGCTGTTTACATTTGGCAAGCAAATTTATGCCAAAAAGAATAAATAAAAATAATACTCGATGCCTCCACGCGAAATATGAAGCGCAATACGCGCATTTTGCATAATATCCGCTGCAACATGTTCAATAAATTTCGAGGAAGATGGAGTCGTTGTAGGTCGGTGGCATGTGGCATACTACGCTATGCTAATTTCCGGCAAAGTAATAAATTTGTTTGCATATGAAAAACCGACACTTAACCATTTTTTCTTTTGCTGCACCACAGACATTGCATAATGTTAATGAAGCTCCCTACGGCGGCAATCTGCGGTAATTAGCCCCTTGCAGCCTGCCCCAACAGTCACTAAAAAAAGGCTGCAATTTGGTTTCATTTGCAATTGCAGGCCTGAAGAGCTGTTATCAATATTGCGGCTGCAGTTTATAGTTGATTAACATTTTGCGTAAATGAATTTAATTTATTTGACTGCCCCCATGTAAATAACACAGATGACCAACGAGGCGTATGCGTAATCAAAAATGAATTTTTTAATATGCAACATTTTGCATTGATATATAAAAAGGTACTTTCTGGTAGAATATCGGTTGCAGTTTTACATATTCTTAATGAGATTGACTTTATAATTATTTACATTAAATAGTCAAATGAATTAATCAATAAATGAAATTTATTTAATTATATTCTATTTAAATTAGAAAGACATAATCTAATTTAATCTATTCAAATCAAAATAACTCATTCAATGAAAAGTCTTGCTAAATAAATGCGAAATAATTAAAAAATTAATAACTTCAACAACATAAAAGTTAAAAAATTATGTTAATATATCATACAACAATTGATTGTACTATTTATCAATTCATTCTGTTTTCTAGGAATATTATTATTAAGCTGTTACTCATAAATCATGTAGATGATATTTATCTTAGAATTAAGCCAGCATGGTTTTATAAATGCAAATATAAATTTCCTGTAGGCATTAGCTACAATCCAACGCAGACAGCGAATCAATCTGCATATTCTCAAACAGATCGAGCAAAAAATCAAACAAAATTGCGCTTAATATTTCATGAGCGCGCAAATGGCAAATAAAAAGAAAATGGTTTTATGGCAATAAGGACAGTCGCCTGTTGCTGGCCAAAAACCCTTTCACAGTCGGTATTTGGCCATATATTTGGCCAAACTTTAACAGCTGTCTTATGATTAAGTCATGATATACTTTCACTACAGGAGACTTCGGGTGAATATTTGGAGAAACTCACAGCTTAGCGCAAATCTGGCGCTTTGCCGGTGAAAAATAAATATTTGAAAAGGATTCCGAATACCTTTTAAAGCACTTCCGCTTCGTACTTAGTTTGTGTAGGTGCGACGTTGTTGTTGCTGTTGTTGTTATTGTTATTGGAGCTTTTCCTGCTGCCGTTGGTGGCATTTTAATTAAGTCATAATATTTAAGATATTCTGCATCAGTAGAGCTGAACATGATTGCATGACAAGCATAATTTTTATCTAATTAGAGTTCCCCAATTAAAATTAGAAAGTTTGGATTTGTTTGACGCAGCATTTCAGGAGCTTGTGAGGAAGTGCTCTTAAAGTGTCAATGTATTATTCCAATTGGATTTAATACACAAGTTAAATCATTAATATATGCAAGAGACCTTGCCAGCACCAAGAATTGTGTGCATATATCAAAAAAAAAAAAAAACATTTTAAAGTGAGCCGTAAAAAAAGAGTCAAAACTTTTGTATGCCCTCATGGAAGTATGTGTGGGTGTCACTTTATGAGTGTGTGTTTGTGTGTGTGTGTATTTGTGTAGGGTATGGAAATATTGACGTCGTTGACAACCAATAATTCTTTTATGAGTATATCTCTGACCAGCTGCCTCCAGCAAAAGCAACTAGAATGCCTTTAACTTGAATAAAAGCATCCTGACAGTTTACGCAGCTGGAGCATACCGAATCTCATCCAGCGAATAATATTATTATGCAAATCAACTTGCGATGAGTGTTTTCGAAGGGATCATATTTATTATTTACTTGCTGGCTGTCATCAATTTTGACGAATGCTGCGAAATGCTAAACAGGCTAACGATTGACTTTTCAGTGAGCTCGTTTGCGTCAAATATAGATGACGTCACCAAGACATATCAACGATATGTAGTTCTGTCTGTGTGTGTGAGAGAGTTTGGTGCAGCTTAAAGTTAATCCGACAAAGCCGCCACTAATTGACAGTTTCACAAGCACAGGGCGCCTTTCGGTAGCCCAGCTCGTTATAGACAAAAATCGCGTCCGCTTTTTTCGAGTGTTGCGCAAACAATTGTCCAAACTTAGCCGCAAACACAATTATTTTGCTAGCAGACGAGGAGGGCTCGGAGATGCGAATTCTCATTTATCAATATTAACGCAACTTTTTTTTCTCTTGTTTTTGCCGACTTGTAGGCTCGTACCAATTTCAATTTCAATTAGTGTCCAATCAAAAGAGGACGCCAAAAAAAAAAAAAAAGTAAAATAATTGAATTAAGTAAAAAGAAATTATAAAAGCAATTTTTCTAGTCGAGAGCCTACAATGACTTATGACAACGACCTATAACATTCCATATATTCTGTGTATTAGACACATTTTTAAAATCATTTACAACTACAGAATAAGTTTAAAGTATGTTTTAAATGTAGAGAAATATGTTTGTTGTCTGGTGACCTCTTTTTATAAATGAAATATTCTTTTTTACATTTCATAGCTGACGCTGACAACGAATTTAAGGCAAAAAACATATTTAAGCCAAAATATTTTTTTTATATATGAATATGTACGGGGTATTTGTAATGCTTCTCATAAGTCGCTCGACATCATTTTGGCTGCTGACTGTTGCTATTTATAATGTTTCGACCTTTCAAGAAAAATTCAGTCATGCTTAAAATTCAAGACACACAATCACTCAAGTGTTCTAGACTGCCCAATCTGAGCGCTGAGTCCAGTTGCAAGTTGTGTGTCGAGTGTGTATTGTGTATTGTGGCTATTGAATTGTTGTTCAACTATTGGTACGGGGTTTAATTAAAACTGGCAATTGCCCAGCAGCTGCATTGAGATTAAAGTGCGATATTAGCAGCTCAGACAGCCCCCGTTCAACCGCCCCCCCACAAAGTGAACAACATGCGGCCCGCTGTTAGCTCTCGACTCAAGTACAAAGCGCAACTTCGTCTTTTTCTCGTAATTCATGTTTTTTTTTTTTGGGTTCGATGAAAAGCTAGTATTAGCTCGGTTGCCCGCTGATTTTATCGCCTTTGTCAACAACATTTTTGGTTTATTTTCAATGCATCTTCTCTATATCGCCTAAAAAACAGCACCGGCAAAAGTTAAAAAACAAAATGAAAGAAAAAGCCAGCTTTTGCTATTTTTATCCTACACTTTTAATCTTTTCGCAGGCTTGGCCCACAGTGAAGCGCTCTTTTGAGCTCTACCCAGGCGCAGCAATGCCCTACAACGAGCACAGAATCGCAGGTAAGACAACAACACACTCACTTTGAAAGAGATGGAGAGGAGAAAGAGAGAGATAGAGAGAGAGGGGGAGAGGGAGTGAGGGAGAAAGGGAGAGAGAAATGGACTGCGAAGTAAGGGATATGAGCTAACAAATTGGTAGGTAAAAGTTTTAGTGAACCGCCTTTGGGTTAAATGCACTTTGGCGGCCGTCAAAAGTGCTTACACAGAGAAAAATTGAAGAACTTTGTATCAGAGTCAAGAAGTTTGCGGAGCTCTTTTACAATCAATTTTGGTTTCTAAAACAGATCACATTATTTCTTTTTGAATATGTCTTAACTTACCCTTAGCCAGACTTATTTCTCCCATAAATGATTGTAAATTGATGTTTCTATAATGAACGAATGCCTTCAAGGTTCGAGCTTGAATAACTCCTAAAGTATGATTTAGTCTTATGCACAATTCAAGATCTGAACATAACTTTATAGTTTTCTTCTTTGTTTGCATTTTTTATTTCAAATCAAAGCACATTTCCTTTATTTAGCAGTAGTCCAATTGATGTAAACCGCAAAAATAAGTCATATATTTTAATTTAAAGTTTCTAGAACAAAAGAAATCATTTGAGTTCAAAGTTTAAACATAAATACCTCCCATAAATAAATATATAATAATATATATGTATATATAATTTTTTTTGTATATCTTAAAACAAAGTTTCAAGTTCGGTTCGCATTTTTTCTAGTGTATGGCTTACAAAATATTTTCAGTTTGACTAAATTGTCTTTTAAATTGCTTTTCCCCACATGTTGTCAAGTATTTTCCTTGTAAGCACTTAAGCCACATGACGTATGTGTGATTTATTCAAAAGGATCCAAAATTGGTTAACCATGCGATGCAAGCAAATTTCAGAGAATTGCACTTGACTCAATTTATTTTGCAGAATAACCATTAAACAGGAAACCCGAATCATTGGTCACATGATTAGCCATTAAATTCATATTGCGATTCTAAGTTTGCAAATATTTAATGATTCCTGTGTTGATATTATGCTCACAAGCGGAAACTATATGTAAATTCAGATGATGCGCGCATCTAAAAATATCAAACTAAATTGGCCACGCGCCAGCAATTGGCAAGGCAACCGCAAGATGCCTCTAGCCTTCATTATCCTTGTGTAATGGATAATGCGGACCAGCAAATTTTGCTTTTCCGCTTATCGTGTTGATTTGTAATTGCTGTTTTTTTTAAGCTTGTGCCAGGAAACTGACAAAATTTTTGCGTGATAGTTTATTCACAGATGACATCATCTTAAGTCTTTAATTATGAAACAATTTATTCAATTTATTTTGTAGTGCAAAAATGTGAAAGCCTAGAATGTTTATGTATTCATTGGAGCTTAAATCAAGTTAAGCCACAGGGCTCTCTTGATTGAAAACAAGATTAATAATAACAACTAGCATAAATAAATGTATAAAATATATAATGCATATAAATATTTATTATTAATACAACTCGAATCGTTATTTATCAATTATGCAGAATGTTAATTTATGTGTTAAGCGCATTAGAATTAATTATTAAATGGAACAAGTTGTGACAATTTAATGCAATTTGGTAGCATAATAAACAATCAGGCGCCAAATGTCCAAGACCAAACACACGCACACACTCAAAAACCATACACAGTTTGGCAAACACCTCGACGAGTAAATACCCTTGATTCGTGAAAGCTATAAAATTAGTCTTAAAGAACCGTAATTAACCTTTTTTTATTTAAAATGGACTAAAATCAGCACACCATTTATAAAAAGGAATAAAAAATAAATAAAAATTGTAATTAAATTTAAAGTTTCAAATTAAATTCTATTTTCTCTAGATAAGAAATAGGTATGTTAACTTCAGCCACTGAAAATTTGTACATTCTGTTTCATTATTAATACCCTACATTGTACACCCTTTGCTAGGGTATACAAATACGAGTACTGTTTGCGTAGTAAGAGAATTTATGAGTATTCCATTAGTTACACATAAAAACTACACTCAGACTACACCCACACTCACACCAAAACACACCCACACACACACACACACACGACGCATACAATCAACAGTTGCGTGTGTGACAAGCATGCAAAAAATTCAGACAACAGTTTAATTGTTTTTGGCCAGGAATAAGGGTCATAAAATGCTACCAGTGAGCTGACTAAACGTGCGATTGGATTTTCATGTGTGTGTTTTTCTGCGCGTGTGTGTGTGTGCGTCGGTTTGTGTGGGTTACCAAAATCCAGCTAATAATCCGCTCCATAAATCAGGTCACTGTAGCCATAACAATGGCTCAGGCATTAAGTGGCATCAGCTGGACAGTCTCAAAGTCTGTGTAAGATAAATTAATTTGCTAAACGGCAGTCAAAACGTGGCTACAATTTGCATGTGCATTTTGCCAAATTACTTTCAATTAGCCCACATACACTATTAGCTATTGCCTTTGGTTATTGCCATTTGTGCAGCTGGCCAATTTTGATTCGTATGGCTAGCAGGCATTGCAGCTAAGAGTTCTTGTTATATTATTACAGATTGCATGCATGTGGCTTCGGAGCCAGGTGATTACATCTTCAAGAAGTCGGTGTCAGCACCAACAGCACCACTGGCGGCGCTCAATTTGCGCGGAGATGCATCACTGCTGGAGATGGCAGCGGTTGCCGGTGATGAGCTGGAGACAGCTGCTGCCGCTGCTGCTGTGGCTGCTGAAGGTGGAGCAGACACAGTTTGTGGTTTGTATGTGATTGGCGAACCAGACACAATTGTGGAAATAACCATGAAACACTATGACGTCAATTGTGAGTCGGGCGGTCTAATGGCGGTAAATATTTCAGGCATCAAGCAAATTGCTTCCACCTACACAAACACAGCTTATGCGTTGAAAATATTTATGTCTTTGTGCAGTTTGTTGATGGCTGGGAACTGAATGGTGAGTACTTTCCGGGTCTGAAGGATCATCATCGCGTGCTCGAGGATCGCGTCTATGAGTTCTGCAACAACAACAAGCAGTGGTAGCTATTTCCCCTGACTACAAGCTTTGACTGTGTATAGCGAAAACAATCAATACTCATTCCAGGCCACGCTACAGCAATAAGAAATTCTTTCGCTCCAGCCAGAATGCTGCACTGCTGCAGTATCGCATCCCCACACGTGGCTCCTTTGTGGCCAATGTGCGTTTCCACAAGATTACCCAGCGTAAGTTTCAAAATCAAACTAACTTTAATCAATGCTTCGGATAAGAGCAGTTTCAAACGAAATTTCGAAGTTTCTAGTTCCGATGTACGTACAGACGGACATGAAAACTCTATTGCCAATGCCGATCAACAATGATTATAGATTATGGCACAATCAATGGGTTATAAAATAATCATTACTTATAACATTGATTATGACCAAGCTTAAGTATCAGTGATAAATCAAACAATTATTTATAATCAGTATTTACATTTGTTTTCTTAAATTTTTAGATTTCATCTTTATTAAACAGTGTTAATTTTTTCACATCATTTGTTTAGTTAACGAATTTAGACTTTAATTATTCACTACGGTTGTTTATATTCCTTTCGCTGTTAGCCTGCAATATACTTGTCCAGGATAGCGCCGCCGTTTACAAGATGTCCAATTTTGGACATGCTCGCAACTGTACGCTCTCCGCACTCTTTCCGGCTGCCGTCTCCCTGGGTTCCATACGCATTGGTAGCAAGAGTGTGCGTGCCCAGGATAAGGTCAATTATGATGTGAGTATTTGTGAATTGTGCGCGCATATTGAGATTTGCACTGACCCTGCTGCTGGTCACATTGCTCTTAGTGTCATCTATTCGAAGATCGTTTGGAGATTGGCGGCTCGGCTGGATTGGATACCACTGGCATGGAAATGGCAAGTGCCGTCTGTGGCGCCACCAACGAACTTGGACCCGAGCAGGCCGTTTTCTGTGGCGTGACCAGTGTGCGTCTGTTGTCCACCGGACGTTATCAGAATCAGGCAACCGTCATCATACGCAAGGCCGATGAGCATGATTTCGACATTGCCACGCTGATGTGCGCGCTTTAAGTGAGCAAAATGAAAAAAATAAACAACAACAACAACACTAACACTAACAAGTAAATAATAACAAAAGAAAAGCAAACATAACGATGGTAGATCAGGGACGAGGCCGGCACAAGGATTACAATTTCACGTTTGTAAATATAAGTATGTGGTTTGGATATGTATATGTGTGTATGTACAAAGGTCAAAGAGAGCAAAAGCAAACCCCAACCCCATTTCAACCTTGGATTCTAATGTAGCGCTTAATCAAATCCAAGCACAAAGTATTCACATGCCAACAAACTAAATAGCAAAGCAAAAACCAAAAAAAAAAAAATCGAAAAAAATGAAAAGAAAAACAAATTTTATGTAATTATATGTGTGTATATCAAAAACAAAAACAAAAAGAAAAAATTCTGAATGTTTCAAAACTACAAAGTTTTGCTCGCCGTTTCGTTTTCATTAGGGGTCTTTATTCGCGTCGATTATTGGACGTGTTTTTATGGCGCAATTTATGGACGCAGTTGCTAATCGAACTAATTAATAACGATATGCTATAAATAAGCCAACTATAATCATTGAGCGACACAGCCAACCAAGATAAGCCATGCATGATGACATTGTTCAAGGATTAACGGTGGACGACTCAATTGCAATTAAAGCCAAAAGCGAAGCAGACACAGTAAACCCATCAATGTGGTGACGCTGTAAGGCATCAATGTGGCTGCACCATCGTCCTTATTCTCGTTCTCAAGCTGCAACAATGGGTAAAAATATAAAACGGGTAAAATAAAAAGGCTAAAAGGGGACATCAAACAATTATCGGTACTCACACTCAACTTAAGTATGGCTTGGAGTTCGCGACAGCGTTGCTTATCCTGGTAATTGCTGGTTGCGAGGCGGCAGATGGTGGTGCTCAAGCAGCTATCAGAGCAGCCGACGTCCAGTTTGGGATCCGCACTGGTGAACTTGTAACGCCAGAATTTGCGCAAGATATTCGGTTCCTTGGCCATTTTCTCGAGCAGCTTGTCGATGCCGTCGGGACTTGTGTCGGTGGTGAACTCTTGCCGGAACTCGTACTCCTTGTACCAATTGGGCGACACATTTGAATTCAGATTGGCCTCGGTTAGGTTGAATGTCCAAGTCTGATGCTCAAGCACCTGCAACGTCTCCGGATGCAGCTCGTATACACGATAGTTAGGATTCTTGTAGGAGTAACTGGTCAGACTGCCGCCATTCCAGGAGACGGCCGCGGCCAAATTTGTTTCCGTATAATGCACATTCATCTCATCCTTGTGCGTGTGTCCATTAAAGATGCCCGTGATCACCTTGCTGAAGCGAGCCACAATGCGATTATATTCTCGGGACCATTCCGTCCAGCAGTCGGAATCGCCCGATGGGATGTGGGTCAATATATGGACATGTTCGCCACTCTTCTCGGCAGCGAGTAGTGTGTCGTGGAACCACTGCAGCTGTTCCAGCACAATAGAACCATCGTACAAGAGCCACCAATTGAACAGATAACAGTCCATGCTGTTCAAAGCAATGATCCGATGGCCTTCACGGGGCGAAAGGGTGTAATAACCACCGCGGCGTATGGTAGTTTCAGCTTCCTTGGGCAGCCACTTGGACCACAGGCTCCACACGTGCCCATAGAGCCAATCAACACGGAGATTATCTGGTATATTTTCATTGCCAAATCTGAGTAAAATATGTTGGAAAAGTATTTGAAATGAGGGCTTAACGTAAAACTTATTTCAGTAATTATGCATACTTGAAAGGTTTGTAATATTCAAGGAATTAATTTAATCACTTACCCATACTTTGCTAAATTAACTAATTTTATTTTTTTAATATTCACTAGAATCCTTAAATATTTGTATAAATTTAATTAAATTCAAATCTTTAAAATACTTACAATTTTAAGTAAAACTTTTGAATTTGAAGCTGATTTAAAAATAGTTTTCATTAACACTCCTTTTTTTCATTTATATAATTTTCAATGATTTTTAAATTGTGTTAAGTTCTTACTTTAACCAGTGTTCGCTATAAGTTAGTCTATAATCCCAGCGTATCAGCGATAACATAATTTAAGATAATCTCAATAATAAAATAAAAATAAGATAAGTGAGTTTACTTACACATTCGCTGGATGTGGCTCGTGATTGCCCAGACAGGGATAGACTGGAATGCTGGGGAAGTGCTCAGTAAGAAGGGCATCGATCTCCGTCAGCATATCCATATTGCCCTTCCTCGTGGTGGACCAGACATTATGTGGCGGCACATCGCCCGTGTGGTAAATCCAATCTAGCTTGTGCGTCTTACTTATATGCTCGAAGGCGTTAACGATCAGGTACCTGGGTGTGTCGCAATTCCTATAGTCACTCCAATATCCTGCTCCATCTGACTCGGCATTGGTGGGGAGTGGATCCCGACAGCACATGCCCTCATCACAGTCCGCCAAACCGCCGCTCTTGTACTCCGGATCATAGTGGATGTCGGTTAGATGAAGAACATTGAAATCCTTGTCGCTGCGGTCGGGCGTTCCAGACTTGGATTCGGTGGGCATATCACCGACAATTTCCAAATTAACGATGTACTCCGACTGATCCGCCTGGCATATCTTGATGGGTAGCATGCCACAAACGCTTTTCGACTCAGCAATCGTCTCATTGAAGATGTAATCGAAAATGGGCCAGTTCAGATCGAATAGACCGGAGCAGACTTCCTGTGTCTGTATGTTGAAATAGTCACAAAAGGTAAGCATCGTCTTCTTGGCATTCTGATCCCGATTCGGTCCAGTGAGTTCGCCATCGGGTCCCGTAAGGGTACGCACGAATACATTGACTGTGGCACGGCAGATTGTACACGTAAAAAACTGATCAGCTGCACTCAGATCCACCAGTGGCTCGGTAAAAATATCCTTCTTGCTGTGAGACGTGCGCAATTCAGCGCCCAATTGCTGTAATCTTGCTGATTCTACGCCCGTTTTCAGATACTTCACCATCTCTTGGCTAATCTCATCCGCAACGCTGGCTGTTTATAGAAAAGATTATCTTGACTTGTGTACTCTGTACTTTCGATTTTTCGTGCGATAAGCAGCTGTTAGGAAATTCAAGTCCGCCCTACCTGAAATGGCTGAGGTGAGTCTCTCCTCACTGGTGAAGCTACTCGGTACTCCGGGCAAACTGCTTGCCCGGACACTGGCCAGTAAGAAAACTACGCCCAACAGCAAAATGTTCCACTGAAAGTTCATGGCTGGATGGCGAAACGTTTAAAACTAAAGAATCCCACTGGCAACCAGTCATATTTATAGAAAGAACAAAACTCTTATCGATCACCAGGCTATCGAAAAGCTCTAAATGATATGTCACCAATAAAACAATTATAAAAGAGATTTTTATGGTAATTGATAAAAAGAAAATGTGTGGTATCTAAACCTAAAGCAAGTAGAAGTCAATAATTTAAAAAACTTAATTGTCTTTTAACAATGACATAAGCATTTACCAACAATAAGACAACCATATTGAAGAGCACCAGATTAGAAATATATGTAAATAGGTTGCAAACGCAACAATCGTTGAAATGTAGAATCGAAATCCGATATTAGAAACTAATTTGGCAATTTTTTTGCAAAACATAAATTGCGGATCTAATATTATTTGCTGCAATAAGACCGTATCGAAACCAAAACTTTGCACCGGAAAATAATAATCGACCCCGTTAATTAAGTAAATATGAATGGTCTTGTGTTAAAGCTGATACACTAACTGTTATATTATTATTATTTTGAAGGCTCTCTCTTGCAATTTTTAATCGGTTCAAGGTATAAGCTTAAAAACCGTCTATTCTAGGCACGCTGAGGATAGCATTCCCTTGCCTCCATTGGAACACTCTCGCTTGGCTTGCCAACCTTTTGTATTATGCTCTACCGTTACCAATGCGTGACCGAATACAGAACTGTTCCGGTTTGACACACCGATTTTATGGCAATTAGGCTTTGCCTAATTGTTTATAAAATTTAATATGTTACCTAGCCTAATCAGCTACCATTTGGTTTTCATGGCCCGGACACTTACAAGCGATAAGTGATTAAAAACATCAGATTAAACAAATCGACAAATTGTAAGTATATTTTCGATTTTGCAATTAATCGTGATCATGATATCAAAGAACAAAAATGAAATGTGCGATTATATAACTTATTATTATTAGTTTACAGATTAAACAAGTCTTTAGAAGCCAATTCTCATGGTGAATACCACTGCCAGCAGCGAAGTGAAGCTCAAAATGCTAAGCGCAGCAGCAGAATCGTCGTCGTCCTCCTCGTTGTCCAACTGTGGAGAATCATAGAGTCGATTTGATTATTGGATATATAACTGGATCCATCAACTTACGGCTACAAAGAGTTTCTGCCTAAGCTCCTCGCAACGCTCCCGCTTATTATTCACTGAAACAGCTGCGGCGCAGAGAGAACCGGCCAGACAATTGCGATCACAACCACCAGTAACCTGTGGGTCCGCAGTGGTGACCTTATAGCGCCAGTACTGAAAAAAAGGAGGTAATGAAAGGGTAACTAGGGAATACATTCGATTAAGGAAAATTCAAAGAAAGAAATTTACCTTTTTATATACAGTTTTAAAATATACCAACAATTGGAGTAGTATGGTTATTATTTACCTTGCGCATTAGATCTGGATTTTCTGCGAACTTATCCAACAATTTGTCAATGCCCGCGGGACTCAAGTCCTCGGTGAACTCCTTGGTGAACTCGTACTCCAGGAACCAATTGGGCTCTTCCGTGGGTTTATTGTTAGCCTCGTTCAAGTGGAAGATGTAGGTGCGATGGTTGGTCACGTCGAAGGTCTCGGAATTAACATCATATACCCTGTAATTTGGGTTCTTGAAGCTGAAGGTGGTCAGGGCACCGCCATTCCAAGCAACTGAAGCCGCATGACCCTCGTCGGAATAATGTACCACCAGCTCATCCTTGTGCGAGTGTCCGTTAAAGATGCCGGAAATTGTCTTATGGAAACGGGTAATGCATCGATTGTACTCTCGAGCCCACACCGCCCAGCAGGTGCCATGACCCGAAGGAATGTGGTTGAGCACATGGACATGCTCACCATTTTTCTCGGCGGCGAGGAGCGTATCGTGGAACCACTCCAATTGTGGAATTTTATCGGTCCCACTGTAATACAGCCAGTAGTTATCCGTATAGCAATCATTGCCGTTTAGGGCAATAATGCGGAAACCCTTCTGAGGGGACACTGTATAGTAACCACCCTTCAGTATAGTCTCCTTGGTCTCCTTGGGCAGCCACTTAGACCAGTCTTCGTACAAGTGCTCATACAGCCACTTGGTGCTTACTTCATTAGGCACTCCTTCGGGGCTGAACCTTTAAAGGTTAAAATAAGCAAAATAACGAATAAATAAAATAAAATAGATAGTTATGTGGTTTAAGGACTCCTTACAGATTGAGTGGATGTGGTTCATGATTGCCAATGCACGGATAGACGGGCACATTGAACACCTTATCAATCTGACCGCTAACCTTACTCAGCACCCCCGTATTTTTCTCTATAGACGTGGCCCAGACCATGTGATCAACCACATCACCCGTCTGATAGATATAGGTGCATTTCTCCGTTTTAACTGCATGATTCAGCGCCGACTCAAGTGTGTGCCAGGGTAAATCGCAATCTCTATAGTCGCCCCAGTAGCCCGCTGCATTAGGTGTACCTTCCGTGCTGCTTTTCTGGCGTTGGCAGCACATGGGCTCATCACAGGTGGCAAGGCTGCCTGGCTCGTACAGCGGATCGTGATGGATGTCCGAGAACTGGCATATCTTGATATCACTCTCACTCTGACGCGGTGTATCCCCCTTAGAACTGGTTGGAGCTTCGACCTTGTCGTCGATTTTTAGGGACCAGTTGTAGTCGGGATTGGAACCCGTGTTGCAGAAATTAAAAGTCAGGAAGAGCGAACAAAAGCTCTGAGAATCCATTTCCGAGTTGCGCATTATATAATCCACAGTTGGAAGCTCTGCGTCGATCAGACCCTCGCATACCTCCTCCGTCTGCAGATTCAATCGTCGACACACATCCATTGCAATTTTCTTCATTATTGCACCACTGTTCTCGCCATGTAGCTCTCCATCCTCATCCCGAATGGTGCGCATAAAAACTCTCATAATGGAGCGACATAGAGTGCAAACCACAAAGCTATCACGCGTCTCCAATTCCGTCAGATCCTTAGTGAAAATGTCCTTTTTGGTATGCGCATTTGCCAGCTGGGTGGTGAGTTGCTTAAACGCCGGAGTCTCGACTCCTGTTTTCAAAAATGTGTAGTATTCCTGCTCTAGACGGTTAGCGACATCGTCGGCAATGTCGGACAGCACCTTGTCTTCCAAGTTAAAGTCCACGGGGACAGTAGGGGGTAGTTGCACCGCGGATACGGCAATAGCTCCGCACAACAATACCAGCAAGCACTTCATGGCATTTGCTGATCCACTGAATCGCGTGCCCCATCGGGAGTGCAATTTATTGATTTCTAAAGACCATAAACGGCAGCTTATCTTTAGCCACCCATTGAATAAAATTGTGGTAATCTGATGTGGCTGTGTTTGTAAGCATAATTAGAAATGACGATAACAAACGCAGTAATATGTGTCCATTGTTCGATTAACGTAAAACTATTGTTTTTGCTATATTCTTCTTGAAAGCTGTATTCCAAAATTCCCAGCGTATCAGAGAGAATTAATAGAAAACTTGTTGCCTGGAGACTCGTCAGCAATGAAGCCACCTCCAGCAGCAAAATGTTCAACTGAAAGTTCATCGCTGGAAGCCGAAGCGGCTGAAACTAATGATTCCCAATGTTATCCACTCATATTTATGTACAAAAAAATATAAAATAATAACAAAATAGATTTTATGGTAGATGATAAAAAAAGCTTTAGTTATAAAGAAATGATAGTCAGGAATTTAGAAAACTTAATTTTCTTTCAACCATGCAAAAAGAACACTACCCGATTAGCAATAATATAAATGAATAAATATATATATACATAATTAATTTCATTTGGAACCATAAAAGAATGTGACACATGTGACCCAAGTTGTATTAGTTTGGACTATTGTTAATAAACGATAATATGATGCTAAGCCTAATCAGCTACCATTTGGTTTTCATGGCCCGGACACCAGCAGCGATAAGTGGTTAAAAATAACAGATTAAACAAATCGACAAACTGTAAGTATATTTTCGATTTTGCACTCAATGTTGATCATGATATCAAAGAACAAAAATGGAATTTGCGATTATATAACTTATTATTATTAGTTTACAGATTAAACAAGTCTTTAGAAGCCAATTCTCATGGTGAACACCACTGCCAGCAGCGAGGTGAGGCTCAAAATGCTAAGCGCAGCAGCAGATCCGTCGTCGTCCTCCTCGTTGTCCAACTGTGGAGAATCATAGAGTTGTTTAGCTCATTGGATATATAATTGGATTCATCAACTTACGGATGTATAGAGTCGTTCCATGAGCTCCTCGCAACGTTCCCGCTGATTGTTCACCGCTATAGCTGCGACGCAGAGCGTATCGGCCAGACAGAAGCGATCACAGCCAGCAGTAATCTGTGGCTCAGCAGTCGTGACCTTAAAACGCCAGTACTTTAAAAAAAAAATAAAGTAATTTTAGGGTCAATACGGGAGTAGTAAAGGTACTCAAAAAATCAGAATACATTCGATTGAGGAAAACCAAAATAAAGAAACTTGCCTGTCTCTACAGATTGTTAACATTTATAAACAATTTCCATAAAATTGCAAAGGTTCAATATAGGAGTAGCAAGGTTATTATTTACCTTGCGCATTAGATCTGGATTTTCTGCGAACTTATCCAACAATTTGTCAATGCCCGCGGGACTCAAGTCCTCGGTGAACTCCTTGGTGAACTCGTACTCCAGGAACCAATTGGGCTCTTCCGTGGGTTTATTGTTAGCCTCGTTCAAGTGGAAGATGTAGGTGCGATGGTTGGTCACGTCGAAGGTCTCGGAGTTCACATCATATACCTTATAATTTGGGTTCTTGTAGCTGGCTGGCGTCACCGCACCGCCATTCCAAGCAACTGATATGGCATGACCCTCGTTGGAATAGTGCACCTTTAACTCATCCTTGTGCGAGTGTCCGTTAAAGATGCCGGAAATTGTCTTATGGAAACGGGTAATGCATCGATTGTACTCTCGAGCCCACACCGCCCAGCAGGTGCCATGACCCGAAGGAATGTGGTTGAGCACATGGACATGCTCACCATTTTTCTCGGCGGCGAGGAGCGTATCGTGGAACCATTCCAATTGTGGAATTTTATCGGTCCCACTGTGATACAGCCAGAAGTTATCCGTATAGCAATCATTGCCGTTTATGGCAATAATGCGGAAACCCTTCTGAGGGGACACTGTATAGTAACCACCCTTCAGTATAGTCTCCTTGGTCTCCTTGGGCAGCCACTTAGACCAGTCTTCGTACAAGTGCTCATACAGCCACTTGGTGCTTACTTCATTAGGCACTCCTTCGGGGCTGAACCTGTTAAAGGTTAAAATAAGCAAAATAACGAATAAATAAAAAACAAATAAAAAAGATAGTTCTGTGGTTTAAGGACTACTTACAGATTGAGTGGATGTGGTTCATGATTGCCAATGCACGGATAGACGGGCACATTGAACACCTTATCAATCTGACCGCTAACCTTACTCAGCACCCCCGTATTTTTCTCTATAGACGTGGCCCAGACCATGTGATCAACCACATCACCCGTCTGATAGATATAGGTGCATTTCTCCGTTTTAACTGCATGATTCAGCGCCGACTCAAGTGTGTGCCAGGGTAAATCGCAATCTCTATAGTCGCCCCAGTAGCCCGCTGCATTAGGTGTGCCTTCCGTGCTGCTTTTCTGACGTTGGCAGCACATGGGCTCATCACAGGTGGCAAGGCTGCCTGGCTCGTACAGCGGATCGTGATGGATGTCCGAGAACTGGCATATCTTGATATCACTCTCACTCTGACGCGGTGTATCCCCCTTAGAGCTGGTTGGAGCTTCGACTTTGTCGTCGATTTTTAGGGACCAGTTGTAGTCGGGATTGGAACCCGTGTTGCAGAAATTAAAAGTCAGGAAGAGCGAACAAAAGCTCTGAGAATCCATTTCCGAGTTGCGCATTATATAATCCACAGTTGGAAGCTCTGCGTCGATCAGACCCTCGCATACCTCCTCCGTCTGCAGATTCAATCGTCGACACACATCCATTGCAATTTTCTTCATTATTGCACCACTGTTCTCGCCATGTAGCTCTCCATCCTCATCCCGAATGGTGCGCATAAAAACTCTCATAATGGAGCGACAGAGAGTGCAAACCACAAAGCTATCACGCGTCTCCAATTCCGTCAGATCCTTAGTGAAAATGTCCTTTTTGGTATGCGCATTTGCCAGCTGGGTGGTGAGTTGCTTAAACGCCGGAGTCTCGACTCCTGTTTTCAAAAATGTGTAGTATTCCTGCTCTAGACGGTTAGCGACATCGTCGGCAATGTCGGACAGCACCTTGTCTTCCAAGTTAAAGTCCACGGGGACAGTAGGGGGTAGTTGCACCGCGGATACGGCAATAGCTCCGCACAACAATACCAGCAAGCACTTCATGGCATTTGCTGATCCACTGAATCGCGTGCCCCATCGGGAGTGCAATTTATTGATTTCTAAAGACCATAAACGGCAGCTTATCTTTAGCCACCCATTGAATAAAATTGTGGTAATCTGATGTGGCTGATAGGGATGGATAGCATAATCAGCAGCTTGTTCCATACAGTTTGCTTATACATATACTTATTGTGTTTTCTTGTTAATATCTGCGATTTGTTATTTCGAAGCAATACGGCGAATTTGCTGCGTTTTGTATTTGTGTGTATAGACGAGAAACGTGAGTAATTGAAAGCTACGATAGCAAACATAGGAGCATTATATAAAAACATAAGAACGATTTCCTTGATGCTCTAGACTGTTTGCCAACTAAGGAAATACTGAAGAAATTAACTGTGAGTGTCATCTGCAGCCCATTACGTCCATTGCCCTTCAACTTGCATATATCTATGTAAAATGAATGAAAGCCCTACTCCTGACTTCATTGAAGTCAGTTGGAATTGCTAAGAATTGGCAGACTAAGCAGGCGTTGACAGTCAGCAAAGGCAGTCGTTCATAAGTATAAAATAATCAGTTGTTGTCGAGCAGTCGTCGTGCGTTATTAAGTTGAGAGAAATAATTAATAAACAGCGAGCAGTTTAAATACCGATTTCATTCAGTCATGTGAGTCATCAAATATATCTATAATACACAAAAGATTTCTAAATTTACAACAAACTTATCCAAAAGCAGCGAACATTTTTTCAAAATCCACAAATGCGCTCATTTTCGATAGCTTTTTTGTGTCAATCGGTTTATGTATACCTATCGATAGTCTTGCTCAAAACTAACACTGAGTAATTTGAGAACTCACAATATAAATTACGACAAACGTAGTTTTATTATGTTTTGAATCTTGTTAGGTGTTAAATTTCGATTTGTTAAAACTCGCATTTCAATACCAACAAGAAACACAAACGGCTATAACTATATTTAATAAAAAAAATACTACAATTCCTCTAGTGTATCTATGCGTTTGTATGGCAACCCTAGCTTAATGCAGCTGGCATCATAATTCTAAACAGCTGAGTTATTACCCATTAAAACACGAGAGGAAAAAGAGCAAAGAATATCTGGAAAAAATCAAGGATTGTTGGGGAAAAATACAATAAAACTATACACATAATAATATCAGTGCGTTGATATTCAATATATATAAAAATATAAACATTTGTTACGCGTGTGTGTGTGTGCTCGCGTACATGAGAAGCGTGAGTAATAATTGTAAACGACGATAGCAGCAAACACAGGAGCCCAGCAGTGACGCCATTTTCTGTGCAAATCAGCAAAGAAAAAAATCAAAATCAGAGCAGGTGGGGCAAAAATCAGACGCAACGGCAACGCCGCGTGACCAAATAGACGAACAACAGCAGAGACAGCGACAGAAAGAGAGAGAGAGAGAGGAAGAGAACGCGGACCGGATACGGGCAGACAGGAAAACAACAGATCAAAAAAAAAAAAAAACCAAACCGCATAAATTCAATGAGCAGTCTAATCAACTTTCTCAATCCGAAACTCAAGCCGTCTGTGGAATGTGATGCCGTCTGCGAGGATGGCTACACGGCTGCCAATCTCATTGCGGACGATGCCGAGCAGGTGGAGCGTGGTTTTATGTGCTTTGCCGTCTGCAAGCCACCCGTTGAGATTGTCTTTGACTTTCCCAAGGCCATCGATTTGAAGGTGATCAAACTGTGGCCCAGTTCCGGTGCCCTGCGCTCCACGGGCTTCGAGGTCCACGGCAAATACGATGGCATCTGGGAACGTGTCGCCTATGTGCGTGACCTACCCAAGGGTATGGATTCGGTCACTTTCTGCTACCAGAGCGATTACAATTCACGTAGCAGTGCCGCCGCCGCCCAACAGCACAGCGAGAAAGTGTTCTTCTTTAAGACGGCCCACAAAATCCTGGGCACCACAAACAGCGTAAAGATTGTCATACGGGCAACGGAACGTTGTCCGCCGGTGCTGCGCAAAATACAAATGTGGGGTCTGCCCGCACGCAGCCTGGACAAAGCGGATCGCGAGTTAATGAAGACAATTTGGAGCGAGATAAGTGATCCGTACGGCCTGAGGGATCAGGCCCAGCAGCAGCAGGCGGGCCAACGTTCGCCCTCGCGTCACATTCCCGAGCTGCGCGAACAGTCCTCACTGGAGATACCCGAGGAGTTTCTTGACTCCATCACTTGGGAGCTAATGGTGCGTAGCCTGATTAATCCTAATTCTCCTATCCTAGCTGATGGCAAGCAACGTTTCTTTATATTTAGACATTTCCCACGGTGCTGCCATCTGGCAAGGTTGTCGACCAGTCTACCATAGATAAGCACGCGGAGGAGGAGGCCAAGTGGGGTCGCCTGCCATCCGATCCGTTCACGGGCCTCGAATACACCTCACAGCGCAAAGCGATACTAAATCTGGCGATTAAGGCACGCATCGAAAAGTTTCTAATGGAGCACTCGGAGCACTTCAAGTCGGTGCCCCGTTGCCTGGGCAGCTCGCGCATGCGTCGCCGCCACGCCTCCCAATTCGCCAGTCACATGTGCCTGCCGCCGGGCAGCAGTCTGGCAGCTGGCACATATTCCTCATTGAGCAGCGTTTACAAGCAGCATCTGCATCAGCAGCGCAAGACCAAATCGACCGTAACGGCTACGGCGACATCGGCTTTCTCAGGCAGCGGTTCCCTTTCGCCCACTTCGCCGCCAGCAGCGAAACGGCTGCGACCCACTTACTCCACATCATCTACCGTTAGCGCCACAGTCACTGCCAGCAATGCTGCAATCGATCCAACCACGACATCGACACCGACATCCTCTTCGGGCAGCACGGCAACGTCTTCCATTGACCAGGCCATCCAAACGGCTCTGCAGAAGATCACCCGTTTCTCGCAGGTGGGCAGCGCCACACCGCTGCAACCGCCGAGTTGCATCAACTGTCGCAGCGGTCAGTTCGCCTACGAGATTCGCACCTGTCGCCATCTCGTCTGTCGCGAGTGCCTCGTCATGTTGTCCGCGACGCAGCAGTGCGTCTGCAAGGTCACGTTCAGGGGCGTCGACGTGGAGCGCTATCACAAGCTGCCGTAGTCGTCTGCGACGCAATATATACGATATATAGTCTCTTATTCTAGTGCTTCAATATATATATATATATATATATATGTATATATCTATATATATACATATATATATGTAATAATTAGGTTCGTTTGTAAGCGCTTTTTGTTTGCCAATCGGAGCAGATTTCTTTTTAATATTCATGTGTCTTCTAATTCAGATTTTGATTATTCAGTTTTTTAAGCGCCCCCTCGTAGAATAATTTCTAATCATATCAGCGTCGATTTTAGCAAGTGCTGAGATTCTTTTTTACCTATTTCCTTTACCTTTGAATTCGAAGCCAAAATACACTTGGAATGGATGGTGGATGGTGGATGGCGAGTGGATGGTAGATAGATGCGCTCATTCCTCCAATTATCAGTATCAGGTCACACTTAGTCGGCATTGCGATTAAACTTAGTATATATACTAGTATACGTATGTATTGTATAATTAATTAAATAGCAGATAAAGCGCGCATAATTTTTGTAGACTTTATACAACTCACCCCTTGCCCCCAACTGAAGAAAGGACGAGATCAAGCGCAAAGTTTATATATTCAGAAATTAAATAAAGTTTAATAAAAAAAAATATGGATCCTATTTTATTAATGGGTAGATTTTAGAGAAACAAATTAAAGGTAAATGTTTGAAAACTTGTTTCTTTTTTAAATTGACAAACAGGTTATTAAAATATTAGCATGTTTTTTCTAAGCAAAATACGAGAATTGAAATCAGCGCAGCATTAACAGTAATTAATGTCACAGCTTGGAAACAGCTGTTAATAAAATCCATTGGAATCTGAAAATCACAATATGACAACATTCTTATGTATGTGTGTGTGTATATACATATTTTGTGTGTGCGTCGCATTGTTAAATAATTTAATTGTCTGGCAACGCCTGGCCCATTATTAGCTAGAACGAAGCATGGCTGAGAGTGCGAATGAAACACCGCAACCGAAGCGTCGCTTAGGATTAAGACTGCGCAAGGGAGTTAGCACTACACCAGGCCAAAGACGGCAGCCATTGCAACAGACGCCAATCGCAGTGAAAAGTGTGGAGACTCCACGCGCACTGGAAACTCCACTTAATGTAAGAAAAGCAAACTCGACAAGTTGCCGACGCCTGGGCTTATCACATAAGCGGAAGGATCTAAGCAAGAAGAAATTGGAATTTGCAGACACAGCAATCGAGCACGAACTTACGAAAGCCGCTCAAAAGACGCCGGCAGAAACGCCAATCAACAATTGGAGACAAAGCAAAATAATTGAACTCGAGGCAGACATCGAAGTTTGGAGAAATGGTTTTATGGCGGCTACGAAGGACTTGCAGGACTTGTTTGAACCACGAGCCACAAAGGAGACGCTGCTAAGACAGCTGGGCATACCGTTGGAAATGCTACAATACTTGGATGAAGACTGAAAACTACTGAAATTAATATGTATATGTATATAGATATAGATATATAGCATAGATAATTAGCTGTAAAATGTATTTCAATACCGTACAAAAAAAAGAACATAATGAAAACAACTCAGTATTTATGGGGTCGCGCTGGTTTCTCGGGATCGAAGAGCTTTGGGTCGTGCAGGAATTCGAGATCCTTGTGATATCCGGGCATTAGGAGACAGTGCTGGGCACGTAAAATGGCTTGTTCGACATGCTCCTGTTTCTGCTTGCATAATCCGGTTATGTGTCGGCCGTAAATGCGACCTGTATACGGCGACTGAAACTGCGATAGCAGCTTCACATTCTTGTAGTGCGGCACAATGTTGTGCTTGCACAAGATGCACTCCTGGCGATCCTTCTCGAAGGGATTCGCCATTTCGATCGGTTCGTCAGATTCTGCTCTAATTCCCTCCTCATTCACAGCGTTGGCCACATTGGCTGCATACAAACGTGGTTGCATCTGGCGAACTGCCACACTGGCTGGAATTGAGCGATAAACAGTTGGCTACATTTTTATTTATAGTTTAATTCATATTTCATTTACCATTTTTAGCAATTAGCCGTGTTAACTTAAACATTTTTAATATTTGCAGTTTACTTTGTTACTAGGGCTGACACATTTGTGAGTGTATGAAAAATTGTTGTGTCCCTGAACTCAACTTGATATCTGTGGCGGCTCTGCAGCCCTGGCAAGCATGTTTATGCCGTGCGGCATTTCATGATTTTTAATCGACTGATGTATAGAAAACTCTGTGGTATTTGCTTTTAAAGTATATTCTTTATTTATATTAATTTACAATTAGTCCCAATCAGTTTCGGGCATTATATCTGAAGAATATGTGTACCTTTTCGGCTGAGGTCTTATGATGTCATCTATAAGATTTGCAGTCCTACCGGTTGTTGTTGTTGTAAACGTTTCGGTTGTGGTCTCCTCTCCTTTTTCATTTAAACTGGGCGTACTCGTCTCCAAAAATTGTGTTTCAGTTGTGGTCTCTCCACTTTCATTCAAGCTGGGCGTACTCGTCTCCAAAAATTGTGTTTCAGTTGTGGTCTCCTCTCCACTTTCATTCAAACTGGGCGTACTCGTCCCCATAAATAGTATTTCAGCTGTGGTCGTCTCATTTGCCGCAGGTGTCAACTCTGTTGTAGACACGGGCAATAGTGTTGTCGTCTCGGGCAATTCTGTTGTAGTTTCTGGCTGGAATGTCGTCGTAGTCATCAATTGTGTGGAATATATTGGTAATAGGGTTGTTGTATCTCCAAATTCTGTGGTTGTTTCCTGCATTGTTGAAAATGTTGTTGTAGTTTCAGCTGGAAGGCTAACGGTAGTTCCATCTGTGGATGTTGTTGCAGTTTCGCAGAAATCGATTACAGAATCCATCGATTCAGTTGTTGTGAACGATTCTTCGCTTGTCGAAATGATTTCATTATTTTCGGTGCTTTCGATGAAATTTGTGCCGTAATTTGAGGTCGTAGTTTCGAAACCAGAAGTGCCGGCAATGATCGACAGCAACAAAGTGGACATTTCTGGCAACTCTGTGGTACTTTCCCATATTCCAGTTGTGGATTCCATCGTTGTTGCACTAGTCTCTTCCACTATTTGATTTGCTTTCGTTGTATTTTCCCATTCTTCCAAAGTGCTGCTTGTTGTAGATTTTGTTGCAGGTATTTCGGTGGTTATCCTGTTTAATCCGCTAAATGGCGCATATTTCATCACATTGTACGGCTTGTGAATACTGACATAATATTTTGCCAATTTATACCAATCTTCTGAACTTTCAATTTTATTCGGCAAGGATTTGGAGTTATCATTATTATTGTATAATTCACCATTGATTATGGCATTAAAATATTGCGCTAACAACAAAAATAGGCAGACTCTCATTTCGATGTGTTTGGGCGCAGATGACACGGTTGACTGATGACATGTAATTTAAATCTGCAGCTGTCTACCTGATCTACCCCCTCACGCATTTATTTTCTTTTTACCTGTTTTAATGATCGTTAAGGGTTGGTCTGTAAAAAAAACCGTGAAAATCGCTGCTCATTTAAATATTGTTTTCGCGCCAGGGCTGCGTAGTATGCTCGCATTGAATGTAGTTGGCAACAGTGCGCAATCGTTACATCTGGGCACACTTATGCCGGCCAGCTGTGCGCTTGTTTCTGTAGAAGAAGAAGAGTCAGAGTGGCGTGCGTTTTATTTCGTGTTTTCTCGCTACAAAATTTTATTAATTACTAATATAAGAAAATCAATATTTGTAATTTGATTAAATACAGTTCATAGGCATTAACAACACTTGATTTGTAGTCAAGGTGAGTCAAAGTTGTGGTTAGTTGAGCTAGTTTCAATTTGCCGGTGTTAAAACAAGCAAACGTTTACGGTGTTGAGATTAGGGTGGACCGCATTTATATAAATATTGTTAATATTAGAAAAAAATATTTGTAAATTGTCTTAAAACTGTATGTCCATGAAACACAATTGATTTGTAGTCAACGTTAGTAACAGTTCTTGTGTCTAATTGTAATAGTTTGGCTTTGCCGGTTTTAGATTAGGGTGGACCGCCTTTTTCATGATAAGAAACTAAAATGATAAATTGGTGTATTTTGCAGAATGGATTCCGATTTGTATGATGAGTTTGGCAATTATATAGGACCCGATTTGGATAGCGATGAGGACGATGACCAAAGCATTTATGGTCAGCCCGATGTGACCGATGATCCAGATGTAAGTTTTGTTGCAGTCGTTTTTATTATTGCAATGCTTAAAATTTAATATCTCGTAGGAGGATGCATTGGATGAGGATGAGGCGGAGCCGCAGGACGATGAGGAGAAAGAGGTGACGGCCGTTGTGTTGCACGAGGATAAACGCTACTATCCCTCGGCTGTGGAGGTTTATGGGCCCGATGTGGAGACAATTGTGCAGGAGGAGGATGCCCAGCCATTGGATAAGCCGCTCATTGAGCCGGTAAAGAAGCTCAAATTTCAGATCAAGGAACAGGATCTGCCCGAAACCACCTACGATATGGAGTTCATGGCGGATCTTATGGACACTCCGCCACTGATACGCAATGTGGCACTTGTCGGCCATTTGCACCATGGCAAAACGACATTCGTCGATTGTCTGATACGGCAGACGCATCCGCAGTTTGAGAATATGGAGGAGCGATCGCTGCGCTACACGGACACGCTCTTCACGGAGCAGGAGCGCGGCTGCAGCATCAAGGCGACGCCGGTGACTCTCGTCCTGCAGGATGTCAAGCAGAAGAGCTATTTGCTGAACATCTTCGATACGCCAGGCCATGTGAACTTCTCCGACGAGGCAACCGCTGCGATGCGCATGAGCGATGGCGTCGTCCTCTTCATCGATGCCTCCGAGGGTGTCATGCTCAACACGGAGCGACTGCTTAAGCACGCCGTCCAGGAGCGACTGGCCATCACTGTGTGCATCAACAAGGTGCGTTAAATAATCATTATTTGAGTTGTTTGCCATTATAATCGGGGCTCTCTTTCGTTCAGATCGATCGTCTCATTCTGGAGCTGAAGCTACCGCCACAGGATGCATACTTCAAGCTGAAGCACATTGTGGAGGAAGTCAACAGTTTGTTGAGGTGAGTGCAGATTTGGCTGGTATCTGGCATTCAATTTCAACTGAATTCATTCGAGACTATTAACACGTTAATCAACCTTTGATACAGTTGCGAACAAAATAATAGCACAGCTGCCACACGAATGAAAAAACAAACCCAATAACATCTTCTGATGATCTTTCAATCTTGTAGGCTAAAATTAGAATGTATTAAGATTTATATTCATTATTGTTTATTGGGTTGTTTTCGATATTGAATGATTGCTGAATATGAAGAAGGAATACTTTCTTACAATCTGATTTAAGATTTGTTATATTTATTAACTTTGTTATATCTCTTAACATTCCTAGCACTTATGGCAGCGCTGAGGATAATCTAATGGTGTCGCCCGTGTTGGGTAACGTTTGCTTTGCCAGTTCGCTTTACGGATTTTGCTTTACGCTGAAATCGTTTGCCAAGCTGTATGCGGACACCTACGAGGGCGTCAACTACATCGAGTTTGCCAAGCGACTCTGGGGCGACATGTACTTTCACAGCAAGTCGTAAGTAAATAGATACTAAATAAATATATCACATAGATACCTAATTCAAGGATCTTCTTTGGTACAGTCGCAAATTTACGAGGAAACCGCCGCATAGCTCGGCACAGCGCAGCTTTGTGGAGTTCATATTGGAGCCGATGTACAAGCTGATTGCCCAGGTGGTGGGTGATGTGGATACCACGTTGTCCGACACCTTGTCGGAGCTGCATGTGCGCGTCTCCAAGGATGAGATGAAGTCCAATATACGGCCATTGTTGCGTGTGGTCTGCAATCGTTTTATGGGCGATTGCAGCGGCTTTGTTGAAATGTGTGTGGAGCACATCAAATCACCGCTGGAGAATGCCAAACGGAAGGTCGATCACATTTATACGGGTCCCAAGGAGGGCGACATTTACCGGGACATGATCATGTGCAATCAGTACGGCACACTGATGGTGCACAGCTCCAAGATGTATCCCAACGATGATTGCACCTTCTTTCAGGTGCTCGCGCGCATTGTGTCCGGCACACTGCAGGCCGGGCAGGAGGTGCGTGTGCTGGGCGAAAATTATACGCTCCAGGATGAGGAAGATTCACGCATTCTACAAATTGGACGACTTTGGGTGTACGAGGCGCGCTACAAGGTTGAATTGAATCGTGTGCCCGCCGGCAATTGGGTGCTCATCGAGGGTATTGATCAGTGCATTGTGAAAACGTCCAGCATTGTGGACATCAATGTGCCCGAGGATCTCTACATATTCCGACCGCTTAAGTTCAACACACAAAGCATTATCAAGATTGCTGTGGAGCCGGTGAATCCCTCCGAGTTACCCAAAATGTTGGACGGCTTGCGTAAGGTAAACAAATCGTATCCGTTGCTCTCCACTCGCGTCGAGGAGTCCGGCGAACACGTTATCCTGGGCACGGGTGAACTCTATTTGGATTGCGTGATGCACGATCTGCGCAAGATGTACTCGGAGATTGATATCAAGGTGGCCGATCCTGTGGTCGCATTCTGTGAGACAGTGGTGGAGACGAGCTCGCTGAAATGCTTCGCCGAGACGCCCAACAAGAAGAACAAGATTACCATGATATCTGAGCCGCTGGAAAAGGGTCTGGCCGAGGATATTGAGAACGAAACGGTCTGCATCAATTGGAACAAGAAGCGCATCGGAGAATTCTTTCAGATCAACTACGACTGGGATTTGCTGGCGGCACGTTCCATCTGGGCATTTGGACCGGACACAACGGGTCCGAACATTCTCGTCGATGATACGCTGCCCTCCGAGGTCGATAAGAATCTGCTGACTGCCGTCCGTGAGTCCATCGTGCAAGGCTTTCAGTGGGGCACCCGGGAGGGTCCGCTATGCGAGGAGCCCATACGCAATGTCAAGTTCAAGATTCTCGATGCTGTCATTGCCAACGAGGCACTACATCGTGGCGGTGGCCAGATCATTCCCACGGCACGTCGTGTCGCCTACTCGGCCTTCCTCATGGCCACGCCCCGTCTAATGGAGCCCTATCTGTTTGTCGAGGTCCAGGCACCAGCCGATTGTGTCTCTGCCGTCTACACGGTCCTGGCGCGGCGCAGGTGAGTAATCCCAACGCACACACTGACTTGGTATTCTTGACTCATCTTCTGTTTACCTTGCAGAGGTCACGTTACGCAGGATGCACCCGTTTCGGGCTCGCCCATTTACACAATCAAAGCATTTATACCCGCCATCGATTCGTTTGGCTTCGAAACCGATCTGCGCACCCACACTCAAGGTCAGGCCTTCTGTCTGTCCGTCTTCCATCACTGGCAAATCGTTCCTGGCGATCCGCTGGATAAGAGCATCATAATACGACCGCTGGAGCCACAGCAAGCCTCGCATTTGGCCCGTGAGTTCATGATCAAGACGCGTCGGCGCAAGGGTCTCTCCGAGGATGTCTCCATCAACAAATTCTTCGACGATCCCATGTTGTTGGAGCTGGCGCGACAGGATGTGCTGCTCAATTATCCACTTTAGTTTTAGTCTTGCAAGTGAATCAATAAAAGGCTGCTTAGTGGCCAATGTCTTTAGAGGAATTGGTAGTTTGTGGATCAATTGAAATACTAATAAGGTTAAAAGAAGTAACAAAGATTCACATAGAATACTCAAATGTCTGCTGATTGTTCCTAAGCTCATTCACATAAAGCCATAGCTATCAAGGCATGAAGTAGGCTGTTATAAGGCAGATACGGTATGTTCACGTGTAGAGTGCCTGGATAGGATCATTGGATAACAATGCACTGTATCTCAGGTGACGGCGGCATTACGGGAATACATTTCTTTGACGTTCTCGCCTGGAGGTGAGCCATCTTACCTTTCTGGGATGCTGTACCATTTTGAATACGCAACTAGAGATTGAGAATTATTGGCTATGATATCAAACATACAAATTACTGTCTTAATATGAGTAAAAACTCACAAGCTAATAAAAGTTGCGAGACTCCAGAATATATTCCGGAATATTGTGCCCGGCAATAAGCTGACTGGGACTCTCTCAGCTAGGAGCTTGCAGCCAAAATACTTGTGAAATAATAGCTATAAGTCCAAACATTGCTGTATTCCCTTTTTTTTTTACCATTTTGAACGCAAATCATTTTAAATGTAAAGTTGTGATATAGGAGAGGATAAGCTGTCCCCAATGCCCCGCATACGTCTAGGCTACGAATATGGTAGGAGCAGAGATCAACCCATAAGCGATTAATTTGTTTAAAATAGCCATCACTCCGACAGCAATGAGAATCCGAAGGCTGACTCCGAAGTGAGTTGTTCTCTATATGCATATGTTTATAATATATAGAGTCGTTTAACATTTTAATTTTACTTATAGCGCAGTTTTAAACAAGTCAAACACGGTTTACTTTCGAAATCGCAAAATAAAAACACATATTGGCCATACAGAAAATGAAATACTATGTTTACCGTTTATTAACTGTCATTAGTTGATGTGTCCACATAGACACTATTGTTATATGCTATTTAAAAAGGACAGTCAAGCAGCAGACACGTAGAACGCGGAGCAATTTAGACATCGCCATTTTGCAGTGCCTCCGATTCGTAGGCCTCCTGCTCGGCCTGTTCGTCGTCGAACTCGACATCGTCGTCGGCGGTGGCTTCCTGGAAAGAGCAAAGAAAAACATTAGAAGAGGTACATTATGGGTTTGAGGTGATTTTTGGAGAGATGGGGTCTGTGCAGTCTGTGAGGCTGTGTCGCACCTGGTACTGTTGATATTCGGATATCAGATCGTTCATGTTGCTTTCGGCCTCGGTGAACTCCATTTCGTCCATGCCCTCGCCGGTGTACCAATGCAAGAAGGCCTTCCTGCGGAACATGGCCGTAAACTGTTCGGAGATGCGCTTAAATATCTCCTGTATGGCCGTTGTGTTGCCAATGAATGTGGCAGCCATCTTCAGGCCGCGTGGCGGAATGTCACAAACGGCCACCTTCACATTGTTCGGTATCCACTCGACAAAGTAGCTGCTGTTCTTGCTCTGCACGTTGAGCATCTGTGTGTCCACCTCCTTCATGGACATGGGTCCTGTTAATTATTAAAAGTGCACATATATAAATACTTTTACTCTACTTATAGCAGCAGCAGCAGCAGCAGCAGCAACAGCAACAACAAAAAAAGGCATCAGCAGCATTAGTTTTTATTTCCGCTTTCTCGCTTCTCACATCAAAAGCCAAGTTGTTGGGCTTTGATGCGTCAAGTGAAATCCCCAAATCCCTGAATATGAAATACTAAACGCCTTCTAAGCCCTGCCAGCGCACTTGGCCACCTGGGCCATGGCTGTGTTTGTGTCTGTGTTTTTGGGCGGGGACGACACCACTAGCAGAAAACAGTCCCATGAGGCAACTAAAAAAGCTGTTTAAATTCCTCTCGGTTCTTTTTTTTTATTTTTATATATATATTTTAGCTTGTTTTACTTTTATATATATATATATATATTTTTTTTTTTTGTTGCAGCTTTTAGCTAACGCTCATTTTTGTGATTAATTATTTTGTAAGCGCGGACAAACGGACTCGCAGGGAGCCTAGGGGTAGGAGAGGAGTGCATGCAGCGCTGCCTGGCAGGCAGCCTTAAGTCACGTTCGGCATGATTAGTTAAGGCCCTCCAAAAGCTGTGGCAGGCAGCGGTCGCGGGACTGCGACGGGATCCATGGGATTGCGACTCGGCAATTCCCCAATGGATCTTGAAAGTAAATTTCTAATTACGCGCGTTTTGCAAGTCATCAGTCAAAGGCAATACGTGAGGGGAGACGCGGGTTGTGGGCAGGGTTCGGGGCGTTCGAGCGTTTGGCCGTTAGGCACACAAGGAATAACAAATGAAATATTATGCGGCATACTTTTGGGCGCCACAGCGAAGCAGTTTATTAATTTAAAAATTAGCGCGAAAAAATGCGACCCACCCCAGCCCTTGCCGTCTCTCTCGTTCTCTCTCTCTCTCTCTGTGTGGCGCTGAGAAACAAATTTGGGAGACGTGCGCGTTGACGGATTGCAGCCTTTTTAGTCGCCAGTCGACGTGCATTAATCATTTTTAGTGGCGCCCCCATAAGTAGGCTTTGCGTTTGCTAATAAAATTGTCGCTGTCGCAATGGCGAACTATACGTGCCTGCGGCGGCTTAACCTACAGCGCTGCTGCGGGGTGCCGAGGTGTGCCTGCCACCTGCCACCTGCCACGCCACGGTCATGACAAAGCGGTCCTGACAAAAATGGGCTCGCAAGTCGTTGCCCAAAACCCACACAGATATGCAGATAGACAGACAGATGGCAGCAACATGGCCATATCCGCGCTTCATTTGTTTGTACTGTGTTGTTGTTAAAAAACTATTTTTCTTATTTACCTTCTCTTTTTTTTTTGTCGGTCGGACCACCCGGAATGTGGGCAGGGCAACCTTTCACGTGAAAAGTCAAAGAGCCCGTCGAGTCATGTCAACGCCACTTAACGAGTGAATACTCAAAAGTCTAACGTCATCCCATTTATCAGGGCCAAAAGAAAGAAAAGTCAGGCTGGAAAGGGCTGTCATTGGCAAGCCGTAGTTACATTCCTTAGCAGACCGGCGTCAACCGGCAGACATGAACTCTGTTCTTATGGCAGCTATATAGTATATCAGTCTATATAGTATTTCATAATCCGATATTTTGGCTGTTTCAGTTCAAGTATGAGGAACTTATTGGTGGTTTGGAAAGGATATCTTGGCAAGCACAAATGTTATTTATACAAGAGCTCATCTATCGTTCGATCGTCCCAATGCCAGCTTTTGACATAGAAGTCCGAACCGGTTAGCTGCGACATATCTGCTGATCTATGCCAGCAATGTGATATTGTAGTCTGATGTTTATAATATCTTAGCTTACTTTGGGATAGATGTCCTGATAAGCAAACAATTTGACCTACAAGAGCTCACCTTTCAACTAATTGTTTCAATGCAAACTAAGTGATCCTATCAACTATCTGTCAAATTTGTCAAATTTCATCAGCTGAGGCACAGAGAGACATGGTTATATAGACTCGGTTAATGATGCTGATCATGAATATATAGATACTTGATGGGCTCGGAGCTGTCTTGTTCAAAATTGTAATACCCGACGAGGGGCATTCATAGTTCGAGATGAGCACTCACCACGGAAGATGCAGGCCACTGTTAGATAGCGTCCATGCCGGGGATCGCAGGCTGTCATCATGTTCTTGGCATCGAACATTTGCTGGGTTAGCTCGGCGACGGTCAGTGCCCGATATTGTTGCGAACCCTTTGCGGTGAGTGGCGCAAAACCGGGCATGAAGAAGTGCAGACGTGGGAAGGGCACCATGTTGACAGCCAGCTTGCGCAGATCAGCATTGAGCTGGCCAGGGAAGCGCAGACAGGTCGTCACACCAGACATTGTGACCTAGAGTTGGATAATTTTATTAGTAGTTACTCAATGAATTGAACTTTAGTTTGTGTCTTTGCTGTGGTTCCTGCATAGTTGAATAGTTGGGTCGCAGCTGCATCGTTTATTGTTTTTGTTTTATTTTTGTCATTTACTACTTACAGACACCAAATGATTGAGATCCGGGTAGGTGGGTGAGCTGAGGCGCAAGGTCTTATAGCATATGTCATACAAGGCCTCATTGTCAATGCAGAACGTCTCATCAGTGTTTACGCACAGCTGATGCACCGACAGTGTCGCATTATATGGCTCAACGACCACCTCAGAGACCTGGACACCGACACAGACAGCAACGGCAACAACAACAACAAGAACAAGAACGTCCACAACGGGGACATGGATGTTGTTGATGGTATAGGGATTGAATGCAAACACACAAGACCGAAACACGCATTAGTTGATTTGTTGCTAGAGTTGCACTTACGGAAACCAAATGATTCAAATCGCCATAGGTGGGCGACGATAGCTTCAGCGTGCGGAAGCAGATGTCATAAAGCGCCTCGTTGTCAATGCAGAAGGTCTCATCGGTGTTCTCCACCAGCTGGTGAATGGACAGCGTTGCATTGTACGGCTCCACAACGGTATCGGATACCTATTGACCAGTTGAGAGCGACAGCAGACAAGGCAGCAAAGGCATGCAAGAATATAAAAAAAAAAATAGCAGAAACATACATATATTAATTGCCAAAACAAATTAAACACAATTCGATGAGCTTGAATGAATATGTAGATTGTTATTAAAACGAATAAATATGTTAATATTAAATTAAATAGTTATTAATATGCATAAATTGAAAAATTATTTAAAATGATTGACTTTCTATTATCTATTTAAGTTGTTTTTTTCTACCAAAGTCAACAGAATTAGTAAAATAATTACTTTATATTCTGTTATTCTATCATTGTCTTAAATAGATGTGAAATTGATTAAATGTGAATTTACTGCTTATAATTTTGTATTTAACAAGACAGTTGCTCTGGCAAGAAGACAGCTCGAATTGCAGATACCCCGCAACACAGCTTTCAAATACACACTTAGAATCGACTCTGTAGTTGATCAAAAATGTATATTCTTTATGTGATGCAAAGACGATGAGGCATGCATCTGATATGCATCTGATATGCATGCATATTACCATTTTTTAACATTTTTGATGGGCTTAGATTACAACAATATGGAAATGCTTCTAAAGATGGGTTTCAAGGAAATTGGTATTTTATAAATAAATATATTTATATATATTTAAATAATAAATATACATTGTGAAATGCAGCTGTTGAAGTAGAAAATTAAAATTTCATTTGCACCTCAAATGGAACCGCACAGCTTCACAAAATAAGGTGCATTCACCAACAGTTGTTGCATAAATGCAGTATCACATTGCACACAACAAACAATACATTTCCTAATGGAGTATGTGTGTATGTGTGTGCTTGTTTGTTTGCAGCAAGTGGACAATATGTGTAATACATTGGTTAGTGCTCTACTATTTGCCTATGGGCAAGATGCATTGTGTTGCAAGAAACGTCAAGTGCAAAACTCTGTTGCAGTTTCGCTTCGCAAACTGTTTGCACATAAATCCTTGCAATTATTTAATGGTACAGCCAGGAACGGAGCCGATAACGAACGGTCACCTGGAAAACAGCTCACATACATGAATCTAATTACAATGAGTTATGCCCGGGCATAACTTACACGTTATTTGTTATAGTTGTGTACAATGTGTATTTGCTTTCGCAAAATATTTGCAAATGCATTTTGAGCGTACTGAAATCAAAAGGGTTTTGCTGCCCAAATCTGGCATCTGATCAATGAGGCCAATTAAAAGGTTTAATAATATATCGTATATGCCAATTTATTAAGCTGCAGATTAATAATTAAAGCCTAAAACTACAACTGCAGCAAAATGACTGTTAAAGTATGCGAGTAAACGCATAAATTTCAGATGCGTATTAAGTGACAGGCGTGTGTCATGTCCTCGCCGCAACAAAATGGCCGCCAATACCAAAACATTGCGGTAATTCGCCAGACCAGGCGCATAAATAACCCAATGCCAGGCATTAAGGGACGGTGATGCGGCCCACAACAACTGGCCACAAGGGTTCAACTGGAACACATACTCGCAGCTTGGTCATTGTTACTCAAGTGTAACGGTAATAAATTTAACACTGCCAAAACGTAAGTTTTATTCGATCTGCATATCGAAGTCTGTGAGGGCTCAACTAAAAATAAGGCATATACATATTTATATATATATATATATATATATATATATATACTTTTATATATTGGCATAAGCCGTTTTGTCGAATGCTAATTTCACGCATCAATAAACTTTTTCAGCTCGCATTTCAAATTGAGTGCCATGTTAAACCGTCAGAGGCATATTTGAATTTGTGGTATCAGTGCAGTATTTACATATAAATGTACATGGTAAGTGTACTGCTCGACTGCGACATACCCTACAAACATTTTGAAGAGTTGCTTATGGTTGACAGAGGGCCACTTTTTAAAAGGCAGACTGAGTACAGTTTGATAATATGTTTATACCGACATTAAAAAACCAAAATAATTCCAATAAAATAATAATTTTCCTTTTTTGTTCAGGCTGGAAAAAGTCACCAGGTGTAGAGCAAGACAATTGTTTAAAATGTAGCATTAATTATAAATGATTTAGGCAATAATATTAATGGGGAAAAACAGAGTTACAATTCTATAGATTGAGAGATCACCTATCTAACCTATTTATAATATTGAAACATAGAAATCCTCAACCCAAAATGAATTCATGAATTCAATATTTAATTTTATACAGGATATTTGCATTCATTGAATCAAATTTCAATTTCAAAAGCCACTTAGATAGTGTAGTATTTATTGATATCAGTTATTATTCATAGCTGGTTTTAATTCTCATGGCAATTGAATTTTTCTAAAAAAGTCCACAAACAAAGACTGATTAATATTTTGGTATGATTAATATGGCAGATCATAGTCGGGTACTCTCTAATAAATTTATAAAAATATTAAATAAATAAATAATTTATAAAAGAAGCTATTATTAATGAATACCCTGCTGGGACATTTGGTGATGGGATGTAATGCCTTGCCTGTTATTGACAATCAATTTGCCACTAAATTAATTTAATTAAATGTCTAAACGTAATTAAATGCCCCTGATGATGCCTCAAATGCAAATGAAGCCGTCTCACGTGCCGCGAGGGCAGTGCGTGCGTGTAAAATATGCAACTAGGTTAATTAAGCAATAATTGAAGCGTGTCACAACGCATCCATTGAGTAACCAAACCATTTCTACAACCTGTGCTCTTCTCATATAAACCATTCATCACCGAATGCCCCTCCTTTTAAAGCTGCCCGCAAAATTGCATTGCCAATTAGCTGCAGAGGCGGTTGCCGGCTCTAATTTTTGGCCGGCAAATTAATTAGAATTATTTGGCAGATTCGCATACCGCTGATAATAAGTGACATCAATTGAAATTAGCATTCATTAAATAAAGCAAAAATTACACTGCATGTGCATTGAGCACCGCATTCGGATTATACTATTTAAAAAAAAAAATAAGAGTATGTAGAAAGTATAATTAGAAAGATCCTTCTTCTATCGAATACAAATATTTAAGATAAGTTAGTAAAGTAAATTCAAAATACCAATTGTGTCTTTAATTATGAAAATAGTAGAATTAAATTTAAATAAAATCTCTTTCTATATGTTCCTTTCGTTAATAAACATCCCGTTATTAGTTTTTTTTTATTATTTTGTTAGTCATTGTGGATCACTGTGGGCAGGTGTCCATAAAAGATCCTAAAAAATTTTGTGAAATTATAAATTTCATCATAGGATATAATTAGACTGTCGACACGAGTATTTCATTTTGTGGAATACTAATGTGTAACAGGCACGCGTAGATACTTGCCACATTTGTTGCCATGGTGTGGCTCATGTTGGTTATTTGAAAACAAAAAAAAAATAAGAAAAACGCGTGCAGGTGTAAAGCGTTTTGGGGTTGCAGGTCGGCTTACAAACACCGGCATCCAAATATGTATGTGTGAGCTAAGCTGATTTGCCTAAGCGGATTGCCCTGCCCAGCATCATGAGTGTAGGTTATGAGGGTGTGCGTAAGTGGGTTGCCATGTGAGTGGGCGTGGGTGTGGCTGGGTGTGTGTATGTATTTGTTGTATTTTCTGTGCATGCTAATGATCTGCATTTGCGAAGTGCGTACGGTGTACTTACCTTGGGTGAGGGCACCACCGAAAAGGAGTTCATGATGCGATCCGGATACTCTTCGCGTATTTTCGATATGAGCAGTGTGCCCAGACCAGAGCCAGTGCCGCCGCCCAGCGAGTGTGCCAGCTGGAAGCCCTGCAGGCAGTCGCAGCCCTCGGATTCCTTGCGCAGCACCTCCAACACCGAGTCGATCAGTTCGGCGCCCTCTGTGTAGTGGCCCTTGGCCCAGTTGTTGCCTGTAAAGATGCATAAGTGAGCAGTGGATCTAATATGCATCAGAAGTTTTCCAATTATATATTTATTAAATGAGCACAGACTACAGAATCTCCCCTTAAGCACACACAAGAACAATATGTTGTGTTGATTGACATGTACAAAATTAATTTTCATCTTCATTCGCAGACCATTCTATAATTACAATTATCATTAACATTGCGGACAGCCACGTCTCGAGCAGCAGGGCTTGGCGTCAATTATCGCAACAACAACAACAAAGGCAATCACAGCAGTGGTAAATACAAATGCTCTAATCAATGCAGTGTTCAACAAGGTCTTATCCTGCCTTCTGCATTCAAATAAAAAATACTTTTAATTAAGACAAATCACAGAAATGCCATTATGCAGCTGGAGTTTGAATGAATAGAGTTTGTTGATGGACAACTATATTATATTTGAAACATATCTCTTCTAGGATATATTATATACCTCTTTATGCTGTGTCTAACTGATATAAGGAAAAGTCGAGCCAAATTTAAATCTGACCAAGCACAGCCCATGCTCAAGCCACTGTTGCTTTGCTTGCACATGGGAATTGCTTGTGGCAGGTGGTCTGACCAATTCGCAATTTCATCAGCGTCATCTTGTTGGTACTTATCAAAGCAATGACAACACCACATGATGTGATGCTGCTGCTGTGGCTGTGGCAACTGCAGCTGTAACAACTGTTGCAAAGCAAACGCTCAATGGAGGCAGCGACCACAATGACAAGAAAAACAAACTGCCGATCAGCTACGGGGCGCATTTTGTGAGGCAAAACAAATGCACATAAGGAGTAAAGTGCTGGGAGTGCGTATCCAGAGATGTACAACTAGATTGGACAGAATGGGGTCGATTGAATTGTGCACGAGCTGCAATATGCCTGCGTCTGTGTATGTGTGTGTGTGTGTTCTGTGTGTGTGTGTGTGTAACATGCCACGACATGGCAGCCTTAATGAGCAGCTAAAATGCATTAGCTAAATGCTGTCCAATGTACTTCAGCAGCAGCGGACAATGATTAACGGTGCAAGTGCCTTGAGGCAATCAGAAGGACATTGTTAAATTGTTAATTTATACTCGAATTCATTCACTTACCCGCTCCCGATTGCCCATACACAAAGTTATCGGGCCTGAAGAGTTGACCCATCGGTGATTGACGCACCGAGTCCATCGTGCCCGGCTCCAAATCGATGAGCACAGCACGTGGCACATACTTGCCACTGCTTGCCTCATTGTAGTAGACATCGATGCGCTCGTGCTGCAGATCCGATTCGCCATGATAGTAGCCATTGGGATCGATGCCATGCTCAGCAGAAATGATTTCCCAGAACTAAAAAAAAAGAAAAATAATTGAAGAAAATTTAATAATCGTACAAAATTTGCATTTCAATTCATTTCGTATATTCTCAATAATTAAATTAACAATTTTTTGGTTGATCTCCAACTTATTTTAATCTTTGGCATATTTAGTTATTACACTCAGGAAAAAAGTCGCACTGTATTTTAGAAAACCGATTGTGTAATAAAAAGCTTTTATAGGAAATAATAAATAAAAATTCAAATAAAAAAAATATTGATAGATTTGAAAAAATGTAGAATTCCATGCAGAATACAAATAATATACAATAAATAGTGTTTTTAGTTTTTTTTGTTGTAGTTTACCATGCGGCGTTAAAATATTATTTTTCAATCAATACATGTGTCGGCACTATGTGTGTACGTATGTATGTGTTCGTGTGTGTGTGTGTGTGCGTGTTCATGTGTGTTGCGCGTGTATTTGTGTTGCATTGCTTTGGCAATCAGTGCATATAAATATGAGTGTCCTTTTTACATGCCGCTTGCTTTTATGGCCAATACCAACGACATTTCCAGTTCCAACGTAGTCGTCATCGTTCTGGTATCTATCTGGCTGCGATTTATACGCGTGCATATGCCATATATTCCCCCCCCCCAACATCGTGCAGCCCATGCTCAACCCCTTCTCTCTCCAACACTCCAGCAAGCCACTCAAAAACGAGCGGGGAGCACTTTATATGCCGTGAGCAATTTCTGTTGCATACTTTTATGGGCGCACACTTTTTACTGGCAGAGTGAGTATCGTGTTATTTTTTGTTGTGTAACGATGAGGAATAATTGAATCCTTTTAGGTGTTTTCATATATTTATTTATTTTTGCCGTTTTCTATGGGTCGAGTGTTTCTGCGATTTTCCCGTTTTACCTCTGAATTCCACTCATCGCTCCCAATCCAGCTACTCCCCCACATCTCTCTATACGCTTTCACAGCGTATTTGTTTGCACGTATATTTTTCTTTCGCGTCGTTCGACTTTTTCTTCCATTTCCATTTTCATATTTATATTTTTTTTTTGCTGCTTTGGTTTTATTGCCCAATACGCTTCGTAAAACATTTCACGTTTGTTGCGCATATGAATTTCAAATTTTTAAAAATGTTTCAATCGTTTTGCTCGCATTCGTGTGCGCAGGTGTGTGTATGCGTGTATGTGTATGTGTATGTGTATGTGTGTGTGTGTGTGTGTGTGTGTGTGGGGCCCAGAGGCTGGTGTGAGCTGTAGTGGATAGCAAAATGCTTATTGTGAGAAAAATGCAATGTGTGCTGCCCGCAACTCTCATCGATTGGAATGATTTTTAATGGACTTAAGCGCTAAGGGACATGAATTAATTTATTTTCCTCGGCATTTCATACATTATGTGAAACTGGCATTGTGCCGAGATTGTATTCTTGTGAAGGGCATAGTGTAAGTTTTAATTTATGGTCGAGCCCCGAGTGTACAGAATAACTTTTACAAGTTGAACGAAGTCAACTTCCAAGTGTTTTAAATATTGATTTAACAACCAGTCTCACAAGCAATATTAACAATGTAGTTAAAGGCTTTCACAAACATCCCTTTTTGAGGCATATTCTTATTTTTTCATTAACTATTCACAACCACAAAATATTTTGCACATTTATAACACTTTACAAAATCATTACTTGATTGTCGCATCTCATTTGGGTAATGGCGGAAGCAGGACCTTTTGAAGTGCCTGTCGAGTGCATGAGTTTTATCTTTCAATTATTCATGGATGTCGACGTTTTTACAAGACGATGGATTACCCACCTTTGGCCATTTTAACACACATATTTATTTTTATGCCGCCAAGCACCATTATGTCCTTACCATAAATACTCAGTGCAATTAAATGGCGGTGGGTTCGCTTTAAAAACGGACAATCGATTAATCTTTTAGAATAATACAACTAATATAAATACCGAGCTTAAAGCGGAAACTACGCAAGACCATAACATTTGGCGATTTGGCCCTAAATCATTAATAATTCAGATATTAATAGATATACAAGTATGAACTAACAAGAATTCAATGGTCTGTGTTGTGGTCCAATAGTTTTCGAAATTTGAAACCAATTGCTAACTTTTTGTATTACAACTTCAAAGCTATTTTTATGCCAGTTACACGAATATTTTAAACATTCACTTAATACAAAATATATGTGGACAGTGGAGCATTAAAGGCTCGTGCAACAAAAAATATTGCAGCTAGCGACTAAGAGATACTCTGTTAATTTATAAAATCAGAAAAAAACAACAATTTTAGGAAAAACCTCAAAAAACTAGAAAAATTTTCTTGTTTGTTATTAGGAATCTTTTTATCTTTTCTTCTATTTTTCGGAAATATATTTCTTCATAATAGAAAATAATTCAAAAAGGCAGAACTGCCAATTTTTACTGTACTATTGAACTACTAAACGTGTTTTCAATTGTCTTCTAGTTTTTATTATAGCCTTTCAAGTCCTTATCCTACTTATGCACGGCATATTTGTGCATTTATTCAAAGGTAAGCATTAGAGCACTTTAGCCGGGCGCTTCAAATTGGCCATGGCATATATGTTGCACGCTTTTGTTGTTGGTGTTGTTGCCATTATGTTAATCCTGGCGCAGCATAAATGTTTGCATTATTGCTGTTTGTTGGCAAAGTTTTGTTTCTCCATTGGCTCTTCGACATCCAACAATGATAACAAGTTGCGTACCCAAAAATGCGAGTAGGAATAAAAAGGAAAACAAAACAGAAGAAAAGTTTGTGACTTGAGTTTGTCCTTGGATAAAGTTGGACCTCATATGAGTAGTTAGAGGGGGATGAGGCGGGTGGACTGAACGCGTGGAACCCTTAGAAGCGCATGTCTTTGCATATATAACAAACTGGAAATATGACACTCAATTGTACGCATCGGTAGACACTTTTGGTTTGACAATAACTTTGATTTGCATACGTTCGTTCTGGCTGATATTTGTTTGCTTGCTTGTTGGCATTTGTGTGTGTGTATGTATGTGTGTGTGTGTGTGTGTGTGTGTGTGTGTGTGTGTGTGTGTGTGTGTGTGTGTGTGTGTGCGCTTCTAGCCACCCGCATGGGAGACAACTAGTTGACTGACTTTGCCCTGGCATTTGTCCTGTTCCTGTTGTTGTCCTGGCACTTGTTGCCTTTGGGGAAATTTAAATATGTTTTCGTATATTTTACGAAGCCAATTGCAGATAAGCGTTTTTCTTTTCGACTACTTTTGTGCTGTTTGCTTGCCCTTGGCCAAAGGGGTGTCACTTTATTATTGAGTACCCTTTTGTTAAGGGTAGACACAATTCTATCATTTAGTATGTAACGTCTTTTTTTTTTTTATGTTGACAAATTTATTGTTTATGTACTTTTTTCTTTTAAAAGGCAAGCAGAGTATTTACTCTTCTGTAGCCAAAAGGAAGCGCATCGCTTAAAAGCTTATTATATATTTATATATTTTCTGAAAAGTTTTACTCTGTTGCTGTGAATGACGTTCGAATATTCTTGCGGAGCTGTCTAACTGCCCGTTTAGCGTCTGTTGATATCGACTCACTTGCTTCTGACGTGCCTGTCTCAGCAGTTTGAGGTGGGTCTACTGAAGTTGCCCTAAAACTCCCATTAAGTTAAATAGCTCAAAAGCAAAGAATAAAAAAGCACAAAAAAACAACTATGCAGCCTTCATTTGCATAAAGCTCTTGGTGGCTGCGGTCAAATTGCTTAATTACAAAATTGCTCACAAATTAAAAAACTAAAAAGAACTTGCATGAAACAAAAAAAACAAAAATGCGATAAAATTAAAAGTAAACAAAAGGCAACGTGCGTTGACCACAACGGCGCCATTTTGCCAGCCATTTTGTGGTTCCTTTTTTTTTTTTTTAATGGACGCACATTTCCTTGTTCCCAAAAGAAATTCAATTCGAAATTAAAATTCTCAAAGTGTTCAAACAAAAACCGAAATACCGCGACGCGAGCAGTCAAGCAAAAGTCAAGTGGCCAAATTGGCGAAAGTTGGGCAAAAAACGAGCATAAATTAATTGCGGCCAGCAAAGAAATGTGGGCTGCAGTTTGTGCTTTGTTTCGCTTCTACAAAAGGCCATTTTCAGCTTGTGTTAGCAAAGGATGCGAGCTGCGCAAAGCAACGGAAGTGCATGTCGCACCGGATGTGACTGAGAGCCCCCTGGGACAGTATACTTAGGGCATGGGTTCAAGACTGTTTGCGAGCAAACTGAGTTAGAATATTGAATTTGACAATTTAGCTCGGGGCGCGCATAAATAAGCAAATGCTACAACTACAAATCATCGGCCAGATTCTTAAAAATGTTGCTAAGTATATCGGATATAAGAAACACTAATAAGGCACTGACAAGATTCTTGAAAAAAGTTGTTAATTATATATCTGAAAAATCTAGTAAACATAACCGTGATTAATCGTGTAATAATTTATGGTTGATTATGTTTTCGTTGTTGTAATAATTGATTTTATTATTTTAATATCAGTAGTTTGCTGATCACTGAATGTGTGATTCAATTTAATTAAAATAATAATTATTAGTTGTTGTAATAATTAAGGTTGTGCTTCTTCAAATTAGTTTTTCTCTTATATATATATTTTTTAATTTATTTTAATATTGTCAATTTTCGCATTAATGTGCACGGAATATGTAAATTAATTTAAATTCAATCAAAATAAATACTTTTATGTGGTATTTTCATAAATGGCATGCATAAAACAAAGTTATCCTATGGTTGAATAATTGAAAAAATCTAATTAAAATTCCATTTCGAGTGTCAAATCATGTACAATGAACAAACCGCTTTCTACAGTACAACCAGCGACAAAGCTTCCATTTAAAATTGGAATGAAGAAAATGTAGTTTTGACATTTGGAATTTCATTGAATGAATTTGAACTTAAAATTTTTAATGAGCTGGCAAAGGATAAGTTCGCCATTAAATGAGAAATTGTGTTTTGTTAATTGTATGCAATTT